TATCTCCCTAAGATCTTGGTTCCATTCGATATTGGCATGTATCGTACCATAACTTCATGGATTATGGCTCCTGATTGTACGAAAAATCGCATTTTTAGGTTGTGAACCCTATAGAGGTCACAATTTTTATCTGATTTTGTTGAAATTTGAAATGTAAGTTTATAACCCAAAGATCGTGGTTGCTTTAAATATTCGCGCATATCAGATTATAATTTCCTGAATTATGGTCCCTGATTGTACGAAAAATCGTGTTTTTTAGCTTGTGGTTCCTCTAGAGGTCACAATTATTATCTGATTTACAAAAACGTTCGAATATACCATCGTTACACCGTAATGTTGGTTGAGTTTGAATTTCGTTAAAATCGGATGGAAACTGCCAGACAAAATGGACGCCCCTCTACGCAAATAGTGTAAATGTCTGGTATATCAAGGTTGTGGACCCTCAAGAGGTTACAATTTTGATCTGATTTTGAAATGCATGTTTATAACCCAAAGATCTTAGTTCCTGTCGATATTTGCGCATATCTGATAGTACATGTACCTTCCTGAATTATGGCCCTTGATGTTACGAAAAATTGGTTTTGGTAAGCTTGTTCTCTATCCATCTCTCGCAAAATGTTGGCTTATCCTGCCTGGCAGCCGCTGGTTATTTTTGTTGTGTTTAGCATCTGAAGGTCACAATTTGGAATGGATTATCTTGGAACTTGGTATACTTATTTCTTATACCCCAAAGACGACAACTATTGATTTTGGTACTTGATCCCCCCACCCCTTGGGCAGTGCCACACCCACTTTTTGTTAATATTTTGTCTGTAAATAATATATAGGTTGCAATTAAATTATTAACATAATTGGATCCAATTCAGTATGATCCATCATATTCATAGTTTGTTGTACCTATTTATATTGGTCCATATCCAACCCCCAGTGGCAGAGCTTGAGCCACGCTCAATTTTTGCATTTTTTGTCTATAGGCTGGAATTCTGAATTGATCATCTCGGCATATTTATTCCTTATACCGTAAGAATAGCAACTATTTATTTTGATGCATGTCCCGGCCCCCAGAGGCAGTGTCACACCCACTTTTTGTTGATATTTATTCTGTAAACTTGGCAAAACAAACCCAATGCCTAGCCTTCTTTGCCTCTTGTCATATTATAGTCATTGCAGCCATTTCATATTTCATGCTCTTTATTTTAAAAAGTACCATATCAAAGCAGGAATGTGGACGTATATTGCAACAGTAGCGATGCTCTTGTTTCCAATCCCAGGAGAGCTTTGTAACCTTTGTCAGTGTCATGAAAAATTGAGTACCTATCATTTATAAATGTAGCATGAAAGTGGTTGTGGTCTGCACCCTTATCAGGAAGAGTTATCTTTCCTTTTCTTCCATATGGTTTGTTTTCCTGCATTCTGGCTCTAATTCCCTAGGCTGGGAAATGAAATATGGGTCAATAAGACAAGAAAAGGTGTCATCCTATAAGAAAATACATTTTTGCCTTTTGCTGATAATTTTAATTTTTTTTTAAACATAAAAAATAAGTTGTGAACACCTTAATTCTTGATGTCCAAACCATGTTCAACACAAACTCCATTTACGGCCCTTCACAAAAAGTGTAAAATCATCGATGTTTGTGTTCATACACATTCCCGAAGTCGCAGAACAAAAATGGCTCTGTTTATGCTCAGATGTGATGAAAATAGTATCAGTGGCGCCCCTAGCGAGCTTTTGCATTGCTACTCTAAGTCTAGGGTTAGATGGAGGCCTTGCCATGGGCTCACTTTTTCAGTTTCAGCGCTAGTTCCTGTGGTCATAGAGACTTGACATTTTCAGGGAATGTTAAGGGGATCTACTGTCTGAACCGTCATGAATTTTAAACAGATTTCTTCGATTATGAAAAAATACTTAACTTTTGGTTATTATAAACTTACCTGTGTGTTTGAAATCAACTCCTGTTAAATAAAATCCATTGTACAATTAAATATTCCAACGAATAAAAAAGTTCTCTCTTGTAAAATTGAACTCGTCACAAACTTGGACATTGAGAAAATATGTAAATGCTGATGTATTTTACATTTTCCTCGGCAAAATAAATAGCTGAGGCATTGAATACGTAATATAACGTTATTTTATTTTTGTAAATACCAAAAATTATTATCAACAAATCGGTTTAATTATCGACAGATAGTACCATTTCTTTCTATTTCTCTTCGTATATAATTTCTGTTGTTCAAAGACTGTTCAGAATTTTATAATCATGCGTCTCAGTAACTCAATTAATTTACAAAATTCACAGGTCAATGTATTCATACGATTGTACTCTCGGTTATTGACTATATATTAATCACAAGTACAAATCCATTTTGAAATAGATGGCAAATGGAATTTTCGAAAGCATTTCTTAGATCTCGATCATGCCTTAGCCAATCAATGCTTTGAATTATATTGCCGTAAAAGGTCCCATGCCATATGAGTTATTGTATGCTACTACACAGATGCAGTGACAATGGTTAAATTAATATTTAACACACAAGACCTAATAATACACGCAATCTGCGATGACGATGTTTAGACATCCTGAACTATTTTTATCAAGAATTTTTTGATTTCAGTATCTGTCGAATAAACAAAAAAACGTAATGTTATCAGGAATATTATTGACATGAACAGTCGCGACGTGAATTAAAATTTTTCTGGTAGTCCTAAAACTTTGAAAATGGACTAATAACCACAGGGCATTGGGATTAGACCCCGTTATGAAATATAATCAATTAAAATTATGAAATAAAGTGTGTTTATTTATAATTGTTAGCCACAAAGCTGCCTATAATTGACAGGGATGTAACATAATTTATAAAAATATATATAATATACAGGGTATTTACATTTATGGGGGGGGATGAGGATGTGAAAAGCAATATTATATACTAAGCAGCAAAAGAAACGTCAGGTTAGTATGTAACTCTGAATAGTCGCATTGCATAAAACTTGCCAAATGATTTTATTTACATGAGCAATAAGGCTCCTTCCCAAACACAGAATTGGACCCAGGAAATGTTCTCAAAAACGCAACCTGACATCTGAGATGGTGATGTGTTCTTCATGATTTTCATATAACTCATGCTGCACGTGCTGTTCAGCGGGACCAGCCCAATAAAATGCATCCCCATACCTGGTTGAATCATTCACACTACAACGTGAGCAGCATGCCACGACTCACGACAGCAAAGAGGAACCAGTCGCTTGGAAGACTCGATGCTGGCCACATTGCCAAGCCATTGCCAATCAATGTTTGGACCATCTACAGGCTTCAGCAACGCTTTCGGGCTACCAGCACCACGGATGATCGCCCCCGAACTGGTAAATCAAGGGTTACCACAAGGCGACAAGACCGCCATGTTGTGCGACAGCATGTGTAGGATCCCTTCACACAGGCATCTGAGACAGCACGTCAGACAGTGAGAATACACGGAAGACCCATCAGTACCGATACAGTGCGCCGACATCTCACCAGAGAGATCCTCACCCCTTGTCATCGATGTGAACGGCTATAGTTTGCCCAACAACACCAGAACTGGTGACACAGGCAATGGAGAACTGTTCTGTTCATAGATGAGGGTCGGTATTGCGTATCAACTGCAGATGGCAGGACCAGAATATTGCGTAGACGTGGCCAGCGTTATTCTGACCAATGTGTCATGGAACGAGACAAAATTCTGTTCTTACAAATATGTCAGAATATACAAAAAAAACCATCAAGTTTTCATATTTTAAGCCAATATTATTAAACTAATTTTTCAAATATCGGTCATCATTTTTATTGGACCACATGTAAGCTATCTTTTTAAAAAAATTGTATGGTTGATTACTATCTCAAACACCAGTTGTCAGGTTTATATGGGAAATAGTACACAACGTCAATTGTTCCTTGAAACTAGTCTTGCGTTAAGAATTTTTCTTAATAGTAATACACATTGTTAACATTTACTAACTTCTCAATTCACCTGGGGGGTTGGATGGCCGAATGGTTAGCATGTGCGTTCTGTATCATAAGGTCTGTCATTGAGTCAACTGGTGTGGTTTCGATTCCCCAGTTGTACGTGACAAGGAATTGGGTCGCCTGTCCAACCTCGTGGGTTTTCTCCGGGTCCTCCGGTTTCCTCCCACTGTGCAAGCGAATTATTGAAAAAAAATTGAACCCTATGTTAGTTCTGAAATTACCTATTTTGTGTCGAGTGCAGTTGAATTCTCTCTCTCTCTCTCTCTCTCTCTCTCTCTCTCAATTCACCCTCTGAAACTTTGTGTCTTATTATGAAAGCAGAAATACATCTTGGTATTAAATATTGGAAACAAATATTTACTAAGGTTGACAAAACTATATTTTACAATACAGTATATGTATGTATATTAATATTCCTTTACAATCAGTTCGGTTATATTCAGATTACTAAAGAGCGTGCCTCTTCATTATAACACTGCTTCATTATAATTTTGGACTGCTTAATTAGACACAACACAATAGAATTATCTTATTTATGAAATTGTTAAAGCATTACGGTGACAGTAACTAATTGTAGCTAAAAGGAAGCGCATAAGATTTACATCAACATTTTTAGCGACGTTTTCAAAGCTAGTATTATGTAGGTATTTTAGGCATACTCGACTAAATTTCAAACAGCTCCAAGATTATACAATCAATTGTTACAATAATTATATACTGGTCAACTTTGTGTTTGGTCCCCATGTTTAAAATTCATTGCACAATTAAATATCCACATGGAAAAAAAGAATTCTCTCTATGTAAAGCTTCTTTCACTGTTTCGTCTGGCTATGACTAAAACTTAAAAGGTTTGTTACATACCTAAAACATAGTCCTGAATAAAAACTGTATTACCAAACCAAATGACCTATGATGCATAACTGGCATCTGATTTTATTCAGAAAGGCTAAAAACAAATAACACTGCAAATAACTGTTGTATATCTATTTTATATTTTAGGATTCATCAGAAAAAAAAGATGAAACTGGGGCTGCAGGAAAAAGTCCAGGAGGATCTAAGGTAAATGTGCTATAAAATTTAGAAAGTATCATATAATATCATTTAATAAAATTAGGGCTGCTTGCTGCTACATGTATTACCTACATATGATGATATAGTGTGGATCCAGATCATTTTGTCCTATAAACCAGATTATTTCAATATTATAATGATTATTTATTCTGTTATCAAAGCTTTATTCAAATTTAAAATGGGTTGATGCAATTGGAAAGAAAGAATGATGTGTTTTGATATAGTACCAGTGCATATACTTGATGCACTACGGAACACCAGTTAAGCTGATTGAACTTATTATGAAGAATCTAACTTTTATTACAACATGGACAACAAAGCTGAGGGTGGGCCATATATTATCTGTTTATTTAGGGTTATTGCTCTTTTTGTACCTGTATATCAATCCGGAAACCATGTTAATATACATACAAATTAATGGTTTGAGCTGCCCTTTCACATTTTGTTTGTTTTTTTTTATTGAAGTTGGATACACTTTCAAGAGAAGATCTTCTAAAATTTGTGAAAAAGCAAATGGTATTACTGCAAAAATCCAGGTCTAAATGTGAAGGTAAAAAAATTATATTTAAAATTGTAAATTTGGGTTATGTGCTCTTGTTTAACTTTTGAAATATGAAGTCTGTGTGGAATTATATATTCATTGAAATATTTCCTCTTTTAATTTCAGAACTTATGAAGAAACTATCAGAATCAGAATCATCAACCACATCTAGTAATAAATCTGAAGATTGGGAGCAAAAGATTAAGGTTAGTTTTTATGATAAATCTGTTCTCCTGTAGTGAAATTGCTTCGAAACAATCTTTTTAAAAATTGAAATAAGGTGGTGCACTGTGTGTTATAGAATTGTAGAATTCTGTGTTTCTGGATTGAAGGTTTATGAATTCTTCAGAATTTCTTTTCTTCTTTTTCTGTTGTTACTTTAAGAATTAGGATTGTAATTATGCTGGTATCTTTTGAAAATATAGATCTAAACCGGCATATTGATTTTATAGTCATAAATCAAATGGTCTGCCATTTTATTGGTTGTTAATTTGTTCATTCAGCAACCTCATGGGTTTTCTCCAGCTCGTCCTGGTTCATCCCACTGAAATAGAACACATGTTAGCTCCAAAATGACCTAGTGTGTGTCAAGTTGATGTTAAACCCCATTTATCTTTCTGAAAGATAATGTCTGCATTTCCAGTACAGTTTTAGTATTAAAAGCATTTATGTGTTATAGAATTTAGAAGAAGAATTAAAGACTGTTAGTGAAGAGAAAGAAGAAACTATAGCAGCTTATAATGCTGTACAACAATCACAAGAAACATCCCTTGTACAGATACAGGTTATATTATTATCTTAAAGTTAACAATTCCAATCGTGCATTTTGGGGACAGCACAGTATTTAATTTTCAAGGATTATTCCATACTAAAATGTCATCAAATTGATCATTTTACATTTGATTAAGAAAGCAAAACCAAAATATGAGTGGTAGATTCACATAATTCCTTGGCTTGTAATTGTATTTTATCAGATTAAAAAGGGTTCCGTGAAAAGATTTTATCCAACACTTAAACATACATTATGCAAGAGCTAATTCTGCCTATTGCAAGTCTTTATTTAGGCTTCAGATGTTATAGAAATTGTTATTTAGACCTTTATTTACACAACAAGCACAAAGTCAACTCTGTAGACCCACGGATGGCTTGGATACAGTTTGGATTTAAACAGCCTCGTCCATTTAAAATTAAATCAATAAATGGCGGACCAAGTTAACGTTTACCGTTACTCTCTGATGTCACAACCGGAAACTGGTGATGAAAAACCTGCCAAGCGAGGCTACCATAGCCGTTGAGCATGTTACTTGATAAGGCTGACCTTAAAAATATCTTTGTTTCACCAAACCCGACCCACAATCGAGGAGAAGGGTCGGTAGGTCGGTTTTTTTTTCAGATTTTTTTTTAAAGTCAGAGAAATCAATACAGAAAACTTATTAGCTGTATACTACAGATTCCTTAATTTTGTTTAATGAATTTGGGGTCTGACGTAAAAAGTAACGAACTGAAAGTTTTTATTAAACTTATTAAACATTCGTCTTCTTTATTGGCAAACAAATCAATGACATCGGGATTTTTCGTGATGCCCGACTTGCACACGATTTGCCACGAACTTGAAGTGTGAAACTCCTTCAACACGTTTTTAACGATAGTGCGGGTTGTGCCTTCATTTTTCTCGAAAACGGATATTGAAAATATCGTCGTCATGTTTAAAACTACGCACCACAGACATAGAGGCAGAATCATTTCGTGGGAATGGACGTGTATTCGTCTGCAACCATTTTGTTGAGAAGCAACACCTAAGACGCTTTCGTCTTGATCAACCAGTTTCAATAATGAATCAAACCATAGCCATATTAAAGGGAAATAACTCTCATGATATATTTCAGGTTGACACACAAAATAAAATAAAAAGATCGTGGAAAAGTGCAATAAAATAATTTAAGTCGGGGGTGGTTTTAGTTAGTCGGTCGCGTTAGGCGAAACAAAGATATTTTTAAGGTCAGCCTAATCGAGAATATGTGGGTGGAGTTATCGGCAATTCTTATAGACGGTGAAGACACAATTGATGCCTATTTCTAGTCCAAACTTCTAACAGTGACAATTCCTTCAGAACAAAGTAATTTGACTGAAAATTTCAACATTTCCTTTTTTTATCATCTATTTTTGAATTATTATAACAAGAATGGCCAACTCTTTATAAAACTGTATCTTTAAAAGGAGGTAGGGGGTGTTAGCCTGATGCAAAATTTTCAACCCTGCAAATGACTAGCAGTGAAATTAACAATTGAGTTCCAAGATATTGGAGTATATAATATGGTGGTTATTGATATGAGTATCAGTTTTATATACCAACACTGAAAGTGGGCATTGATTTGACAAATTCTTTTCATTTACTAGTTGACTTATTAAAATTTAACAAAATATGTAGGAATGTATTGTGTTAAATTAAATATTTTATAATTATTCATGGAACCGTTTGCCTTGCTTTATAAATCTTAGGTATAAGCTTTAGATTTATGGAATTTAACCATATGACTAACTGATGTATAATTGTATTCATATCTACAAGCCTGTACATAAGGCACCTGTCAAAGACATTTTCAGGCACAAATTATCACACAACGTATATATTAAAGATACATTCCTGGGTACAAACTGGGTGATTTGATGATATATTTGGACTAAAAACATAATAGTTAATTTATCATAATTTTGCTTCAAATTCTTCTCAAAACATTGCAATTGTCGGGAATACCCTGGCTATAAAAAATCGATCAAAAGAGGTCATGTGACTTACCTCTCTCGGTACCGATGCGAAGTAGGAGAAGAATTCATTGCGTACGCAATACGATGTTGTCTTTTATCGCTGACTATTTATTACAAATATAGAAGCCTAATTAAATTCTCAGATTATCCACCGACCACGTCTCTTTCCATGAATTTTATTTCAGAAAGTCTTGTACGTCTAATTCTTCATAAAGTTTATCAACACGTACATCAAGTGCTCAATCTCCGCGTGCAATCTTTGACGTAACGCGTGCAGACACTCCTAATCGTCGGGCTGTCGATTAGGGAAACCCTTACATTTTTGTCCTGTATGCGCTCCATGAGTGTTTTTCAGGGAATCCAGGATATTTCTAGTAAGTTTGGATATTTCTACTTTCCATATATACCAAAATTGCCATACTTTTATTGGAAATACCGACCCGATAAATACTTTTCTGGGAACGTAGCTTTGAAATATATATGTTGTGTGATAATTTGTGTCTGACAATGTCTTTGACATGTAACTTAAAGTAGCTAAGTCTCTAACTCAATATCATCCAAAATCTTCAACATTGAAAACACAATTTTTTTGTCAAATTAAATCAACTTTCATGTTGTGATCTTACCAGAAAAAGATGGGCTTTTGATATCCAATATTTAAGACAAAATAAACATTTTACCATTGGTACACGAATCGTGTACCATAATGCACTTCAGCCCCAGTCGTATCAAGAGACTCGAGGGACGAGGCTAGACACATTGCACCAAATCAAACAGCGTATGTTGACTGGAATAACCAGACGCTAGAAATTTGCACTCGCTTGAGACTGCTGGCTTATTTCGCCGAACATAACTGATTTGAAATTGGAGTAAAAATGGAAACCATTGAATGTAAATCAGTTTATATACATTCATATTACAGTATTATATGCGTTGCGACCCACTTTTGTCAATTTCTAGGTCCCAATTGTTAGCGATTTAGCTCCTTTAAGTCCATGTTTGCATATCTACAAAAATTCAGTTTGTGCAAATATTATTTCTTTATTTTATGTCTTTATTAATTTGCAGACACTGGAGAAAGAATGCCAAAAAATCAGAGATGAAAAAGAAATGATTTGCAATAAATTTGTTCAGTTTGAGAAGAAAAACAAGGTGGGTAAAACCGAGCTGGATAAAACATGTATGTAATGTTATTATCAACATCTTGTTCACAACAATAATTACCAGGGTAACACACTTCATTCAGATCTTTTCAGTGAATTAAGACACTATTTGTTGATTGCTCTTATAAATATGTAGAATGTTTTGTCTTTATTATAGGAACTATTAGAGGAATTGGAATGTCTACAGATGAAAGATGAGACATTGACATCAACTTTACACTGCATGCAAGATGAACAAAAACAACTTACACAGACTAACAAAGTAAATATGGAAATTCGTCCTTATTGTATGCAAAATGTAAACATTGTCTAGGGTCTCCAAGATTTAATAATGCAGTGCAACTGCTAAACAAAGCATGGAAATACATGTATATATATGAATACACAAATGAAATGGTGTTTAATGTCCTAATGAAGACAGCATGTGCCATACAGTAAGCTATGAGGGAAAATTTTCACTGTCAAGGGTTCATTTTTTGTCCCATCCGAACACATTGAGTCACTGCAACTCCTGTAACACCACACACAATACACCACAAACAATACAATTTGACAGTCTAGTGAAGTAACCTTTATTTTAACTTGAATGTCATGGAATTGTCAAATAACAACATCTGGACACTTAGGTGTTATGAAAACAGTAAGCATCCTGTGCCATATGTACACAAGGCATATCACAAGTTGCCACCATTTTCATATCATGACAGTCTTTATAATCTCTAAGTGTATGGTCATGCTGCATTTGATAAGTTATATCCATTTATATCATAAAAATACACTGAAATCTTGACCACCCCACTATGCTATTTATCAGTGCTATACTGGTTTACTTACTCTAGCCAACATGATGAAGTTCGCTGCTTATATGCATGCATTTAACTTCTATCCATTTTCTATTTCTAACTGTATTTTTTTTTTTTTTGCAGAAACTAGAGTTAGAAGTGAGGACTATTACAGAAGAAAGGAATAATTTAGCAGAACAAATAGACTCTAATGTTAGTAAAAATGATGAGACTTCAGCTTTATTACAGCAGTTTGGAGAAGAAAGGGAAGGTTATGAAACTAAAATTCAAGATCTTAGTCAACAATTACAGGTGTGCAAAATTATTATTCACTTATGTTAGTTAACCATTATCTGATCCTAGATTGATTTCTACCCTAGTTTTTCTTCACGTTTGTTTTATACTCATATTTCTGAAATATAGTCATGATTTTTAAACATACATTATGCAAGAGCATATTGGGTAAGACAATAAATAATATCATCATTATCTACATTATTAAATGGCCAAGCTGTTCTAATCCTTTTTTATACGCCCACATTGAAATGTGGTCGTATATTGTTGTCGCCCCCGTACGTCTGTCGGTCCTGCGTCCACAATTGATTGTGGACGCTCTATAGGCTAAAGTTAATATTCGATTGACTTTAAATTTATACACAGTATTTAAGGTCATGAGACGAAGAAGCCTATTGATTTTCAGCGATTTTCGATAATTACTGCCAAAGTTATGGCCCTTGATCACTTCAAAAAATCTTGTGGATGCTCTAGAGGTCAAAGTTAATATCCGATTAACTTTAAATTTATACACAGTGTTTAAGGTCATGAGACGAAGAAGCCTATTGATTTTCAACGATTTTCGCTAATTACTGCCAGAGTTATGGCCCTTGATCACTGCAAAAAATCTTGTGGACACTCTAGAGGTCAAAGTTAATACCGATTGACTTTAAATTTATACACAGTGTTTAAGGTCATGAGACGAAAAAGCCTATTGATTTTCAGCGATTTCCGATAATTACTGCCAGAGTTATGGCAGTGATCACTTTGAAAAATCTTGTGGACGCTCTAGAGACTAAAGTTAATATCCGATTGACTTTAAATTTATAGTTACACAGTGTTTGAGGCCATGAGATGAAGAATCATATTGATTTTCAACGATTTCGGATAATTACTGCCAAAGTTATGGCCCTTGATCACTTTGAAAAATCTTGTGACGCTCTAGAGGCTAAAGTTATCATCCGATTGACTTCAGATTGATACACAGAGTTTAAGGCCTTGGGACGAACAAGTGTATTGACTTTCAATGAATCTTTATGACTTGAACAGCTACATGTAAATCCATGATGTTAAAAGTTACATATACTAAACGTTAGCATGGGGCAGAACTTTATAAAAACCAAACAAATTCTAATGGTTTTCTGATAATTACTTAATGAGTTGTTACTCTTAATCAGGGCCCTTATTCACGAAAACTTAAACTAAGATACAATCAAAATTTTAAGAAATACTGCAATTCGATTGGCTGACCAGTAAAATCAATTTGCATATATCCAATGAAGTTGCAGTATTTCTTAAAATTTCGGTTGTAACTTAGTTTAAGTTTTCGTGAATAAGGGCCCAGATTTTAATGTATTATAAATGGTTCATTACCGAAAAAAGTAAAAATATGCGACAACTCTTGTTGACTGCCCGGACGATATAGCTGCTGTGGGTGTATGTTTAGTTGCCTGGCAACCTATATTTTATCTAAGCCATCCAATGACCTATAGAGGTTATGGATATCAAATAATGATTTATATAACATTTAAAGCTAGAAAAAGACCTGCAATAGGCAGATTTTGCTCTTAAATAATGTATCTTAGAGATAAAAGTACAGATTGTGTTTTTTTAATGCATACAGGAAACATCCGCTAACAACCTCTACATAATGTGTCTTATCAAAAAAATCTGTTTCTCAGACAGCTCCATTTCCATCATATACTCTCTATTATTAACCACTCATAATAACTATTATGTGAAAATGAAGTGGAATTAAAATAAAAAAAATAAAATTCATTTGATAAAAAAAAGAAATATGGCTGATATAATGCTTTGAAATATTTTACCAGGCAGACAATTATTTTATTGCAGAATCTACAGAAGAGTCAAATTTTTGAAGTGGAAGCTAAATCTACATTAATTGAAGAGAAACGTCACTTAGATGATGAAAACAAAGATCTCCAAGAAAGACTGCAAAAATTAGAATCAGATATGATAACATTCCAATCTCAACTAGATGAAAAAAATTCCAAAATATGTGAACTGTCAGAGAGTGAGAGCAAAAATGTAAATTTATATGAAAGGCTTGAAAACCTTGAAAGTGAATTGAAAGACATTAGAGATGAAAATCAGCGTGTTTTACATGAAAAGACGGATTTAGAAGCTGAAAATAAGAATCTTGAGGAAAAAATACAAATTCTGGAATTAGATATTCCAAAGTTTCAAAGTAACATGGAGGAAAAAATATTATTGATATCAAGTTTAGAAAAACAGCTTGAAAGTTTAAAAACAAACACAGAAGAGCAAACTAGAAGGGATGAGGAAGAAGAAGGAGGAGAAAATTCAACTATAGAAGCCTTGAATTTGGAATTGAAATCAGTTACAGATAAATATTCAGAATTAGGTATAAAATGCGAAATGCAGAGTGAACTTAATCAGACATTAGTGAAACAGTTGGAGGAAACAACTAAAGAACTTTTAACCAGTAAAACCGAGACACAACAATTAAATGTTCAATTTCAAGAACTTTTTGTTGCGACCAAAAAACAGGAAGAAGTAATAAATGATCTACTTTCTCAAAAATCAGATCTTGAAATAAAAACTGAGAAAATAAGTGAGGAAATTATAGGAAGGCAAGAATCGGAACAACACCTTCAATCTAATATTTCCCAATTACGATCAATGGGAGAGGAGATCAAACAACATATTGATGCAGATTTGGAATTGGTTAATGTTGGCACACAGATTGATATGAATCATACTCCCACAGAAGATAATGACTCACAAACTGATGATACTGTCACACAAACTGATGATACTGTCACACAAACTGATGATACTGTCACACAAACTGACGATACTGTCACACAAACCGATTATAATGTCACACAAACTGATGATACTCTCACACAAACTGATGATACTCTCACACAAAATGATGATAGAGACACATCAACTGATGATAGACATGCACAAACTGATGATAGACATGCACAAACTGTTGATACAGACACACAAACTGATTATACAGATGCACAAACTGATGACAAACAGACACAAATCCAAACTGATGATGTTGAACATTCCGATGGTAGATCAGAAATGAGTAATCACAATGATCAAGATGGTAATAACTTCAACAACCCAGCAAACAGTAAGAAACTTGAAGCTGAAGTTAAAGAGTTGCTAAATGAACGAGAAGAAATGGAACAAGAACTAATTGCTACCAAACAAAAACTGGATGAGTGGGATAGCTTTATGCAGATGTTGAAAGATGAAAAGGAACAACTTGCACAAGAAGTTGAAGAAGCAGAAATTCGAGAAGAAAACAATAGAAAAGAAATGGAATTTTTGATGCTCTCTTTACAAGATGCTTTAAGTGAAAGAGACAGCCTTAAAGATGAAGTGTTCAAGATGCAAGAAGGAGAAGGATCTGTTGTTGACGAAATGAAACTAGCTGTTAAAGATATTATAGCAGACAGAAATAGACTTCAAACTGAACTTGATGCTGCATACGTCAATAAGGGTGATCATGCAGTCCAACTAGAGAGCTACCGTAGGGAAATGGAAGAGGCTATTACAGAACGAGAAAATATTGAACGGGAAAAGGAATCATTAAATGTTGTACTTGAATTGTCACTTGAAAAGGAGAAACAATTTTCACAGCAGGTTGAGGACCTACAATTCCAGTTGGAGGAAAGTGAAATGAAAATATCTTGTTTAGAAAAAGAACTGCATGATGCTAAAACAGAAGTAACCACCTTGTCACAGAAAATAAAAGACCAGGAACAATTTGTAACTGATTCGGCTGAAAAGGTCGCAGAAAGACAATCATATACCATTGAGATGGAGAGTCAAATCTTAGAACTCTCAAACTCATTAACAGATGCTAAGAAAAAATATGGTGAAATTAAAGAACAGCTTGATATGTGTAATTCTGAAAATGCTGAGCAAACAGCACTTTGTTCTAAAATTGAAGAATTAGAAGCTAAGAATGAAGATTTACTGAAGCAAATAAGAATATTACATGATCAAAATGATGAAGTCAAATTAGAAAAGGATGCCAATAAGACAAGTATTGATGAATTATTGATTAAAATCAGTGATGCAGAAAAGAGCAAAGCTGAAGTAGAAGACAGACTGGAAGAAGTTGTATCTAAAGTATGTGATTTGGAACAACAGAATCGGGTGCTAATTGAAGAGCTTGAAAGCGTTAAAGATGGAAAAGCAAAGACTGATGCTGACGTTGAAACAAATATTAACATAGTTGATACAATGAAAGATCATGTCACAGCTCTTACTGACCAATTAGATTTCTTTGAAGTTGAAAAATCAAAGATGGCTGCCAGCTTAGAAGACAGAAGTCAACAATTGCTTGCTGTTGAAGAAGCTTTAAAAATTATCCAAGAAGAGAAAGAGAAATTGGAGGAGGAGAAAAATCAGATTTTGAACAAATTAGAAGAAAGAAACCAAGAATTTTTCAGTTTGGAAGAAAAATTACATACATCATTAACCGAGATGGAAGAATCCAAAAAAAATGCTGATTGTGTAAATGAGTTACAAGAGAAGATACAATCTTTAATACAAGGTAAAACTGAACTGCAGTCACAAGTTTCTGATTTATCGTCAGAGCTTAATGAGCTTCGACCTAATATTGAACAACAAAAAGCTTTATATTCTGAGATCTGCAATGAAAAGGAAGCCATTTTGATTGAAAAGTCAGAAATGGTACAAAAACTTGAAGCTGTCCAGACACATAGCCAAGAGTCAATATCAACCACAGAAAAAAACATTCAGGAACTGAAAGAAGCTGTGGCAAAATTATCCCAAGATCTTAAAAATTCTCAAGAAGAAAAACTGGAACTCCTGACAAATCTTCAAAATATAGAACAACAGAAGCAGTCTTCAGAGGAGCAATCAGTGATTCTTACTCAACAGCTTGACAACCTAAAATCTGATCGAGAAGATTTCATGACAAGACATGAATCACTGAAACAAGGAGCAGAAATTCTTGGAAAGGAGCTTTCAGATTTTAGATTGGAAGTTGAAAAAATAACAATTGAGAAAAAACAAATTTCTGAAGAACTTGTTAAAAAAGAAAGACACATTGCAGATCTAGAGATAAAATTGTCGGAAATGGAAAATAAAATGCTTGAAAAAGATGAAACTTTAAAAGAAATGGCCTCCAGTGCTGATGAAAAAGAGAATATTTTGATTAAAAACCTGGAAGTGGAACTATGTGAGTTAAAGAACAAGTTAAGCATGGCAGAAAACTTGATTACCGAGTTTGAGAAGAAATATACAGCTACACAATCAGAATATGAGAAGATTCAATTTGAGTATGAAAATCTTCAACAAAAATTAAGAGATCATGAAGAAACACATGAGGTTAATGTAAACAAGATCACTGATTTATCTGAAAAAGTTGTAAAACTTGAAGAATCTGTGCAGTCACTGAAAGAACAAAAACAGGAACTGCATATTAAATTAGAAGAATTCAGAACTAAGGATACCGAGCAAACACAGAAATCGACTGTAAGTTTTTGAATTTTTAGAAGTAAATAAAAAAAAAAGTAATTGTATATAAGGGTACTTCACTGGGAATAGAAAGATTGGTTTAATAGATCGATTACAATTTGAATATATTTCCAACCATCTTTGATTGAATTGCATGTATTTGTCATAAATTTTTGAGATTGTTTTTATTTAAATTTGTACTATTTCTTTCATAGCCAGAGCGATAGGACTGGTTTAATGAATCTATAGTTTACTTACATTTGTAAAGTGACCCTCACTGTCAGAGGGACGAGATTATTCAGACTATATTTTACTTATGGTACATTTGTAAAATGACCATCACTGTCAGAGGGACGAGATTTTTGAGACTATATTTTACAAACATGTGTAAAATGACCCACAATGGCAGAATGATTGTACCAGATTATTGAAATTTTGTTTTACTAACATTTGTCATATTACATATTAGGATTTAGAATCTGAAGAGAAAACGAAAATGAAGTCTAGTTTAAAAGAGAAAGAAGAATTATGTGCTAAATTAAAACAACTTGCTATAAAATCCAAAAAAGAAGCAACTGATACAAAAGCAAAGGTAAGATACACTGTAATAAAAAAGGATTCCTTGTACATGTACCATGTTAGAGTAATATCCTATGGCAATTTAACAGATATAATCCTTGAGTGGCATTTAGAGATTGAGCACATTATAAAACACAACACAATTTATATGGAAAGCAATCACTGGTTTATACACATATAGCACAATGTTTCGACAAGTATTGTGTTGTGTTTTTTAAAGTAATAGATGGTTGACAGAATCCCTAGTAATGGCCGAATTTTTGACTGTTAATCAAAATTGAAAGAATTTAGCTTTGATGATTAGAGATGTCTATGTTTAGAAACTAATATTTTGGCAGATGTAAAGTAAACATTTACGATTAACAGGAAATGTTGGTAAAATGTATGTACATGAAAATTTGGATACTGTTTCTGATCATGAATAACCATATTTAAATTATTAATATTTAAAATAGCTGTTCTATTAAATACCTTTACTTACACGTTATAATAATATGATATATATTTACAGTTGGCAGCATTGACTGAGCAATTCAGTGGACTAGAGAAAATAAAGGAAGATCTTGAACAACAGATAAATGTATTACAAAATCAAGTGTCAGATAGTAATCAGGTATGGTACTGTAAGGAGACGAAGTGAACATTTTTTTCTCACTGTATTTGACAAAATCTGCACTCATGGATTAAACCTCCTTATAGCTCATTTTTGAATTTTATGGTTTTTATTGACTATTTCTAATACATACATCTTTTTATACGCCAATATTTTCATATGGAAGTATATTGTTGTCGCCATTGTCCGTTAGGATGTCTATAATTTGTTTGTGGACTCTGCACATCACAATGTTTATCGTCGGTGGGGAGTCAAAAGGTCGTATCTGGATTTTGCGAAAATGTCCAGGAGAGCCAAAAAACACACAGAGGTTAAGAATCAAAATGTCTAATAAAACCGTCACGTCAAACCGTCGTATGTAAAATGTCATATTTCAGAAGCTTTTCTATAATATTTCTGTACGAAGTGTATGTGTAGCCATTAAAACAATATGTAACTATCCGCACGTATCAAGCTCAACATTTAGTGCAGAAATAAAGAGTGAAAGATAGTTATTTGCAATTTTATACAGCAAAGACGTATCTCAGGAAAATATTCACCTTTACCTGCTTCAATTTCATAGAATTCACATAGTAGACGCTCAACAATAATTTCTAATACTTTGGTTAGACACAAAGTTGATTTCTTTTAAAAAATACAACATTTTGACTCTTAATATTTTTTTTTTTTTTTTGGAACACCCCATATACGACATTTTGAAACAATATCTATAAAACCTCTTTTTATTGGCTTAGAAATACGACAACTAGATGAAAAGATGCGCAAGAAAATCCTCATTCTGAAGAAGCAAAAAAGTGAATTTCGCAAAATATGCCAGATACGACCTTTTGATTCCCCACCGACGTTATCTGATTTTGATGAAACTTGAAATATAGGATTATCTCCCAAAGATCTTGGTTCCTTTCAATATTAGCACATATCAGATTGTAACTTCCTGAATTATAGTTCCTGATTGTACGAAAGATCATGTTTTTAGCCTATGGATCCTTTAAAGGTCATATTTTTTATTTGATTTTAAAAACAATTCAAATATATCACTGTTACACCACAATGATGGTCGAGTTCAAATTTCTTGAGAATCGAACCAAAACTATCTGACAAAATGGTCGCTCCCTGTACGCAAATAGTATAAAAGTATGTAATACCAATGTTGTGGACCCTCTGGAGGTCACAGTTTGATGAAACTTTAAAAACATATGTTTAAATCCCAAAAATCTTGGTTCCTTTCGATATTGACACATGTCGGACCGTAACATCCTCGATTATGGCCCCCGATTGAACGAAAAATCATGGTTTTTTTTTGTTTTGTTTTTTTTAGAGTGTTCTCTGTTCTTCTCTTACAAACATCCATAGGGTAATAACTTCTATCTACTGTACTGAAAACATGGTCATAATGCAAGTTGGAATATATTGAGTTTGTGGTTAACACTTTATCCTTTTTGATTTGTCTTCAGAATATTGAAGCTATTTCGTTATTACAAGCAGAACTGGCCAAATCTAAACAGCAAGCCGTCCAATCGGAAGCAGATTTAAACAAGATGATAGAACAACTGACAGAAGCTAAACAGCAATTAGCAGAAATAAAATTAGAGAGAGATAATTTACTAAAACAGACTGAAACGTTGAATAGTGATATAAAGGTTTTTGACAATTTAGATATATATTTACTCTTAATTTTATTAAACTTTAAAGAACCACATTCAATGTAGGGGATAAAAAATTTTACCTACATTTATTTCAATATTTCACACCTGATATTAAAAAAAAAACCTATCATTTGATGGACTTTTATAAATGATGTTTGTAAATCTTGAATTTTACAATTCTGAATGTAACAAAATCAAATCACAACTATAAAACATTTGAAAGATGTTTCCGCAATCATGTAAACACATCACAGATCAATTCTCTCACACCCAAAAAAATGAATTTGACAAAAATGGGAATGTTGAAAATCACTTTTTTATGATGTAGTACAATTCTTACAGTTCTGTGGAAGACCTAATGATTCGTCAGAATATTTCGAGTTCATTCCCGGTGTTGGCGTTGTTTCCCCTTAACTAGTCCTTTTGATGGGATGAAAAACCTTTAGTCCCATGTAGACCATTGGCAGCATGTTAAAGATCACCTGATAGTTGGAAATATAAAGAAGAGTTGGCTGTAGCGTCAATGTGCGGGCAAAATATCACTCATGGCGTATGTCTGTTTTCTGTAGCCCATATGGTGCAGAGAAGAAAGACATAGACACCCCCCCCCCCAACTTTTTATAATTCATTTCATTTATATTATAGTTTTATTTATTTTAGAATAAAAAAGGTCAGATAGAAGAAAGTAAAAGTGAAGTAACAGCTATTAAAATACAACTAGATGAATTAAAGAAAGAAAAACAACAGGTATACATATTCTTAGTGATGGACATTTTTCAAAGAAAACAAACGGACACATAACCTCTCCCTGTCATTTTTTAGGAACTCCTTTTTATTATTTGATGTGTAAGGATCTGATGTGTGTTATGCATGTATATGATTACATTTGACTGTATAGAATTAAGAAATACAATAGGCTTTGGCTATATGTATAGTGTTTGAGCTGAGAACTTGTAATCACTTGTAGAAATGTGTTTTTATTTGTAACATGCCATTATTAATAAAGCTTTTAAAATGTCATTTTCAGTTGGATAATAGATTAACTGAGATGGAAAATAAACATCAACAAGAAATTGTTAGTCATGAGAAGAAGGTGACTGTTTTAGAAGGAGAGATTAAAGATTTAAAAGGCAATCTTGAATCCGCTAAGCAGGTATATTTTATGGCATTTATATTAAAATATGTCTAAAGGCTAATATATATGTTTAAAAAGCTCAATATATAGAACAAACATTTTTCAAAGCCTATTCCAGTTAGGTTATGTGTAAAAGTCAATTTTATCTAATGTGTTATTTTTATATCTAATGTATTGAAAGTAATTCAGAACATTATATCTATGTTTATAGCTATACTAAATATTCTTGGCTGTTACATAAGTGACATAATATTGTCTCATTTTTTATGGCACTTTTCTACAAAATTAAACGAAGAATGTGTAATGTTTAGCATGGAATGATTTAGAAATAGGCCTTTTAAAAAAATAGTTTGATATTCTGACATAATAGCAATGAACTTTAGTATTTATGTTATATTTTTATACATGTTTAGGGTGCTAATCAGAGTAATATGATGGATTTAGAGATAGCAGATTATGAGAGAACTGTACAAACATTAAATAGCAAGATGGAAGAAAAAGATAGTAATATTGTAGAACTAAAGAATGAAATAGAAAGATTGGAGGATAGAGTGAAGACATTCCAGGACCAGTTAGGTTTGTTATTTATTAAAAGTACAGTAGAAACTGTGTAAGCAGCCACTTTTTTTTCAGGGACATCACCTTATTATCGGTCGCAATAAATTCAACCATTAGTAATTCTTTGATTTCATCTCTTTAATAAATGGTAACTCCTCTAATCCGGTCAGCAGTCACCATTTTAGTTATAGATTTATCAAAACATCGCCTATTCAACAGCCATTGTTGATATCTGCCAGTTCCTCATATCGCTGGATCAACAGTTCTGCCGAGTCTATTTTGAGGGACTAAGTAACCGTAACCACAGGGGTTTTAATTTTGGCATTAGTTATGTGAATATTGTATTGGATTTGGTAATTATTCTGGACTATTTTATTTATTTTTTAGATACAGTTGAAGAACAACGGGTACAAGCAGAAGATAGAGGAAATAAGCTCAAACAGTTATTAGTTAAAACCAAGAAAGAATTATCAGATGCTAAGAAACTGGTAAATAATACGATTGTTATAAAACAATTTCCTGGATATTTGTTATAAAACAACTTCCTGGATATTTTTTGTAGGATACAGAAAGCTGTAGATAGCTATGATATATTATGTTCATACATTATGAACAAATCAACATGAATTTTTTATCAGATATATTTATTTAATTGAAAAACAACATGAAATATTTTTTTTTAAATAAAGAATACTGGTAATTACTCGTGATATAATATGTTGGCAGGAATCGGAACAAAGATCTTCAGATGCTCAGTTGCGGGGTCAAATGGAACATCTCACACAACTTGCTGAAGAACAGAAGGTAAATAATAAATTCATTGTCTGATCTCATTAAACTTATTCAAACATAATGGATATAGATCTACAATATATGTTCTGTTTAAGTTAGTCTAGTTGGTATAGAAAAGTAGGATGTTAAATCCCCATTTAATTTCACAATGTCTGTTTATGATGTGTAAAATAATTATAAAATGGTTGAATTAGTCAGGTTTACACAGAAAATATTCTCTTCTTATTGTGCAGATACAGCCACAAGATAATAAATTTCTTTACTTGTGTATATGCTTGATAACGACTTGTGAAACCCTGTTGAAAGGTCGCATTGAAATAAAACAATAGTAATTGTTATTCCATAAAAGTGTGTTTTTAAAGACGTTATATTTCAATGTAGAAATTCTAATTGATTTCGTGATATACTTAGATGCAAATGGCAGAACTTGCTGGAGAGAATCAGAGATTACAGGAAAAGATTCGTATGGTTACAGATGGCAATCAGAGAAATGTAAGATCATTAGAATCACGAGCTCAAGATTTACAAGAAGAATTAGATGTGGCCAGAAGTGAACTTAGTTCTGTTCAAGCTGAGTTTGATAGTTATAAGGTACTTTACATCAACTTATGAATGAATGTAGCACTTATATAAAAAAAACAACAGAAATTGCATCTTCATTAGCCCAGGTGATGCAGAACAGTAGAACGTTAAACCCCATTTCATTTCCTTTTGAAGAAATAAGACAAAAAAAATATTGCAGTTAGGAAATAAACAATGCAAGGGAGGTAACCATAATGATTTATTATGCTTGGGCAAACCAGAATATGACTACAAAATGCAACACATTTTTATCACTTTGAGTCAAAATTTGACTTTTTATCAGATATAAAACAGAAGGTACAGACTTCAATATTTGATTGCTGCTTTGGTGCTGTGACAGTTCACAATAATTCTGAACTGAGGCTAATGTTTAAGTTTTGCCAGTTGTCAACATGATTCTCTAAAGTGTGTAATACTTTGCAGTAATTTTATTTTCATGTATTATAAATTTTGTAGGTTCGGGCTCACAGTGTATTAAAACAACAAAAAACAAAAGCTGCACCAGATATTAATCTTGATATGAATAAACAAGAAACGTAAGTTAGATCATTTAAACTATAGTATCTTTTTTACTTGTAGCACTTGTGACTAGAATGTCCCGATTTCAAGTTTTGGTTTGAGCCACAAAGAATTTCAGGATTTGTAGTTTCCTCTTTGTGTGCAATACTTAGAAGAAAATTATTGCCTTGTCTCTCAGATGGGTCAAAAAACTGAGGTCCACATGAGGTGAGGAAGAAAAGCGCGGGTCACGAGGTCAATGATGTGCGGAAGAACAGAAGGCATATTGAGGGAAAAAAGGTACATTGTGGAATAATATACACCCCTGGAAAATTTGGGGAGAGGAATTCCTCTCCCCAAATAATGCACAGGTGACCATAGAAATAACCATATGTTAGTCTCAAAATGACCAAAGTTTTGAAGAGATGTTAAACTTTTTCCTTTCCTTATTTGTCAAATTATGAAATAAATGCCAAACCAGTTACATAATTTTAAAACTCATGGTAAACCTGGTTAAGTTCTCTGTAATTTTGTATTTATTGATTGGTTGTTAAATAACTCATTTCTTTTTAAATCTAGATTAAGACTAGAAAAAGCAGTTGAACAGCTGAAAACTAAATTACAGGAAACCAGGTAACAAAAGTTTACATAATGTAATCTTCAGAGAATTTGCTTGTCTACAAATTTAAGAAATAAAGTTTTCTCTGAGATTAGAAGCAGTATTTTTATACTCCAACAGACATATTTGAATAGGTTTTCAAGGCTATTCAAACTGATTTTTTATTTTGTGTTTGCTATGAAATATTTACTACAATTAATTCAATGGAATCAACTTCTGTTCAAAATAAACAACCAAAGGAAAATAATATTAGAATGCATAAATCAATCATAAAATGGATCAGATCACTTGCATCAGATAGGCCTACTGGTATTTCAAATGATGGCTTTGAATATTCAAAAAGGAAAATTAGCATTAATTGTGATCATGAATCCACTACCTTTTAGTCTCGAGTCTTGTGTCAGTTCATATTTTCTTGATGATCTAAAAGTTGTATGATTTAACAGATTGGATAATTTGCCAATAATATATTGTATTATTACAGTTTAACACCAGTCAGTAAAACCTAAAATAAAGTATTTGGTTTGTGCAAGAGAAATATATTGTATTTTATTTTTTCTTCATATGAGAATAGGCTTATACATCATTGTATATGTATGTGTAGTTGTGTTATGTTGTATAATTAATTATACAATTTTCAGTGATAAACTAACATTAGTACAACAAGATAATGATATATTACATGATGAGTATGAGAGATTATTACAGCGACATAACAAACTATTATCTGATATGGAGGAAAAAGATAAACATTATTCTAAGAGGTAAGTTCTATCTAGAACCATCTAATATCAGGAGGAGCTAGGGTGGCTCACTAGCCTGAAAGTTCATCGGGGTTTTCCAGCTTGGTTTCTTCTTGTCAGTGGTGCAAGACAGTCCCAGTGTATAGAAATTGAAATAAAAGTAGGCAGTTGGGCTGCTTGTCCCAGGAAAATTTCCTTGTATGGCGCTGCATGGAATATGGTTGTCTTTATTAGCTGGGTAGGTGCAGAACCATAAGATGTTAAACCTCATTGTATTTCAGTTTCCTTTGTGGAACACTGGTACCTAGAATGAACTATTTTTCATGTTTTTGTTGAAGGATTTTATCTACACCTTTTGAAGAATTGGTTACTAAATGGGGTGGGTATGGTTATACGTTCAATAATAATAATTTAATACTGTTACTATTGTTGTCCCCCGCCTTTCGAAGAAAGCAGGGGACTATTAAAATGGGTTCGTCCGTCTGTCTGTCTGTCTGTCTGTCTGTCCTTCTGTCTGTCCGTCTGTCTGTCCGTCACACTTTTTGGGACACAATAACTCTCTTCCTAATTGAGCTAGAATGTTCAAACTTGGTGTATGTGTTTATTAGGTCAATGCCTTGATGGAGTTCGAAGATGAGCATTTTCCGCTTAGGGTAAGCAGAGATAAGCAATTTGATTGGTTGATGCTTTGGGACACGATAACTCTCTTCCTAATTGGGCTAGAATATTCAAACTTGGTGTATGTGTTGATTAGGTCAATGCCTTGATGGAGTTCGAAGATGAGCATTTTCCGCTTAGGGTAAGCAGAGATAAGCAATTTGATTGGTTGATGCTTTGGGACACGATAACTTTTAATTGAGCTAGAATGTTCAAACTTGGTGTATGTGTTTATTAGGTCAATGCCTTGATGGAGTTCGAAGATGAGCATTTTCCGCTTAGGGTAAGCAGAGATAAGCAATTTGATTGGTTGATACTTTGGGGCACGATAACTCTCTTCCTAATTGAGCTAGAATGTTCAAACTTGGTGTATGTGTTGAGTAGGTCAATGCCTTGATGGAGTTCGAAGATGAGCATTTTCCGCTTAGGGTAAGCAGAGATAAGCAATTTGATTGGTTGATGCTTTGGGACACGATAACTTTAGTTCTAATTAAGTGAGATTGATGAAACTTGGTGTATAGATTTATTATATGAATACCTTAACTAAGTTCGATAATGAACATTTTTTGCTGAGGGTAAGCAGAGTGATAAGCAATTTGATTGGTAGAAACTTTGGAACACAATAACTCTCCTTCTAATTGAGGTAGAATGTTCAAACTTGGCATAGGTGTCTATTAGGTGAATGTTTAAACTTGATGTATATGTAGATGTTCATTAGGTGAATGTCTTGACTGAGTTCAATAATTAACATTTCGAGCTGAAGCTAAGCAGAGCTAATCGATTTCATTTGTCGATGGTTTGGGACAAGATAATCTTGATTCTATCTGATAGAGAGTGATGAAACTTAGTGAAAAAAATAAATGTGCGATTAATTAATATGTGTCATCTATTTATTTTGCAATTTCGGCGGGGGACATCAGCCTCACTGTTGGCTTGTTTATATTTAGATTAGAGATGGTATCTAGTGAGAAGAGTAATAGTATAATAGAACTACAAGAGACTATCAAACAATTAACATTACAGAATGAAACAATTAATTCATCTTATAAGGTTTGTTTTTGATACGCCCACATTTTCACGTGGATGTATATTGTCACCCCTGTCCATCTGTCTGTCCGACCACAATTTGTTTGTGGACATTCTCCAGGTCACAATTTATATTCCAAAATTGAAATATAGGTTTATCTTCACAAGATCTCAGTTCCTTTCGATAACTTCATGGATTGTAGCCCGATTGTACAATAAATCACATTTTTGGCATGTGGAACCTCTAGAGATCACAATTTTTATCCGATTTCAAAAACCATTTAAATATATCACCGTTACACCATAATGTAGGTTGAGTTTGAATTTCGGGAAAATCTAAACGAAACATCACAACAAAATGGCGGCTCCTTGTACGCAAATATTGTAAAAGTATGTATATGTTTATATCCCAAAGATCTCAGTTCTTTTTGATATTTGCACATTTCAGACCATAACTTACTAGATTATTACCCCTGATTGTATGAAATATCATGTGGTTTTTTTTTTTAGCTTGTTCCATATCCATTTCTTGCAAAATGTGGGCGTATTTTGCTTGGCATCCACTTGTTCTTTTTTTCTAAACTGCAGGAACCGTACAATATAAATACATGTATATTTTCATAAAATTTCATCATTTCTATGAAATTATCATAAAATGGAAAAATATCATAAAAAATATGAGATTTCACTATTATAAAAATATCATAAAACTTGATAAAAACATCATAAAAATCATAAAATTCCACGAGAAACTTTCATAAAAAATATAAATTTCTGACGATCCCTGAATCTGTTGGAAGGATAGCAAATGAAGCATGCCATAACATGCCATAGAATTAGAATTTCAAAGAATATATAACCATAAAACACAATTTTACTTTTAAATTTATAGTTTTATGTGGGATAATGCTAAATATATTACTAATCTAAAGTAAACAAAATACATTAAAATCTAATATTTTAAAGTTTGAGTGAAGGATTAGTGAGTGTTGCATGCTATTTGCAACTTTTTGCCATAAATCAACATGCATTTTATTTAGTGCTGCTCTTAGTGGTCATATAGACCTAAATTTGCCTGATAAATTACTTATGTAGAATTTCATCCATATTTTCAGGAACAACTGAAATCAATGCAAGAAGATCATTACCGAGCCATGTCTTTACTACAGAAACAGTGTGATTCTTTTGATAATGAAAATATGAAACTACAGCGAGATTTACAACAGACATCAATGTTAAGATCATCTAGATCAACTGATAATACAGAACTCAGGGAATCTTCTCCACAGGAATTTTTCATGGATGCTCATATTGGTGAAGAGAGACAAGAAGGGGAGGTAAGCTTGATAGTCCGTAGGATTCAGACTAGTAATTCTCTCCCAATTGATATCAATGATAAATCCATGACATTTCTTGGCCTTTAACATTTTGATCTTTATAACCACAAAAAGTCCAACATGTCAAATTAATCAGATATAAAATTTTGAAGGGGGTTGAACATCTTGATTTTTTGCTAGGCCTGATCAAATGGAAATTCAAAAACACTTTTTTGATTCTGGATCAAAATGTCAGTAACATATCAGATAAATTTTGTGATCCTTAAAATGCTGTTGTAAATTCTAGAACATTACACAAAGAAGTTTTTGATTTCTGTTTACTTTATGTGGAAGATTTTCTACTGTTCTGATCAATGTGCAGTACAAGCCAGATATATAAATTTAAGGATTGTTTCATTGATGAGTGACCGAATCTGGGTTGTATTTCTTCTTTACCATCAGTGTGTTGGGGTTTTTTTATCCAGAGCCAAACAAAGTTAGGGGGAGATATTGAAATGGGGTTCCGTCCGTCCCGATTTTGTTTCTGGAGCATATCTCATAAACCGTTCAAGATATCTTCTGAAACATTGTACACACATCAACCCATTACAGTAGTTGTGCCTTTTGCTATTTAGGAATTTCTGGGATATATATTTTTCTGTTTCCATGGAAACAAATTTGACTTAGTTTTTGGTGTACAAGTCTGTTTCCAGAGAGTACAATTTTGTTTCCAGAGCACATCTCATAAACCATTCAAGATATCTTCATGAAACTATGTACAAACATTAATCTAATATAGTAGTTGTGCCTTTTGCTATTTAGGAATTTCTGGGATTTATATTTTTCTGTTTCCATGGAAATAAATTTGACTTAGTTTTTGGTGTACAAGTCTGTTTCCAGAGAGTACAATTTTGTTTCCAGAGCACATCTCATAAACCATTCAAGATATCTTCATGAAACTATGTACAAACATTAATCTAATATAGTAGTTGTGCCTTTTGCTATTTAGGAATTTCTGGGATTTATTTTTTTTGTGTATAACAAATTTGACTTAGTTTTTTTGGTGTACAATTTTGTTTCCGGAGCATATTATCATAAACCATTCATGAAACTTTGTACAAACATTAACCCAATATAGTAGTTGTGCCTTTTGCTTATTTGGAATTTCTGGGATTTAATAATTTTTGCGTTTCCATGGAAACAAATTTGACTTAGTTTTTGGGGTTCAATTTTGTTTCTGGAGCATATCTCATAAACCATTAAAGATATCTTCATGAAACTGTGTACAAACATCAACATGTGATAGTAGTTGCGCCTTTTGCTATTTTAGAATTTCTGGGATTTAATAATTTGACTTAATTTTTATGTACAATTTTGTTTCTCATAAACCGTTCAAAATATCTTTAATAAATCTTTTAGCCATTGTCTAATTTTTTGATTCGTTTTTTCAGTGTCAGTGAAAACTGATGGAATTTTACTTGCGAAAATAATATAATAGTATACTAAAATACTTTGCATGGATACAATGACTATGCTTATTACACTCCAGTGTTTTAACACAATTTGACAAGTGATTATTATTCATATTGTTTAAGAATAAAATTTAAATTGAACTATGAAATATTGTGTTTTTATTTTAGGGTTCAGAGATTGTAGAGGAACCATGTCAAAAGGTAAATATTAATTGTCAAACTAATTGAACATAAATTTTATTTATTATACTTTTCTTTTTAATGATGTTAATTTTTATATTTAATATCGTTCCATATTTTGTCTGTATACTGATTACCCATTCCTTTTAATATTAGAATTGGAGTTTTCGTATCTAGTATAAATCCATATTATATTTGCGTACCTTAAAGAGATTAAATGTGTTGACTTTATAAATATACAAAATGTAAATATTTTAAATACAAAAAGGTTGAAAATTATACAATAAGTATAGATCTACACATACTTCAATGTTATTTTGTAATGTAATGTTTGTATGTTTTAACAGAGTACAATAACTGGTAATTCGAGTGGTTTATCATTTGAACAACTATTAACAACACCAATCACAGATAATATAGGTAGGTACGACTTTATAAAACACAACATCTATTTCTTCCTTATATATTGTTTCGTCCAAATACAAATCTTTAATCTTATTAGTGCCAAAAGAATTTATTGAAAGAGTCATTAAACCAATGCTCGTTCATTATCAGATTATAAGCCAAGTTGAACTACATTCATCATATTTTCGTTAAACACAAGTATAATATATATACATAGGCTGAATAACCAAACCATTTTCTTGTCGAGAAACACAGTTTCTATCTTCTGCCTGTTTCAACTGTATGTGTATATTGTATGAATTAAGGCTGTCAGAAAAAAAATTGCTTTATCGATATATTGCAATACGATCGTCTGTGATACACTGTATCAATACATTTTTACCTTATTGATATTTTTCTACTTTCAAGTGTTAGCTAGACTGTTTATTAAGACTTCATAATCAGTCATATTATTTAGGCTTTGCAGTAAACAATGAGTTTGCAAAGACAAGACCAGAGTTGTAAAAACATATAAAAAGAAATGTGTATTCACACAATTCAGTCATATTATAGGCTTTGCAGTAAAAAAATAAGTGTCCAAGACCAAAGTTGTAAAAATAATAAAACTATTGAAAATAAAACTTTTTTTTGTGATAAACCCTGACTTATTGTCAAGTATCGCAATATATTGCAGTACGATTTTTGGCTGAAATACACAGCCCTAGTATAAAATCATTTTATTCAGGTAGTTTAACTAAAAATATTGTTTTCTATTTGCAGGTGTAATGAATAGTGAACCTATAGATACAGATATATTACAGAATACCATTACAACAGCACATAAAAAAATCGAACATCTTACAGAGGTAATAAGTCATTATTTTATTCTTACAGTTTTTTTCAAACGTTTTGTCAAATATTTTTTTAACACAGTGAATCCAGGAAATAAGGCATCTGTACAATCTATCTGGTTCATGTCTTGTACAGATTTGTCTATTTTCAGTATTATAATTTATATACTACTTCATTATAGTCTGATCTATCAAATACAAATAAGATCATTATTTTCAATTACAATTACAAAGATCCCTGTATATTTTACACAACTTACAAACATATCTTCACAGTTACAATATGTAAATATTCTCCTGCTGTTGAAAATGACAGCTATTGTCTTTGTTGCTACAAATGAATAGCTGTGTAAGGACTAGTATTTTATGTTAGTAACATATCATATGTGTGCACTAGTTTAATTCCAATGATGACTTTAACTGTAAGTAAAGTTATTGACAGGATAAGTCAGGGCAGAAACAGTAGCCAAACATTTCTACTTTGAAAATAAACCTACAGTTATCATCCTATTTACCAGTACTTAAAAATTTATACACAGTGTTTATGTTCATAGACAGAAAAACCTATTGATTTTCAATGATTTCTGGTAATCAATGTTAGAGTTATACCCCTTGATCACATTAAAATATGTCGTGGGCAATCTAAGAGGTTACTTCTAGAGACAATGTTATTAAAAAAAACTTGTGGATGTTCAACTAATCCTTTAATTAATGTCTTGTAACTGCTGCTATTACTTACAAAAGAATAAATAAGTGACAACCTTTGTTGACTGTTCAAACGACTTAGCTGCTATGGAAATATGTTCATTGCCTGGCAACCTATCTTACATATATGTATTGTTTATATTATGTTAGGTTTTAAACGAAAGTGAAGCTTCGGTATCTAGATTAACAGAACAAGCAAGAATATTAAAAGATGAAATTCGAAGATTGGAGCGAAATCAAGAAAGAGAAGAAGAAACCAAAAATTTAGAATATTTGAAGAATATTTTAATTAAGGTGAGTAACAGAGTTTATTATTTCTTATAAAATTTCCTTTGATATCTATATTTTAGATATTCATGTACCTATTTTCATATAGATTTCTTTGTTACCATTTGAAAATTAGTTTTTTTGGCCGTTTTTACATAAATGATAAATATGATATATCAAATAATTTTAATCAGATGTGTGTGACATTGGTGCAAAGTGTATGTAAACACTGGCTTCAAGTACATACCACTTGTATATCTCCATTTTATGTGCTCTATAGACAGTGGTTGTTTTTATCTTCTAGTTTTTGACACCTAAATCTGGAGAACGACATCAGTTAATACCAGTTCTTACCCAAATGTTAAAACTTAGTGTTGATGAAAAAAATATTCTAGTTAAATTAGCTGGTAAGATTAATATTATATTTTTTTGTTCAGTTTCTGTCATTCTGATAAAATGACCTAATTTGTGTCGAGTGGATGTGTGGATCTCTCTCTGAGCTGAACTTTTGGTTACTATGAAATATCTATAAATATAATATCTTGCATACTTTACTAAATCATCATTTTTTTATTTATTTTTTTTTAAATATTTTTAGGGGAAGAAAATGAAGCCAGTCAATCAGCTGGTTGGGGATCATATCTACACAGATGGTCTGGTTTATCATAATACGGTTCACCCATCTTATTTTTAAATCCTGCTCAAACTTGTGCAATTATATCAAATCTGTGGGGATAGGTAATAATTAATACATGTCAATCATTCTTTTAATATTTCATTTACTATATTTTTTTTTTATTGTACAGCTTATAAATATGTAAATGGATATAACTTATCCAAAATGTCCATTTATTTCATATAAAATATGTCTGTCCATTTTGACCGGGTATAAGATTCTTTATTCTCCTTACACCTTGAGCAGGTGCTTTTGGAGGATTTGGGGTCTTTCTGTGAGACTTTTCTGTGAATACATGAGATACCTGATAACAGTGAAAAGAAATTAACATATAATGTCATATTGTAATATAATATACAATGCCAGCTTGTAAAAACAATTATGTGATAAATTTGTGATAATCATAAAATAGATATTTTTATTATTGTCCATTGTATAAATTGTTGGTGTCAATGTGATATATGTATATAATTAGTTAAAAAGAGGACTTTGCAGTTTATATTAATTAATTACCAGTAGCATTAAAATGGTTTCAAGAAAGCACAAAGCAATGTGCACAATTTCAGAGAGAGAGAGAGAGAGAGAGAGAGAGATCCATTTATTCTCTACATAAACAAACTAGGTCATTTTGGGACTAACATGGTTCAATTTCATTTCGACAACTCACTTCAACATGGGGTCTTTAGCAGTACGAGGAAACCGAAGGACTCAGAGAAAACCCACAAGGTTGGACAAGCGGGGAATCAAAACCCTGCCACTTGACTCAATGACAGACCTTATGGTTAAACCTGTAGACACCCAACCCCCGATAGTTGTTGAATTAAGAGAGTAATTAATTAAGTGAGTCTAGTGTAGTAATTTTAATAAATTACATAATTTATTGCTTTTTACAGATGTATAATTTATTATCAGTTATGCCATTTTATCATCTAGAAAATTGGTGAAATCTAGCACCATAAATTTTTTAAAAACAAAAACAGCTAAAAGTTTCTGAACATCAATTACGGAAATGAAATGAAATGGAGTTTAACGTCCTACTGTTCTGCTCCTAACCTGGGCTAATGAAGACGGGCATACGCCATACAGTGTGCTATGAGGGAAATTTTGCCCGGACAGCGGCACTACGGCCTACTCTTATATTGAATTCCAACTGCCAAGGGATCTTTTACGTGCACGCCAATGTGTACATGGGACCTCGGTTTTTCGTCCCATCCGAACGACTAGACAGCTTTCCTTGTCAGCCCCTCCGTCCTGCATCACTGACAAGGGAGAACCACGCCGGAAAATCTGGATGAACTTTCTCGGCCAATATCAATTACGGACATTTATCACAAAGGAGGCTATGGCGGTCTAAAGAGGTCAGACTAGATCTGGTAAAGACCTCATATTTTTTCTAAACAGTATGTAGACAAGTCTTGTTTTCTCCTTGAATGGGAATTTTAAGTTTTATGTGTGGAATTTGGAGTATGCCTCGATACTTATCAGAAAATTTACAAGCAAGGTTACAAGTTGTGTTTAAATGTTTGTGGTGTATTTATTGTATATTAATATATTATTGTTGGAAAATAAACATTTACAAAAAGGTTCACATTTGTTACTTTAAACTTTAAAGTGTCTTTATATATGATAGAGTCAGTATGCCCTGCAAACATTTGTTATGAACAGATCATCTTTCTTTTCACATTAAAATTAAGAATATCAACAGGCCCGTATCCAGGATTTTGTCGAGGGGGGGGGGGTCATACATTGGAGCAAAGGTTAATCATCAGAGTGCCGTATGTATTTGTGGTTTGGTGTAGTCCCCAGAGTCTTCGTCGCGGTCTCATTAAACAGAAACTAAAATCTGGGAATCCCATTGCTGGCTGCAAATGCTGGTCTGAACAATCCAACATAGGCATGTCACAGGTTGACTCGGAATATGTTTGAGATTGGTGTACCTTATGCATGGGAATCAAATGAAACCACATTATTTCCATATCTGTTTGATTCCCAGTTTACATATGGAAACTATTTTATAAAAGCCTGGAATTGATTTGTAATGTTTCTTCAATTTTTTTTTACATACCTACATTTTCATGTGGACGTATATTGTCATCGCCCCTGTCCCTCCACAATTTGTTTGTGGACTCTCTACAGGTCACAATTTTTATTCGATTTTGACGAAACTTAAAATATAGGTTTATCTCCTGAGGAACTCGGTTCCTTTCGATATTGGCATATATTGGACCATAACTTCATGGATTATGGCCCCTGATTGAACGAAAAATCACGTTGTTAACTTGTGGACACTCTAAGAGGTCACAATTTTCATCTGACTTTGATGAAACTTGAAATGCATGTTTATAACCTAAAGATCTTGGTTCCTTTTAATATTTGCGCATATCGGATCGAAACTTACTGAATTAAGGCCCCTGATTGTATGAAAAATTGCGTTTTTAGCTTGTGGTCACAATTATTATCCGATTTAAAAAAACGTTTGAATATATCACCGTTACACTTTTATGACGCTTGAGTTCATATTTTGTGAATATCGGACCAAAACTGCCGGACAATATACCCAAATAGTGTAAAAATATGATATATCAAGGTTGTGGACCCTCTAGAGGTCACAATATTGGTGCGATTTTGATGAAACTTGTAGTACATGTTTATAACCCGAGGGTCTTGGTTCCTTTCAAAATTTGCGCATATCGGATCGTAACTTCCTGAATTATGGCCCTTGATTGTACGAAAAATAATGTTTTTAGCTTGTGGTCAATCTGTAACAATTTTTAATAAACTGTTTGAACATAGGACCGTTAGGGTATATCAAGGTTGTGGACCCTCTAGGCCACAATTTTGATCCGATTTTGATGAAACTTGAAATACATGTTTATAACCCAAAGATCTTGGTTTCTTTTGATATTCGCGCATATCAGATCGTTACTTTGATCCGATTTTGATGAAACTTGAAATAAATCTTTATAACCCAAAGATCTTGGTTCCTGTCGATATGAATTATGGCCCTTGATTGTACGAAAAATCGCTTTTTGTTTAGCTTGTTCTCTATCCATCTCTTGCAAAATATGGGCGCATCCTGCCTGGCAGCAGCTGGTTTTCTTTTTCATCTTAGGTATTATAATATTGTATACTATATCTGTCTACCATTTTAATTGAAAAATGGTCATTGCTAAGGTCCCTTTTTTGTAAATGGAAATATAAGGTAAAAGTTAAGAAGTGATACCGGGCATTGATAAATGAAAACAAAGAAGACACTCTAGTTTCATTGAAATATGATTTACTATAATTTATGAATCAAAAATAAATAAAGTACAGCAGTGGGCCTATTTTTTTTATTTTTTTTAAAAAAAAAAAGGTTATAAATGCATCTCATCAAATGATAATATTCATTTTATAATTGAAATAAAATGCAGACTTTACAACACTGAATAATGGCCACTTACTAATTTTTGAATTTACTGGAGGGCAATTTTGAGGGGATCTGTTGTCAGATATGAGTTTTGGCACACAGTATCATCATTTATTTTATGATCAGTAGTGGAATACCGCGTTTTATCAGTGAAATAAAAGTGTTATTCCACTGGCAAAGTAGTCCATGTTGTTTTTACCTAAAATAATTGTAAAATCATAAAATAAATAGAACATTTGTCGTTTTATCGTGAATAACATATTTTATTTCATCTCTAAGCAAGAAAACGTTTATATTTTCACTCATGCTACGCATTCGTGAAAATATAAGTTTTCTTGCTTCTCGATGAAATAAAATATGTTATTCACTCTAAAACGACAAATATCCTCTATATAATGGTATTCTGGGCCCTGTTTCTCGAAACCTTAACTAAAGATATAATCCAAATTTTAGTAGATACGTCAATTTGATTGGCTAAGCACTAAAATCAATCTAATATTATCCAATCAAATTACTAAAATTTGGATTTTATCTTACTTAATATTTCGTGAAACAGGCCCCAGGTCTACTACTCGTGTTCAGATGTGTTTTAATTTAACAGACAACACAAACATATTATTGCCCACCAAAACACATTATTGGCCACCGTCATATTTCTTTATCAGAGAACGAATATTTTCAGGTATAGATTTTCTAGATTTGCCGCGGAAACTAACATCGACTTGATCGATTTAGCCATCAGGCGTAGAAAATTCTTTTGGTTTTCTGGAGTTTGGGCTAATCTTCGAAATATTTTCTTCTACTTGCATATCCGTGGTTACGGCTGCCCTACGATATCGCGCTTTCTTGTTGCGTATACTTAAAAGCACATCGTCTGTAATAAGAAAAAAAGAGGAGATTGTTAAAGATATACAGTAATTTAAAACTTTGTCTTTCGTATCTGGCTCGACTTGCCAATGAAAAAGAATTAAAAATCAAAAATTTAGGGATACGACCCAAATCTTCCAGGACGCAGACGTGACGGAACGCCTGATTTCCTTATACTCTCCCTTTTTTCAGTTCAAATATTATGCTTGTGATAACATTTATCCTGTAAAATTATTACATATATTTCATTTAATAGGATTTTTTTTTTTTTTTTTTTTGTTGTTGCTTCCTTTAATATGCCATTTAACAAAATTTAATTACAAAAAGAACACAATTATGATACGCGCGAATATCTTAAATGTCTTTTAACATTCAAATATGCCAAAGCCAAGCTACATAGTATGGTATAGAGCAACAGTACCTAGTTGTTAATGATCACTCCTGTGTGTTAGTTTAAACAGTTTTACAAGCACACGAACACTTAATTTGGACAATTCTAACGTTTTCATATTTGACTGTATATGTTCTTTAAATGATTCCCAATACAATACGATATCACTGTGACACTGTTGATTGCTACTTTGCGTACCGGTATATTAAAATATCTATTTCAATGTTTTATGATATAATAAAAAGCATATATTGAATTGTAAACAAACAGCATGGCTATTAAACACACACACACACAAGCAATCTTAAAAAACACCCCCCAAAAAATATAAGAAAGATAGCAACACGGGCCTTGCCCCCAGACTATGACTCATTCGTTTTGTTGTCCCCCGCCTTTTGAAGAAAGCAGGGGACTATTAAAATGGGTTCGTCCGTCCGTCTGTCTGTCCGTCACACTTTTTGGGACACAATAACTCTCTTTTTAACTGAGCTAGAATGTTCAAACTTCGTGTAGGTGTTTATTAGCCCAATGCCTTGATGAAGTTCGAAGATGGGCATTTTCTGCTTAGGGTAAGCAATTTGATTGGTTGATGCTTTGTGACACGATAACTAGGTGTATAGTTTCATTACATCAATACCTTGACTAAGTTCGAAAATGTAAGCAGAGCGATAAGCAATTTGATTGGTCGAAACTTTGGAACACAATAACTCTCTTTCTAATTGAGCTAGAATGTTCAAAGTAGGTGTTCATTGGGCGAAAGCCTTGGTGGAGTTCGATGATGAACATTGTCTGCTTACGGTAAGCAGGGATAATCAATCTGATTGGTAATGCTTTGGGGCACGATAACTTTGGTTATAATGAAGTGAGAGCGATGAAACTCCGAATATAGATTCGTTATATCATTACCTTGACTATGTTCAATGGTGGGAATTATCTGCTTAGGCTAAGGAGAGATAAGCAATTTGGAACATAACAACTCTGCTTTTAATTGAGGTAGAATGTTTAAACGTGATGTAGATGTTCATTAGGTGAATGTCTTGACTGAGTTCAATGATTAACATTTCTAGCTGAAGCTAAGCAGAGCTAATCAATTTCATTGGTCCAAGCTTTGGGACAAGATAATATTGATTCTATCTGATAGAGAGTGATGAAACTTAGTGTATAGTTTGATTGCTTGATACTTTTGAAAAAAATAAATGTGTGATTAATTAATTTGTCTCATCTATTTATTTTGGGATTTCGGCAGGGGACATCCCCCGACATCAGCCTCACTGTTGGCTTGTTTGTTTTTTTGGGGGTTTTTTGGGTTTTTTTTAACACATTATTATATTAAAGAAGTAATGTCTTTAGGAACAATAAATAATGATTACAGAAGCGTTTAAAGCAGCGGTCTCCTACAGAGGCGTTTAACGTAACAGTCTCCTGGAGAGGTATCTCTTTCAAATTGAGTAAATCATCAAATATTAGCATAAATGTTCCAGGCTATGGTTTCTAGTAGTTGATGATTTGGTCAAATTATAAAATAACGTTCGTGAATTGTCGTTAGAATCTATTAGTACATGTAACAAAATCACACTGTAAATTCATTAATGGATTAATTGTTAGCAATGTAATACAAACATCTGAGGTTTAATGTAGCTATACTACCTATTAAATTACCTACTATGGAGCTCCTGACCTCTCTACAGTACTTACGTAACGTTTTATTATAACTGAAATAAGGTTATAGAATAACATAGAAATACAACAAACACTAAGCTAAAAACGGTCACCCGTAAAATATACCCATGACATGCCCATGGAATAAGGGTGTATAAACATAAGGATTACAACAATTACTAATGTAAACAAAACACTAATGTAGAACATAGCGTTGCCAGGGACGAATTTTAGCCCAACAACAGAGGTGTCTTATAACATTTCGCGAATCTTGACCCGTGGAGTCTTTTACAAGCGCTGTTGGTGGCAAAAATGTACGCGACTCGATAGGATTTCTTGTTTTAGGAATAGACCAACAATCCCAGCAAGTTTGAAAAAGTTCGAAGTACTATTCGATCAGTCTCTGAGAATTTGAACAAGAGCATCGCTACCGCTGCACTATACGTCCACATTCCTGCTTTGATTGATATTTTATTTTTTAAGATAAAGAGCATGAAATATAAAATGGCTGCAATGACTATAATATGACAAGATACAAAGAAGGCTAGGGTTGGGTTTGTTTTGCCAAACTTACAGACTAAATATTAACAAAAGTTATGAATGTGGACGTATAAATTGAAATCTTAAAAACCCTTACAAGCCTCTCTAATTAAATAAAATGTGGACCTATAAAAAAATCAATCATGAGATATGGGTAGTGAATAAAATACGATGCAACACAAAACACCGTAAACATACATAGATTACCATTTTAGTACAACGCATATTGATCTAAAAGGAATGTCGGATGTAGAATTACATGCAATACAAAACTAAAAAAATAATATGTAAAAAGAAATAAGCCGAAAATAAAGGTAAAGAATATAATCATATATCACATGGTGATAAAATCATAAAATATTTCATTATAAGATATTCCGCGCTGGCCCGAGATTTCCTAGTTGGGAACTTTAACAATATAAGATTTCGCTATATTATAACGTTTAAAGTTTTAAGCTGCCTAGTCGATCCCACCAAATGTTGATTGTTCAATCTTTCCATCAAATTATAGTGAAAATAGTAATGCTAAGGAAACTTAGAATAAAAAGATAACCATGAACTAAAAACAGACACCATTCCGTATTCAAATGTAACACCTCACCTTTATTTTTAGTCTTTGGTTGCACCAAGAGTGCAGTATCTACATTCTCTCCGCACAGATCACAGAGTTTTGTGGGTAGAGCTTGTGTTTCTTTTGGCGTTGTCCATTCTCCTGGAAATGAAGGTTCGTGGCACTGAGGACATTCAACAAATTTCTCTACCCAAATTCCTGAAAATATATCAAATCTTTTTAGTCCGACAGTTCATCAAGCATTGATGCCGTTGGATTTCCTCTTTACTTGAAGATAGAGACCTTTCCAATATCATCTTCTAATAATGAATTATAAAATAATCGACCTTTTTAGAATATGTTATAATAATATAGTAAAATCGGTAGTAACAGCGCAACGATTTACCCACATGTGAATAAAAGAAAATTATTTCAAGTCTGAACAAAGGATAAGAAACGCCCTTTGGTTGCGATCAGGGTGATATATATTCTACCTCCCTGGCTGTCAAAATCTCGAGAATATAATATACATAATTTACTATTACGTAAAATGCGAAAACATTAACGTGAACTGATTATTTTTAAAAAAAAAAAAAGGCAATTTATTAAGATGTGAAATTCCTATCACATGGCGTATTGCTGGAGAACATGTAATAGCTATAAAGTAAGCTATATTTTGTACCGTTACAAACTAAATCTATGCAAATATTAGCATTCTCCATGACGCAAGGTACATGTACTGTTAAAAGATTTGGGGATCCTCATATTCTTAACAAACCGGAGAACTTTTACAAAAGATCTGCAAATTAATGAATTGATCCAATGTATGTGAAAATCTACAGCTAGGAGAAAATAAGTGTGATAATTGTTTCTAGGGTACCTGTAAAGTTTTTCAGTAAAGCGTCAAATTCTGTTAATAATGGTAATAACAATGTCCACATTGTAGCTGCCGGCACTTCATCTTCTCCTTCTGTATCATCTCTCAGATCAAACTTAATTATCGTGCTACCATCTTCTTCTTGTAAACACCTCATCACTAATCTGATGGTCTGTTGTCGATGCACAGCATGAACTCCCCCATACCAATGAGCGAGGAACTTCAGGTTGAACTGTTCTCCATGGGCACGAGTACACATAAGCTCAAATATTCCGAGTGGTAAGTACCGTGGGAAAACGTAGCGGATCACAACACGACGTCTATTTGATATGCTTTCCCATTTTTCTATCATGTCTGATGGCTCAGATGTCTTTCGAATCCAAGGTATTAGATACTGAACATACTTTTTAGATTTCTCTTTTTCTCTGTCTTCTTCCAACTTGTCTTGATCCAAACTGAAAGTGGTGAAGGTGTCCTTCGGGCGTTTGATGACTTGATATCCAATCTGAAAAGCCTCGAGTAAGAGATTCATAACCTTTTCTATTTGTGACCCCAGATTAATGTTAGTGGTTGAGAGTTGGGGTAAAAGCATGCCTTTAAAAAATTCCCTATCTAAAATGCCCTCTGTCACATAATCACGTTTCATGCGATCAAATTTGACCTGACTAATGCCAACAGTTTTAAAATTATCATCATGGGTATAAGTCAAAGTATCCTCAGCATCGTGTCTGTAGACTAGTTTCAACACATCAAACAACCACGCTGGTCGTAATATGACGTAGTCCTTCAATCCTTGCACCTTTGAAAACCAAATCACTTTCCCAGTTTCATGTAAATACTCGGTCAAATCATTAAGAAGATGTTTCATTCCAAATTTACCCACAACCTCATCTCTATATTCATACCATTTCATTACAGGCACTGCCATCGCAATACCTCTTTCTTCTAGGTACGTTTCCACCTGAACCCAGAAGGTAGGAATCACACGCATTACATTCGGGAAAAGCTTGACATCATTGGATAAAGTTTCAATAGCTCTGGTGAGTACATCGAAACCTTTGTATTTAGCTGAACTTGTAAGTATGATATTAGTTTGAACGGTAAATTTGGACCTCAGTAGGAACACGTATGATTTCAGTTGCTCAGAAAGTGTCGGTGAGATGTAAGAATGTTGCTCGATTCTTCGTATCCTCTGCTCGATCATATTCTTCCCCTTTTCCATATGTTGCGTGAGTTGAGTACAGACACTATCACAGATTACCTTGGTCTGTTCTTGTGGAACGAGATCACTATGTGTGGCTACCAGCAATACAACAAGTTTATTGTTTTTAGCGATCATCCAATCGAACCATGAGCCAACCATTTCATAGAACAGCTCCTCTTTGTAAGCCGCCATGTTGAAAGTTAGAATCGTAATGGCTGATTGTTCAAAAAATACATAATGGGGATAGCAATAGAACGGGTGCCCACAAAAATCCCAAACACATAGCTGTAAAAATTTATTTGGTCGACCATCTACTAGATCGTAATCAAAGCTTGTTTCGTACACACCTATTACAGCAGATTCCTCGTCTATTTCTCTGACTAACCTGGCCTGCTGGTCAACCAGACTGTGTACCAGACTGGATTTACCACTACGATGCGATCCGAGCACTAATATCTTAATTCCTTGGTAGACTTTTGCATCCAACTGAGACTCTTGGAAAAATTGTGTAACAGACCGTAACCCGTTTTCACAAACTGCAGCAGGTGGATAAATCAGAGGATTACCTCCGAGATCTAATTCCTGGTCCACTTCTGTGTCCAGTTTCTTAATAACGTTCCATGAAAGCACTTTGATTTTGTTACTCGATATGTCTAATTGATGAGACATAAGCATTAAGTGTCCCGGAAACTTGGTCAAGTTATTTTCTGAAATATCGAGACAGGATATCCAATGTTTTTGATGTGGTTTGATATTGAAGGATGGTATCTTACTAATGTTATTATGACTAGCATTTAGAAACTCTAGTTTCGGTAACATGAACAACTCTGTGTTGAGAACTGTCAGTTTATTGTTCGAAACGTCAATATCAACCAATGCTTGCAAATTTCTAATTTCATGAGTTAACTCCTTAATTTTATTGTCACTACAGCGTAAAATTTCCAGTCTTTTTAGATTTGAAATTTCTTTTATTACCGAAGTCAACTTGTTATTATCCAACACTAAGACTTGCACTTTTCGTAGTTTTTCTAGTCCTACAACACTTTCCAGTCTGTTGTTGCTCATATCCAACCGACACAAGTTTTTCAACTTTTTAAGACATGCGGGAAACCTGGTCAGTTTATTATCGTTTAAGCGTATCTCGATCAGACCTTCCAGATCGGTCATAGTCTCGGGAAAACTGCTGTCTCCAAGTTCATTCTCTCCTAAATCTAATTTTTTCAGGTTCGAGAGACGCGCGACCAACGTTTCTGGCACCTTCTTGAGTTTGAGTCCCCCGAGTTGAAGACGACGTAACGTTTCTGTGAGCTGCTGTACATTATCAATCGTTTCCTTGCTAGTATCTAGCAACCGTAAAGAAACCGCCCGTTGTCCATTGGAAGTCGGTAGACGCCGAGGATGTAAATGGCGTCCTTCCAAGTACCCAACATGGGTAAGTGGATGAGCTCCGTAAGGACCATGATAAGGTTCCTGACATGGTTCCACCACTATTTGTTTGCTGGTATTTTTGTGCTTTTTGCGATGCTTCACATGTGTCATCTTGGAAGTTGCCCTTTATAAGTAATACTATGAATATCCATTAGATCTGAAATTATACAAGGCAGAAGAATAATGACATATTTGTTCAAGCATCGATATTACAAACATCAATGCTGTAACAGCAATGAACACGAGTAAAAATCTTTTGGGGTTTCCAAGATTCTGAGGTGTCACAAAAGAAGACAAAAGCTAAAACTTCTTCAATTAAAAAATTCATCAGAAGACACGCTGACGGGCTCTTTGGTTTTGATCTCACACAGCGAAAAAATGGTTAACCGATTCTAAAATCACACACCTCTACTATATATTCCTTGGCCTGTGTTACTATGTGACTATTAGTATTGTTAATAGCCTATATACAGACTGACACAGTAACCAATATTGATTTGATAAGAGGTTCTTAAGGGATAAAGTACTTAAGTAATAGGTATGTGATAAATGTATTAGGCGACTTGTCCTTAACAACACCAATTAGCTAGACGCACCCCCCCCCCCCCCCAATCCTCCTTTATGCATCCAATCGTTTTGAGATAGTTGTTGGTACAAAATTACAAAATGTTCTTCTCTTTTAAACATACATTATGCAAGAGCCAAATCTGCATATTGCATGTCTCTCTTAAATCTTATGTGTCGGATTGTCACTGGATTCGAATCCAATCTGCAGCTCAACGCTCACTGACGATTAAATCCAAAAATGGATAATCGAGGCTATGTTATTTAGCGTACCGACTTTAATAATGATGATAGAGAGGCTAGGCCTAAAATTCAACGCTAATATCTCGGTTCAGAGTGGAACAATTTGACTGAAATTTGCAACATATTCCTTTTACATTATTTATTTTTATACGCCCACATTTTCATGTGGACGTATATTGTCGTCGCCCCTGTCCGTCCAGACGTCGGTCCGTCCGTCCACAATTTGTTTGTGGACTCTCTACAGGTCACAATTCTTGTCCGATTTTGACGAAACTTGAAATATAGCTTTATCCCAAAAAAATCTCGGCTGCTTTCGATATTGGCATGTATCGGATCGAAACTTCGTGGATTATGGCCCCTGTTTGTACGAAAAATCACGTTTTTAGCTTGTGGACCCTATAGAGGTCACAATTTTTATCGGATTTTGTTGAAACTTGAAATGTAAGTTTATAACCCAAAGATCTCAGTTCCTTTCGATATTCGCGCATATCGGACTGTAACTTCCTGAATTATGGCCCCTGTTTGTACGAAAAATCGCGTTTTTAGCTTGTGGCCCCTATAGAAGTCATAATTTTTATCCGATTTAAAAAACCGTATTATGATATCACCGTTACACCCTAAGGACGACTGAGTTCGAATTTCGTGAAAATCGGCCCACAATTGACAGACAAAATGGCCGCCGTTCGTTCTCAAATAGCGTAAAAATATGGTATACCAAGGTTGTGGACCCTATAGAGGTCACAATTTTTATCCGATTTTGTTGAAACTTGAAATGTAAGTTTATAACCCAAAGATCTTGGTTCCTTTCGATATTCACACACATTGGATCATAACTTCCTGAATTATGGCCCTTGACTGTACGAAAAAATCACTTCTTTTTTTGAGCTTGTTCTCTGTCCATCTTTTGCAAAATGTGGGCGTATCTTGCATGGCAACCGCTTGTTAACTATTATAGCGATAATATTGTCAACTCTCTATTATAGTGAGAACTGCCAGCTCTTTACCTAATCTTCCATAATGTTCCTTTAATTGAAATTCAACTAGGATATTTCTTTTATATATTCTTAAATCCATTATATTTTTAAATCTTTCCTTATCTGAGATTTAGATTCATCGTATTTCTCTGTGGGTTCTATATTACCAAAATAAATTAATTAGTATTTTCTATGTCTGTGTTTACTTACAATAAAACGGGTAATAATTCCAGAAACATCTCCTATTATATTAATTATTGGTAAAAACTACTTTCATTTCTTCTGTCCATTATTTTTAATTCCTTAAATCCATAATAATTGCTGTGCCTTTCCTTATCTGAGATTTAGAGTCATCGTGCTTCTCTGTTGGTTCTATATTACCAAAAGAAATAATTGAGTATTTTTTTATGTCTATGTTTACTTATAATAAAACAGGTAATAATTCTAGAAATGTCTTCTATTATTATATTGATTATTGGTAGAAACTACTTTCATATGACATGGTTAAAGTTACCCTGATAACATCAATACAGATTTTCTTAATCCTTTAGATAATACATCGATTTCTTATTAACACGTTAACGTTATATCACTGCACGGATTATAAACAAATATTGATAGCCAATTTAACGCCAGGGCTGTCACGTATTCAACCCCAAGTTGGTCCCTTTTATAGAAAATACATTTTAGAATTCATTGTGTCTAAATTCATGCGGCGACCGAGAATAAATAAAGCATTTGTCTTCGTTTATTACAAAATGACCCACTGGAGCATTTTTGTTTGAAATATGAATGAATAGTTTACTTTTTTGAAAAGCTACATAAATATGTTGTATATACTAATACTATTCTTACCCAAGTCACTTATACCTACATAATTATCATTGTTTGGATATTCTCCTATTTCTTATACAAATTACATATACCTACCGTCTAAACACGTCCTCGTCTTATACGTCTGTTATAATGTAATGTACTTTTGTAATTAATAAACCGTTCAACTAAATGTACCAATAAAAACCCTCATAAATAATTCATGGCTTGAAGTTCGTCCAAACAAGACTATTGACGATAATAAATCCACCACTCAACAATTCACATAACCAATAAATAAATGAAACACGTCAATTCAATCGACCATTGATTAGTCTAATATATCATTCTTAATGGAATAACAATGACATGCTTGATATTTAAAGCTGTTATTCCTGTAACTCAACACATGCACCGAAACATACAACTTATTACATTTATTTATTACGTGTAATCCTGCATACAGGTATTGTATGCATACGTGAAAATAATCCCACAGGTAATTAAGATTAATGTAACCAATAATTTGAACTGGTACGCAAATGTGCTTAATATTATGACGTAAAATGGCGTACTTCGGTGCAATATTATAAAGCCATAATGCGTTTACATACATAGTCTTTGTTCAGAAAAAAAATCGGTTAACGATTTTTTATAAGTAACAAAATACCGTAAATTACTAACTGCGGGAAGTATATTTAAAAGTGGGGAGAGAGAGAGAGAGAGAGAGAGAGAGAGAGAGGGGGGGGGTTAACATCCACTCGACACAAACTAGGTAATTTCGGGACTAACACATGGTTCAATTTTATTTCAATAACTGAACTCGCTTGCGCGTAGAGGTCGTTAGCAGTAGTGAGTCATCATTCTATGTTCAATATACGCTCGTATTTCATTTTCATTATATTCTTCAGCTATAGTAAGCTCCCTGATTATATCTTTCATGTAAATTTATATTGTTAGCTTATGTCCAGCTAAATATTATGCTGATTTAATGTTTTACACATTTCAAATATATTTGGATTTAAATAGTAATTCACCCTAATACAGCATCAAAGATCTTGGGCCATTATCATAAAAAAAAAATCTTACAATATTACTGCGACATCACTTCGATCGGAGCGGACGTTAAATAAAGCTATTCCACACACGCACAATATTACTATATCTTTTAAATAACGCCCCAGGACAATGTTATAACTCAGTGAAAGACACGAACATAACTTTATGGATAACAATCACTACCAACTTTAATAGTGCAACGTTTCAACAAGTATCCTCTTGTCGTTATCAATATGATACAAAAGAGGATACTTGTTGAAACGTTGCACTATTAAAGTTGGTAGTGATTGTTATCCATAAAGTTGTGTTCGTGTGTTTTTTTCAATGTTAGTCATATCACTAAATGCCTTATAAACAATACAGTAAAAGACCTGTTGAAATGGTAATCCTTTCTTTTCTCTAACCCGATATCCTATAATTTAAAAATCTCGTTATGTCCACAAGAAGCCAAGAAAAGATTAGACCACAATGTTTATTTATGAAGAACTAGTCACATCAATGACAAGTATAAATTTCAATCTTACACATAGATAAACTAATTCAACCAATTATAAGGTATTTGTATTAATAAAAGTTTATTATACCGCTACATTTCAACAATGGTGGATTGATAAGATTAATATCTAACCATTGTATATAAAATCTGTGTCAGTCCTTAATATATCTGTATTAATATGGCTATATTTGTATTGTATAGTAAATACATAAAGACAAAGTTTATAATATGATTATTTGGGATAAAACACAAAATGGTGCCATGTATGTCAGATAATACTTTAGTAGCACAGTGGAGTGAGTAATATCAGCGTGAAACAAAAATATCTCCATTGGAGTCCAAAATATCAAAAACGATATGGACGATTAGATAGATTGAATAATCTTATTCACATTTTAGCTCTATGGTAACCTAAGCTTTATGTCATGTTTACTACAGAAATTTAGGATATTGTATTATCAATACTGGTCATTTGTCAATGGCTGTCATATTTGGTCGTATTTTAGATTTCTTCTGAACAAAACAGGATTATTAGCACACAGACAGGCCAGGAAAGAATAATGCAAGTCGAAATGAACCACATAGAATCTGAGCAGAATGAAGCCTACACCATAACAGATCAGATTGCAATCAGATAAATCAGAGGAGAATAGATAACAGGGCATATTATATCATATAAACCAATACACTTTAACCGCCATTCTGATTAAAATAAAATCCTATTTCGTTTCGTTTTTTATAGTTCAAAATTTCGTTTTCTTGTCTTTACTACACTAGGACTTGGAAGAGTTGTTATATAATTCGCGTTCTGGTTAATTTTAGGGGTGCTGTAAAAGTGACTGACAATGTACATGTATATCTAATTTTTTTATGGTCGACAATTCTTTCACGGGGGGGGGGGGGGGGGCGAAACTTTTTGCAGTGGGGTTGGGGGTCAAAGTTACGCGCCTGTATCAGAGTAGACTATGATTAGTATTAGATAAAATCTGAACATAATGTAGACAAAGGGCTCAACAAAGACGAAAAACCTAGGTCCCGTGTATACGTTGGTGTGCACGTAAAAGAACCCTTGACAATTGGAATTCGATATATCAGTGAACCGTAGCGACGCTGTCCAGGCAATATTTCCCTCATAATACACTACATGACGTACATCCATCTTCATTAGCCTGTAAGTCGTTGCAGTATACGTTGAATTCCATTTCATTTCATTTGATTTCCATAACACAAGGGAAAATGGTGGCTTTCTTGCAATATTACACAATATTGCTATATTGTGATTGCTATATAAATCCTGAAGATTTTCAATAGAATTTTTAACTAGTGAATTTTTGAATAATTTGAATGGACTAGAATATTTATTAGTATTAGATAAAATCTGAACATAATGTAGAAAATTGATGGAATCAGACAGCACAGAATACAACACAGTAGCAGATTAGAGAAAATGGAAAATTATAAAATTAAAAGTGAAAGCGTAAATAAATAATTACAAAGTGAAAAGATGGGCATGTGAAAATTCTGATAAGAAATGTCCAATCTTGAGCAACCAGTTACATTAAATGCCAATGTAATCATGCGTTTAAAGGCTTATATCAGTTTTAAATGTCTATTTACCTGAGCTCACGTCCGTGAAGAATGTATTAATGAACACACGCTGTGATATTACCTAGGACAATAATGGTTCATATATGCTAATATATAATGTTTACATATACTCGACAATTCCAGTTTAAAGTACCTCGTTTACTTATTGTTGGTAGGTAAAAAGCCAATATCGTAAATCACACATAAGACATATAGATATTGCTGTCTATTCAAAGTTTAATATATCATACAAATATTCTATCTGATAGATAAACGTTCAGGGTCAAATCAAGAATATGTTAATGTTCAAATATAATATAATCATATAAAAACATAGATAATTATAAAAGATTAGGGTATAGATATGTGTACAGAAATAGTCACAGATTAATGTTGCCTTCATTTACCCATAGCTATATAATAGATTAAGGGATAAACGATATTAAAGGGATATATAGGAAGAAGGTCGTGTATATTAAGACCAAGTCTACGCCTCGACCAAAACTGAAGATATAATGATAACCCAGTCTGCCATTGTATTGTATAACCTGTCGATTTTCTACAACAGTTATGATCGACTCTTGGTTATCCAAGAAATAAATGAAATGAAATGAAATGAAATGAAATGGAGTTTAACGTCCTACTGTTCTGCTCCTAACCTGGGCTAATGAAGACGGGCATACGCCATACAGTGTGCTATGAGGGAAATTTTGCCCGGACAGCGGCTATCCAAGAAATAAAAAGCGAGAGAGAGAGAGAGAGAGAGAGGGAGAGAGAGACATGAGGTTCAACGTCCACTCGACACAAACTAGGTCATTTCGGGACTAACACATGGTTCAATTTTATTTCTATAATTCGCTTGCGCGTAGGGGTCTTTAAGCAGTGGGAGGAAACCGGAGGACCGGGAGAAAACCCACGAGGTTGGACAGGACATAAAAAGCAGAACCATTTATAATGTCATCTCTATGATGTTGTAAGATAACACGAGGGGGGCACGGACGGTGGCTCGATGAGTAGCGCGCTGGCTCACTAACCAGGAAACACATGGTCCGACCGCGGTGTAAGTCGAGTAGGTCAGTGGCAGGCGCCGATCCAGTGTGTGTGTGTGGGGGGGGATGCATCCGGCACACCCTCCCCTTTTTCTGCAGTGGCGAACAATTTTTGCATCATATATTATCGCGGGAAAGGAATTAACAGTCATTTTAGGTTGGAAATCGTAATTTACTCCGAAACGAGCCGGTTGGTGACTTGGTTGATTGCCCGTCAGTCCGCCCACCGATGGCCGGGCTTCGAACTCCCAAGTGGGGGCACCCCCCACCCCTCCTTTCTGAAAATCCTGGATATCCTCCCTTGTTTGGTGTTAGACAAAGGGTCAGACAAAGATGAATAACCTAGTTCCCGTGTATACGTCGATGTGCACGAAAAGAACCATTAACAGAACCATGATTGCTATATAAATCCTGAGGGTTTTCAATAGAATTGTTTACTAGTGAATTTTTTAATAATTTGCATGGACTAACTGAAACTGATTACCTTATGATTAACCCACCTGTAACTTACCTTCACACGCGTCGACATAATCCTGCCTAATCCTAATTATCGTACTTAATAAATATTTCCCTCAGAGTAATTCAGTACACTCTGAGCACTGTCTCATTGTGTCATTTTTTTTTTCATTTTTTAAAATAAAATGAATGTACACAACATAATAAAGTGTCTTTTCTATAGTAGACACCTGATTCAAGAGACCATATGTAAGTGACCTTTGCCTGTTGTCACCATGGAGCTGTAAATGTACAATTTACCCCCTTATACATGTATATAGAATAACAAGAGGGGCTTACTTCATTAAAAATAAAGTTTCCACCGTGTTAGAGTGTTTGTGATTGTATTTGCGTACAATAGCATGGTGTCCCGGCGTTACACATAACGATTATATGTTATCTACTTTTTATAGATCTCTATAGCCTACATTAAAGGACGTATGACCCTATTTTTTAAAAAACTTGAAATAGACAAAAATGGTCTAAAAGCACATATTAATGTAAAATGAATATATGTAAAGTGATTTATATTCAATTTTTAAAAAAAAAAAATGTAATTTCTAATAAATTATGTTCAATGAAATATGTGAATAATTCAAATTGAACGGCAGTCGTTTACACGTTTTTTTTAATTACTTCCACATTGTGTTGTATGATGTTTTTATTTGTTCATTACAAAATGGCACCGAAACCATAGAGTATACGACTTTGATTATAAAATGTTAATTGTGTCTTAAATATTAGATATTAGCATCCTATAGTTTCAAGGCAAGATAACAACATCATTATTGATTGAAATTGACCAATATTGAATTCTAATTTGTGTTTTTAATTTCGAATATTATGGAAAATGTTGAGTTAGAGACTTAACTCCTTTAAATGTCTTATGTCTGAGCAAACAAGTTGGGGATAAGACTGATCAAGGGTGGGGGGGGGCGAATGGTTTAACACATGCGCGTTAGGTCATAAGAGCTGTCATTGAGTCGAGTCAAGTAGCGTGGTTTCAATTCCCCGTGTGTACGTGACAAGGAGTGATTTTTCTCCAGGTCATCCAGATTCTTCACATTGCCAAAGACCCCTATGTATACGCGAATGCGAATTATTGAAATAAATTTGAACCATGATATGTTATTCCCGAAACGACCTAGATGGTGCCAAGTGGACGTTTAACCCAATCTATCTCCCTCTCTCTAAGTATCATGAGATCTTATTTCCGTAGACCGGATCTTGTTTATGGAGGTGTTAATCTACTAATAATTAAAGGGCCTGGGACATATGCCTTCGTTACAACAGGGACGCCTCTCGGGATAACATTTTTTACAATATCATATAACCCAGATGCTCTCCTCGTCAATTTATTTGTCAATTCTGTATAAACTTGCCATACTTCTATTTTTTTTATGTATTTATCGACCTTTATATAATACACTTTCTCAAATTATTCTTTACTTTAGCAAATGTGCGGTTTGGGGATTTTATTGGTTTGGGGGTTTAAAATGAGATAGATAAAGGACTCGGGGTGTGAGCCGGTCATTTGCAAGTCTAATTTACAGTAAACATAAAATGCATCCTCTTCATGCACCCGATTAGATTTTATTACATACTTCGAGAAGGTATTTGTTGAGTAATAAAACCTTCTAGTAGTTTATCGAGGGCTGGTCGTCCTTACCGCACGGTACAAATATTATCACCACTAGAAGCAACAAATTCCAGAACAAGCCAGAACTCATACCAAAATGGCCGCTTTATACAAATGAGTATTTAGGGGAATACTAACCCGAACCCTAACCCTAATCCATGGGGTTAAGTTTGTTGATTGGGTAATCAATTTCTGGTTTATTTTGATTATCAAAGAAACCGACAGAGCTGTAACAGGCCGCAAATGATAGTTTTGATGAACTGAGAAGTGTCGTCTCGAGAATTACACACTGGAAAGAAACATGTGCAATTTCGTTAATTTTAAAATAAAACATCGTGCAGTAAGTAAATACGCAATAACTTAATAGTTGACATAAAAAATGAATACTGTATAAACATTATGCAATTGTTTTGTTAAAGCATTAATTTTAAAATAAATACAAACAATCGACACAAACTAGGTTATTTCGGGACTAACATAATAGTTCAATATTATTTTATTAACTCGCTTGCGCGAAGGGGTTTTTAACAGTTAGATAAAACCGGGGGACCCGAGAAAACCCACCTTGTTTGACAGACGACCTTAACAAGTGGTGAGAGACAGATGGGTCAGTTTGGGAATAAAATATGGTATATCGTCATACTTGTTTTTCTTATTTTAAGTTTGTCGTCTTTGAAACCTACCGCAAAGCTAAAACCGACTAGCAATTTAAAATCAATTTGTAAAGGGAAATAACTATAGGTAAACATTTCAATTTTCTGCAAGATATCGAATATTCGTTGCAGTAATTATACCAATGTGCTTTTATTTGACAATAGTAGTTTGTTATGTGATCATATTGGGTAGTATTTGATGAGTATTTGGTAGTAGTGGGTTATTATAGACTTGTTTGGGGTGGTATAGGGAGGCAAATGGAACAGCCAGACATTGGTATCGCATTTGAAGAACATTTCCCGCGATATAACTCTCTATTTTTGAAGAAAATCAAGATACATGTACGTCTATTTCGCATCATGTTGTAGTATTGGGTAGTATGTGGTGATATTGGGTTGTATTGAGTAGTATTGGGTAGTATTGGGTAAATCGTACCAGCTGTCATGTTACTGTTAAAATGGCATCGGGATCGAACAAAGTATATTCAGGTTGGCATGCTATATATATATTATGTACTACTCTTAACCATTGAACCATGCGACTACCCAAAGCAAAGCTAAACATCAGGAAAAGGATACCAGAACATTGCTCTGTGTACACCGCAGAATTGATGGCCATTAAAACTGCAATAGAATGGCTTGCCACCCAAAAACACCAAAAGGCCGTTATCCTATCAGACTCACTAAGTAGCATTAAATCCATCGAATCAGACTATTCCAAAAGCAGACAGGACATAATCCACCAAATTAGGGATATTATTCAAACAATCAAAAATAACGGAAGAGAGGTAGTCCTTGCATGGATCCCCTCCCACATCAATATCTTCGGCAATGAACAGGCTGACAAGCTAGCCAAGGAAGGGTTGGCATTAACTGATATAGAAAATTTAGAATACAGCAGTCAGGAATTCACAAGCATAGCCAAAGATAAAATTAAAAATGCATGGAAGACCCGTCTAAAACAAGAGAATACTCATCGCTATCAAATTGATAGCAATCTTGTAGACAAGGTTTACACCAATCATCCATCAATCAAAATATGCAAACTCATCACGAGGCTTAAAACGATAAATGTAATAAAAGACTTCACCTATACACCAATTAAATGCCCATGTGGACAAATCGCGACCACGTCTCACCTGCTAATTGACTGCAATCAATTGAACAATCTGTAATTAAGAATCTAGCAGAGAGGGGAAACACCCTCTGTCTCAAATCACTCCTTTCTGCACAAGCCGACGATAGACACTGGACATCACAACTTGTCTGGGATTTTATTGAGAACATAGGGATGACCAAATATATAAAATAATGAATTTAATCAATTAACAGTAGGGTGGAGCGCAAAAATGTCCTCTAGAAGGAAGCGTAAACCGCCCTACACAACTAATATAACTCCGATATAATTAATAAATCAACTAATAAAACCAACCAATTAACAGTAGGATGGAGCGCAAAAATGTCCTCTAGAAGGAAGCGTAAACCGCCTTACACAACTAACATAACTCCGATAAAATTAATAAATCAACTAATAAAACCAATTAATTAACAGTAGGGTGGAGCGCAAAAATGTCCTCTAGAAGGAAGCGTAAACCTCCCTACATTTATAATAAAACCACTAATCTACCATTAATATAATTCATGAGTAATTTATTATTCTTATTATTTATCTGCAATTCAGTTAACACTCTATTTTCTTTTACTCTCACTTACTATTTTTTATTATTAGTTTATAATGATTCCCCGCCCCCCCCCCACGAAGCCTTACTAGACAAAAATAACCATAAAACCACAGTAAGATCAGATACTCTCTTTTCTCTAGCTTTCTTTTTCAGGTGCTGGATTCTTCCTTCAGAGAACCAACAATAAAAGGAATGAATAACAGAAATAAAGATGTAACAACGCCACCATACCGGACAACATACCCAAATGGAAGGAAGAATGGACCAGGACTCATACTCACCAACAAAGCCCCAAGGTAGAGTTGCACCGCCCTGCCATTCTACCGGACAGAACGACCAGACCAACCCAAACGACCCAAAATATATATATATGTACATAATATGTCTATGTCTGTGAAAATGTCCGTCTTTGTCCATGTCTGTTCCGTCAAATCGCATGCTTGTGAATGTCTACTGGCACCTGTTTCGTCCTTTGCACATGTTATCCTACTGTTGTTTATTGTCCTATGTACATATATATGAAAACCTAATTATCCTATTATTTCTCACTAATCACATTGTAAATTAATGCACCTTGTACACATAACACGTCATTGTCTGCGATATCACCTCGGTGGAAGCGGACGTAAAATACAACTAACTCATCATCATATTGCATCAAAACGTCCATTATTGACAGCATGCATACATATACATTTAGGCATAGTCAATATACATTTAATAATACATATTACATAGACAACACAATACATTCATACAAACAGTATCCTACCTGTATGTACATGTATATGCAATGAATTGAATAAATATACATGTACACAAATATTTCAATAGAAAATTTTGTTTTCATATGTTATTAAAATCACCCACTGTTGTATAATGCTGTCTACAGGTTATTAGGCAGGCGTGAGTGAGAACAAATAGAGGGCGAGTTCTATTATTGTAAATGATAATAGCGAGGTTAAAAACACGTTCTGCTTGTTTTCGTACCCATTGCTTGAAAACCATCAAGTTGAAGTTGAACAAAGAAAATTGTGCGGATCACAGGGTTTGTCAAGCTTCTATTTTGATGCACATGGATTGCGGGTGCTAGATTATAGCCTACATTTAATCTTTGTGAAGAACCCTATGTTGTGTCCAGTGTTTATGTAAATGGGAATAGACAAGCAAGACTACAAAGGCATTTTCTATTCTTCAGTTTGAACTTGTCACAGTCGACATTTTTGCACTAATATTAAAGGAGCTGTAATTAGAATGATCTGTTGATTTGACATTTTAAAGGCATAGATGGCATCAACACAAGTATTTTGTGGAACATTTATCCATTCAACTGATAAAGATCCATTAATAATTTTAGAAAATACAATTATTGGTGTTCAGCGCGATACGGTAAGTGCAAAATTAAAGGAAAATGTTAAAAGGGAAATAACCTCTTTGATGTGGGTGGGAAATAAAATTTTCGTTTTTATACGCTCACATTTTTATGTACTTGTAATATTGCTGACACTTCTGTCTGTGGTTCATATGTCTTGTTAGTACACTGAAGACTATAGTGATCCGGATATCTTTTATGAAATTACCATGGGTGGCCTCGTTCAAACGGAGAAGTCTATTGATTTTCAATATATATATATATATATATATATATATATATATATATATATATATATATATATATATACAATCTATTAAAATATAGATTCAAGTCCAATCATCGGCGTTATGATGCGACTGGGAAATGCCGTTCCAGGTGATCGCCCATTTTGGGTGTTCATCCGAGCACTACGTTCGCACTACCCTCAATATGCTATCTATTTTCGATGTCAGCGACGATAACACGTTTTTTTGCTGTCGTAAGTAAACTATACACCTCCTTGTTGTCATAGACTGTGAGTTTTACAACGCACTACGGAGTTAAAGCAAGATCAAGTCTTATATTCGAAAACATTTTTTTTAAGTATTAGAGAAATAAAGAAAGGTGTTTGAGCTATATCTGGATAAAAATATTTCCTGTTTACTATGAATGGGTATAAAAGACATCATTCTGCCTGGACCAGTTACGTTATGTAAACAATTACACACACCATCGAGCCAATATCGACGCCTTGTGATGTGACGTCACATGTATAAGGCATTTGAACTTAAAAGTCCTCTTATACAGAGCTATAAGAAGGCTTTCGCAATACCTCTGTTAAACAGATTGCCGTTTTCATGTATACCTTTTCGTCGGCGAAATAGTCGGTTTAATGCAAATATAAACGCGCGCGGAAACGCATACATGGAAAACGGTCATTAAACTTTTTTTCAAAGGGCGTTGACTCCATGAAGAAGATGAAAAAGATGAGTAGTAATAAACATAAAGGAGTTGTCTGACAACGAAAAAAAACCCACCACGAGCATTTTTAAAATGTGGCTATCAATTTTTGGGGGACACTGGTAAAATACCTACGCATAAAATTTCGATTAAAAAAATGATCTCAAAAGCTTTGACCAAAGACTGATGACACTAACTGTGAATTTCGAGATCACTATCTGAACAATGAGTAGGGTTATAATCAATCTTTTCACCGTCCACGTTGACAGGGAAAAATTATTACGCCACTGTATGGTAAATAATAATGATAAAGGAAACAAAACAACAAATAGGTCTATATTGACAAACGCAGAAAACGCGCCCCGAGTTCACAAAGCATTCTTAGACTAGTTAAACATACATTATGCAAGAGCCAGAGGCGTAGCCGTGAATTATATACTATTAAAAAAAAGTAGGGGATATTTGATTTTGGGGGCATAATACTAAAATATGCAAATGACTATGAAAACAGTCACTATAGAACCTAACAGAAGAAACATTTCCAGTTACATGTGACGCCCAAACGCACCAATAGCTACCGCATGGAATGCAGGTGATGCTTGGGATCATCATGGGGGTCCAACCCAAGATTTGCACGACTCTGACTTTGAATGTTACAGTCATTGTGACATTGAATTCCAGGGTGGAAACATCAGTTTAATTGTTTTAGTGACCAGAAAACAAATTTTGATATGCGTCGGCTTACCTAAAATGAAAGGTTACGTGCCCTTGGCATGCTACAGATCGGCACAACACAGGCGGTTGTGGCGCGGACGATGAATGTTTCTCAGTCTGTCATAAGCAGGCTATGGTCAAGATACCGTGATACACAATCTGTACAGGACAGACCACGCTCAGGTCGACCAAGGGCGACAACTCAAGCCCAGGATCGATTTATCCGTACCTTGGCCTTGAGAAATCGTGTCATCACAGCAAATCAGATCAGCGCTCGTCTTCAAACAGACACTGGTGTGAGAGTGAGTGGCCAGACGATTCGGAATCGACTGCATAGAGGTCACCTTCGCGCCCGACGTCCTCGCGTGATCCCTTGTTTGAGAGATCATCACATTCAGGCAAGACGTCGTTGGTGTAGGGATCGTCAACACTGGGATAATCGACGCTGGAGCAATGTGATGTTTTCAGATGAGTCAAGGTTCACTGTTGATTTTTTGGACAGACGTAGGAGGGTGTGGCGTCGTCGAAACGAGCGCTTCCAAGACGTTAACGTCATCAGACATGATCGATTTGGGGATGGTTCTGTTATGGTGTGGGGAGGCATCACTGTTGCTGGAAGAACGGCTTTACATGTTGTTGCAGGGCGTGTTACAGGCCAGTAGTACCGGGACAACATCTTGGCAGTCCATGTTGTGCCGTTCGCACGACGTCATGGCCGCCGTTTCATCTTCCAGGATGACAACGCAAGATGTCACAGGGCCAGGATCGTTACAGGTTACCTCCAACAACAGAACATCACCACATTACCTTGGCCAGCACTGAGTCCCGACCTCTCCCCCATCGAGCATGTCTGGGACATGCTTGGACAGAGGTTACGTCAACGTCAACAACGTCCTGCCAATGTCCAAGAACTTGCTGCTGCATTGCAACAGGAATGGGACAATCTGGACCAAAATGACCTTAGACGTCTCATTAGGAGTATGCCACGTCGGATCAATGCTTGTTTGGCAAACAGAGGAGGATTTACCCGTTACTGACTTGGTTGTGATGCTGCGGTAACTTTGCTGTTTGACCCCGGGTATCATTTTACCCTTACAATGGTCAGTCTGTGCCTTACTTAGTCTCACGATCATTTGGAATAAATCGATGAATGTGAACTTCATTTCATTTTGTCATTTGTTTCTTCGTCAGTTTCATTAGGTGACTTTAATAACACTTAAAAATCAAATATCCCCTACTTTTTTTGAATAGTATATATATTGGGGGGTCCGCAAATGAAATTATATAAAATGTTGACAATCTGTGACGCCGGAGGCACGAGGCTGCAGATCAGCCGATGTATTGCGATAGGGAGAATGTGGGAGGGTCATTCTCCCATCTGGGGGGGGGGGGGGGGGGGGGCACCCCATAAATTTTTTTAAAGTTTCAGTCTTCTGTAAAGACTGTTTTGGCATATTTTACGGGGTTTAACTAAAACATCACACCAATACAATGTTTATCATGTTTAAGTCAGGGGGTTCCGTATTAATATTTTTTTCATGACTTTTACATATTGAATGTTACACTTGAGTTATGAACAACATGACAAAGAGAGTTTAGTAGGGGAATTTTTATGAGGAGGATCCAAATGAAACAAAATTTGATCACATAACTTTAGTTTATGAGGATGCATATTTGACAATCACCTTGTTAACTACAATAATATATATATATATATATATATATATATATATATATATATATATATGCATTGACATTTACAAGAAAGTTGTATAGATATTTAAAGTATTTTGTGTATTATAAATGGATTTCAAAAAGTAAACATAAGTGTTTATGTTTTAATTTGTACATTGTTTTATACAGATAGAATCTTAACTAATCCAAATAATTGTTGTAAATAAATGGGAGTTACGGCCTACTATGTAAATTTTTGGGGGGTCCAAGTATATTCAGACCCCCCCCCCCCCGAAAAACAATTTTTGGGGGGGGGGGGGGTGACGCCCATGGCAAGAGTTAAATCTGCCTATTGCAGGTCTTTCTTTAGGCCTGAAATGTTATATAAATTATTGAATTAGGTTCCGAATTGTTGTTCGATTTCCATCCATGATTTAATCATGAAATGAATAATCGAGACTATGTTTTTTATCGTACCGTCTTTAGTAATGATGATCGAGGCTAGGCCGAAAATTCAATCGCTAAAATCTCGGTTCAGAGTGGATCAATTTGACTGAAATTTTCAGCAAATTTTCTTTACATTATCTAGTTTTTAACTGTTATAGTGAGAACTGCCAGCTCTTTATCTAATCTCCCATAATGTATCTTTAAGAATTTACTTAACATTCAATCACTGTTTATGAGAAACATCTTTAATCCAGAAACACCAATTTTGCACATACAGTCTTAAGACCAACTAGAAATCAGCCAGATTTCTTCAAGTTTTGGAATGTGACCTCAAAGATTTGTTGAAGAGAATCCTGTCATCAACCTCTCAAAGACAATAAATTGTAGCCCAATTATTATCTATTCAGATGGTGTATTGTATAAGTGTCATATTACACTGCTCTATATATTTAGAATGTAACACTAAAGCTAGATGGGTTTGGAATCAGATTCTATGAAATTTGAATAAGAGAATAAGAAAAACTAATCAAATTAAACACAGAAATAAACAAATTTAATAACAATTTAATAAAATTTAAAAAAATTGATTCAAATATTACATTATGTAATAATAAGCTTATTAATTTGATGTAATATCTACAGCAGCTTGTCTAAGCCAGGGTATAAAATATCTTACATTATTTTACTCATATACTTTGATATTGACCAATTTGATGTTAACCAATTAAATGATTTTGGAACTTTTTCTTGGGGAGATAAATATTCATAAGTAAAACAAGGGTTGTTGAGCACATTACGATTGTATAACTCTTGCCAATTATATATTGATTTCTATAGAAAGGGGCCAATATCGAAATATTAATGGCCTATTGATCCATCGTACAATACTATTTACGAACTTATCAATTATCAGTAAAAGAAAATTTGATCCAAAATTATCTATTTTGGAGCAAAAATATGAACATTTACTGATTATTTACATACAGGGAAAAGGTCACCCCAAAACAATCTACATGTATTTGTTATTTAAAAGAGCTAACTCGCTAATATTTAGGACCTAGAAATTGACACAAATGGTTCGCAACACAAATAATAATGTAATATGAATGTACATAAACTGATTTAGTATTTATTGCGCATGCTCTCCAGATAGGAATATGACGTAACCGTTTGAGTTACTTGTGGAATATATCTAGCCCCGTCCTTCTAGTCCCTTGTTATAAATGGCACTTAAAGGCATTCGTGAACCGATGGTAAAATGTTTATTTTGTCTTACAATCTTATGGAAGCCTATAACTACCATTTATAATTTCTACTTTTCGCCCCTTCAAAACACGAAAGTCGAAAAGTGACCTTGAAAGTAGAGACTACATCAACTTCTGAGGCGAAAAGACAACAGTACGACAGCAAGCCAAAATCAAAGGTCGCTAATATCGCCATCAATACTAGACTTTATAAACTATTTTGTTAACGCGAATTTATTGTCATAATCGAGGAAGTGACCTCTATAGGGTCCACAATCTTGGTATTACATACTTTTACCCTTTTTGCGTACAAGGAGCGGCCGTTTTCTCTGGCAGTTTCGTTCCGATTTTTACGAAATTCGAACCCAGCCATCATTATGGTGTAACGATGATATATGTAAACGGTTTTTAAAAACGGATAAAAATTGTGACCTATAGAGTGTCCACAAGCTAAAAACGTGATTTTTCGTAAAAACAGGTACCATAATCCAGGAAGTTACAGTCCGATATGCGCGAACATCGACAGGAACCAAGATCTTTAGGATGTATACATATAGTTTAAGTTTCATCAACATCGAATCAAAATTGTGATCTCTAGAGGGTCCACATCCTTGATATTAGTACTTTAACATTATTTCTGTCCGATTTTCACGAAATTGGAACTCAGTCATCATTATGGTTTAACGGTTTTTCGTACAATCAGGGGCCATAATCCAGGAAGTTGTGGTCCGATATGCGCCAATACCGGAAGGAACCGAGATCGTTGGGTTATAAAAATATATTTCAAGTTTCATCTAAATCGGATAAAAATGTGACCTCTAGAGTGTCCACAAACTATAACGTGATTTTTCATACAGTCAGGGGCGACGACAATATACGTTCATATACGTTCACAACAATTTTTTTTAAATTTTTTATAAAGGGCTATATTTGAGTTAAAATAAGTCAATTTTGAATAAATCCTTAACTTATGTCTGAGAATGCTTTGTGAACTAGGGTACATAAATATCTATAATAGTCAAGGCATTTTAACTCAATTCCGAATCATCCCGGGCAGTTTCTGCAATATAAATGTCGACCAGGATTTATCGTCGGTCTAGACGTATATTACCCCCCCCCCCCCCAAAAAAAAAATAATAAAAAGGGTCCCAGTCCGAAATCCGTATCCAAATGGGTCAAATTCGACAAAATACAAAATGGCCGCCAATTTTGGTTGGAAAATGACTCTTTTTACCCAGTTATCATTATATGATCGAATTTGGTTTCAAAATATATCCTTTCGGGCTAGCTGAAACCATTTCCATACAAATTTTGGTAACTATTAGTTATACCGTGCAATAACTAGATATGTTCAATGTTATTGCACTCTTTTGCTGGTTTACACTAGTTTTAGTAGAAATCATATAGAGAAGTGGGGTGGGTTTTCTGTGCAATAACAACAAGCATGTTGAGCAGGTGTCAATGTTACAAGTCATTTATAGCACCCTTCATTCGTTAAGAGGTTTAACATCTCGACCTGCGGTCTCGATGTTTAAACCTGTTAACTCATGAAAGTCGTGCTATAAATATAACTTAGAGATTGTGGGATTAATGATAGAATCAAGTCTGGTATTCATTAAGCATTAATTAAATTCCATTTGTACTCTCTGTCCTACCTCTGGCCCCACTAACAGCTCACTGTGAAAGGGGCCACTCTCAGCTCACTGTGAAAGGGGCCACTCTCAGCTCACTGAGGTGGCGGGTAAAACTTGGTGTATAGTTTCAATCAATCAATATCTTGACTAAGTTCGACAATGAACATTTTTTGTTTAGGTTACGCAGAGTGATAAACAATTTGACTGCTAGATGCTTTATATAAATGTTAAATTTGCAAGTAATTAATGAGTGTCATTTATTTAGCGGCACCAGTCTCACTTTTGATTTGTTTATACAGAACAATGAATTAATGGACGGTTACATTAATTTTGTCCAGCTGTCATTTGTCCTGTCTTGGCATGCTGACAAAATAGTTGTTCTATTATTTACTGTTGTAACAGTGGTCACCGATTTTCTATACTCCAATAGACCTCTAATATTTTCTTCAGACCATATAAAAGACAATAAAAATGAACTTTGGCACCATGGACCGTCTAGACCTCGGTACAGATTTCTCCACTTGCAATGTTAGTCGACTTATTGTAAAATTTGTAACATTCCACATGGTATTTTTCACCGAACTCGAAATCACGGCCATTTTTTCTTAGCTTATCAGCCTTAATAAAGCCTACAATACGAGTTATTTTCGGGATTACGGTGGGCAGTTCATGATCTATCTGTGTCTCATCATTTCGTGAAATAAATTCTTTGCTGACCAAGCTAAGATACGCCCATTACGATGCGTCCGCGGAGAGCTGAGATTGGCCCCAGTCGACATATCCGCTACGTTGCTACCACAATGAGCTGGGAGTGGCCCTAGTCGTAGTTCAGAGTTTCCAAATGAAATTTAGTTGATACTGGATGAATGCTATCGTATTAGGTCTAAGACAGGAGTATCCTTAATCCCCAATCCCTAATCGGAAATCTAAATCCCTAATTGGATTTATTTCTGTATTGACACAGGGGAACCACGAAATATGTACGAAAATGAATTCAGCTAGCCCGAAAACGTATATTTTGACACCAATTTACCCGCCCAAACCGACAGCCATCTTGAATGACCCAATATTCAGCGGTATCACTAATTACAATTTTTCTATGAAAATGTAATCAGCTACCCCGAAAAGATATATTTTGATACCAAACTCGACCATATTACGATAGTTGGATTTTGGCCAATTTTGACTGGGATTTTTTTTTGGTGGTCGGTATTTCTGTTGCAGCAAAATCTGCCCGCACTAATATTATCTTGCCTGGAATATAAGTATGAAATTATATATTTATATTGCTAATATCGTAAGGTTCAGACACGAGTTTCAGAAACTTAGAATCCTTTCCATACAAATTGTTATAATAATGACAAGTTTAAGCGAAAATTAGTCAACTTGCAAACAAATCTACTTTAGTACTTATTATGGTCGACATAATGTTTTATAATTTCTTCATGACTATTTTGTAGATAATATTTATTGACAATGAAGACAAGATAAGGGACAGATTAGAAGAATATCAACTACCAAACAATGTTGTTAAATACCTTACATCAGGGTATTTATTATTTTTATTATACGGGCATTTGTATTTCAACCCCTTCTAGGTAAATTTGTACAAAAAATAAGATCTTTGTAATATCAGATTACGGATTGCTATAGATGCATTGTGTATTTTTAAAATTCCGGTCGTTAAACTTTAAAAGCCATCCATCATTGTAGATGTGTCACTGCGGTGAGTATGAAAGCAAGCTCCTGGAAAGAAAAACGAATTTGGAAGGACCTAGTTTTGCAATGATATTATCTCTACAGTCATGTAAAAAGTTTAAGACCGCTCTGTAAAATTAATACTTTTTTCTATTGTTCCAAATAATTACAGATTCCGTCAGCTGTTGTTTGAAGAGCATCAGCCACCTGGTAAGGAATCGCAGACCTTTTACAGTTGACCACCGGTCCATATAAGTTGTGATTTTTTTTTCATTCTGGCATAACCAGACTTTCGTTCATAATGCGCTCGTGAACTTTAAGAACTTTAGGGTATATTTAGATAAGAAACAATCCATAGGGACGACAACCTGATGAGATGAATACCTGTTCGGTCACCAGTGAGTTCTTTGAGGAAAATACGTTTGGAACTATTTTCGTGCGGTAGAGGCGTGCTGGCCAATCAACAATCGATCTCACCAGATTGTCGTCTTTGGGCGTGGTTTTCTGCAACAGTCCGTGCCATTTCTTATCTGAATATTCTCTATGTTTCTAACAATCAATGCATGCATTATGTACGACAGTCTTTCTACATGTACATCAGTAAAATCATTTTTTGACTGTCTTGACTACCGATAGAGAGTCTTTTTTTTATCATTTACAGGATTATTCCAGAAATAAAAACTCGCAATAAAATCGATTTTATGGACTGGTGGCCAACTGTAAAGCTTCTGTAATTGTCTCATAATTGGTTGATGCAATCAAAACACTGTCTGGCGGAATCATTAATGCCATGGGGGGGGGGGGGGAGAATAACTTATAACAGTGGTATTTTCCCGCATCAAATATTGTTTGCCATAGCGACGCCTTGTAAATTTTCGGCGATGCTAATTGTAGGCCGGTTGGGGAGATTCGGGAATTTCCGACGGTAAATTGGACCCAAGTTGAGCCACAGTGGCCGCTTTATGTAAATGAGTACAAACCCTAATCCTAACTCTTTTAAGAGGGGTAAAATGTAAATTGGATCCAAGTTCATTCTTCTAAAAAAGGGCTAGGGTTGGAGTTGGTATTCCCCCAAAATACTCATGGGAAATTCTCGAACCTCCCCAACCGGCCTACAATTAACATCACCCGTAAATAATGCTTCCAGTAGTAAAAAATTATTAACCCTCTCTTTGTTATCGCGGTTAGAATATTCACACTTATAAACTATATATGAATTCTATTATTTGAGTAAATATTTGTATATTATATAATTCAGTCAGTTTATTATACCTGGATTTGTTGATACTCACGCCCATGCTTCTCAGTATACCTTCTGTGGTAAAGGAATGGATAAAGGTTTACTGGATTGGCTAGATTGTTATACATTTCCAACAGAAGCGAGATTTAAAGATACAGAATTCGCTAGAGATGTGTATAGCAAAGTTGTGGTTAGTATAATACTTTTTCTATTTTCGATCTTCCCCGTTTCACGTGTTTGTTAAAGAAAAGGTTTTCGAGAACGTGATCGATCAATATAATCTGCGTTGTTGGATAAAGAAATTAATACCACTTTTTATACACCGACATTTACATGTGGACGTATTATGTCGTCGACCCTGTTCGTCAGTCCGGACGTCCGTCCCCAATTTGTTTGTGGACACTCTACAGGTCACAATTCTTATCCGATTTTGACGAAACTTGAAATATAGGTCTATCTCCAAAAGATCTCGGTTCCTTTCGATATTGGTATGTATCAGGCCATAACTTCGAAGATTATAGCCCCTGATTATACGAAAAAATCTTGTTTTTAGCTTGTGGACACTCTAGAGGTCAAAGTTTTCATCTGATGTTGATGAAACTTGAATGAAATGCATCTTTATAATCCAAAGATCTTAGTTCCTTTCGATATTCGCGCATATCGGATCGTAACTTACTGAATTATGGCCCCTGATTGTACGAAAACTCGCGTTTTTAGCTTTAGCTTGTGGTCCCTCTAGAGGTCACAATTATTACACTGAAATGTTGGTTGAGTTCGAATTTCGTGAAAATAGTGTAGTGTAAACATATGGTATATCAAGGATGCGGACCCTCTAGAGGTCACAATTTTGATCCAATTTTCATGAAACTTGAAATACATGTTTATAACGTAAAGATCTTGGTTCCTTTCTATATTGCCGCCTATTATTACACCGTAAGTTTGATTGAGTTCGAATTTTGTGAAAATAATATAGTGTAAACATATAGTATATCAAGGTTGTGGACCCTCTAGAGGTCACAATTTTGATCGGATTTTCGTTTATAACGTAAAGATTTTGGTTCCTTTCTATATTGGCGCATATCCGATAATACTATATACCGGAAAACAACGAAAAACACCGGAAAACTACCGGAAAAAACATGTTATACTGAATACCGGAAAACACCGGAAAAACACTAAATACCGGAAAACACACTAAATATCAGAAAACACCCTAAATAGGTAACCCGGTATTTAGTGTTTTTCCGGTGTTTTCTGGTATTCGGTATAACATGGTGTTTTCCGGTAGTTTTCCGTAAGTTCGCCGGTGTTTTCCGGTATATAGTATTACACCGCATATCGGATCGTAACTTCCTGAATTATGGCCCTTGGTTGTACGAAATATCGCGTTTTTAGGTCACAATTATTATCTGATTTAAAAAAAAAAGTTTAAATTTATCATCGTTACACCCTAATGATCGTTCAGTTCCAATTTCATGAAAATCGGACCTAAACTGCCCTACAAAATGGCGGCTCCTTGTACGAAAACAGTGTAAAAATATGTCATACCAAGGTTGTGGACCTTCTAGAAGTCACAATTGTTATCAGATTTTGATGAAACTTAAAATATACCTTTATATCCCAAAGTTCCCGGTTATTTGCGCATATCCGTTTTTAAAAACCGTTTAAATATATCACCATTTCACCATAATGAAGGTTGGATACGAATTTCTGGAAAATCGAAACGAAACTGCCCGACAAAATGGCCGCTCTTTGTAAGCAAATTGTGTAAAAGTATGTAATACGAAGGTTGTGGATCCACTAGAGTTCACAATTTTTATCAGATTTTGATAAAACTTAAAATATATTTTTATATCCTAAAGATCTCAGTCCCTTGCGATATTTGCGCAATTCAGACCATAACTTTCTGGATTATGGCCCCTGATTGTACGAAAAATCCCTTTTGTTTTTAACTTGTTTTCTATCCATCTCTTGCAAAATGTGGGCGTATCTTACCTAGCAACCGCTGTTTTTTTTATCAATATTGGTAAGAGCAAAATAAACTAAATGAGGGGGTATTTAAAACGTATGGAGCCTTTTAAAGTCGTCGTATATATTGATCTTCGTTAACCAGTTCTATAGCGTGTGACACAAAATTATGTCCATTCTGTATAAAATAATCTTTTTCCAAGTCGTTTTTCGATTCTTTTGTTTTTGTTTTACTAAATATCTGTAGCATTGTGTTCGTCTCTTAATTGTGTACTGTAACGAGCCAATGATAAGGCAACTATTCTAATCACGCCATGGTCTATTTACAAACTCAACGAAAGTTCTGAATATGTTAGATTTATTGTAGTGTCAGAACGATGTGCAGTTTTGATTAAATCGAGTTATGCCTGGTTTCTGTGTGCACTGTGTGCATTTTTCAGATGTGCGTTTTTTGACAATTACAAAAAAAGGGGGGGGGGGTGCATATGTCGAAGGGAGCCACTGTGACTCAGTAGGTAAGGCACTGACTCGATAAGCAGGGTCCGGGGTTCGATCCCGATGTTGACCGAAAAACCTCTCTGAGATTTTCCAGCGTGGTTCCCTCTTGTCAGTGTAGGTGAAAGAAACATTGGCATTTAGAATTCGATATAGGAGTAGGCATCCGGGCAAAATTCCCCTCATAGGCATTTAGAAATCGATATAGGAGTAGGCATCCGGGCAAAATTCCCCTCATAGCACACTTTAGCCGCGTCGGTACAGTAAAGTAGGGCTTTAAATCCCATTGCATTGCATATGTCGAAACACCTGTGTACGATTTTCAAGAAAAGTGTAATCACGTATTAAGAACCCCATAATACTTATTTAAATACTGTTTAGTTACAAAATGGGGTAGGAGAAGAAAAGGAGGGACGTTAACCTATTCATAAGTAACGAAGAGGCTAAGCGCGATTATGCTCTCAGTGGAGGCTTAACACAAGCTATATTTTATGTGTTTCTGCAGGATAGGTTTTTAAAAAATGGTACAACGACAGCATCATACTATGCCACAATACATACTGACACTTCTATTTTACTCTGTAAGATTATTGGTAAGTTTTCAGCCTAAATGTATCAAGTTTTCTCCAAATATGAAGTACTTGCAGTGGCAAACCTTTCGTCTCAAAATATGTGCAAAAGTTCATTGCTCACCCTTATGTTGGTACATATACAAATTATTTTGAATCTAAACTACTTTCCATATCTCTGTTTTCTTTTCCTTTCAATTGTTGATCGCATAATGGCCATCGTTAATGAAACCGTAAATCATTTTTATACGCCCTCATTGAAATATGGTCGTATAATGCCGCCGCCCCGCCTGTCCGTCCGTCTGGCGTCCACAATTGCTTGTGGACGCTCTAGAGGCTAAAGTTAATACCCGATTGACAGTCTGACACAACAACTTTTGGTCTTCGAAGAAATTATTAGTGTATCTGTTATCACTCGTCACTTCAGTCAGTTATATAGAAGGATAACTCGTGTTTTCCTTTTGCGTTCGTCACTTCCGTTTGTTGAAACCTTCTTTATTTGTCTATCGTAGCAATGATCTGTGTGATAAAATTATATTTGGAACGGGTTTAACCAGTTATATCACATATGTGATAATGATTGACACGAACATTGTCCTTTAACGGTCATGAGAGGAAGAATCCTATTGATTTTCGATAATTACTGCTAGAGCTATGACCCTTGATCACCTTTTAAATTCTTGTGGACACTCTAGAGGCTAAAGTTAATATCCGATTGACTAAAAATTTCGAAACCTATTGATTTCCGATAATTACTGCCAGAAATATCTTGTGGACGCGCTAGATGCGAAAACTAATATGAATTTATACGCAGTGTTTAAGGTCATGAGACAAACAATCGAAACAAATTTATGATAATTACTTAATGCGTTGTTAATCGTAATCAGATTTTAGTGAGTTGTAAATGTTTCATTACTGACAAAAGAAAACATGCGACAACCCTTGTTGACTGCACAGACGACTTAGCTGCTGTGGCTGTTTGTTTTGTTGCCTGGCAACCTATCTTGTTATACAGAGAAATATGGACAGCGGGCACTTGTTGGTAAAGTTAATGTCGACATGGAGGCGCCAGAATACTATATAGAAGATACAACAGAATCAGTTGCAGGCACAGAAGCGTATGTATTTTAAAAATATTCAATACCAAAATATTACATAATATAGACTACAATATTATACTTTCTAATACATCTAGATCGTCCTGATTATTGATCAGAATGGCAGGTTTGGTCAAACGTTCGCCAAGATGAGACTTGAATTCATGAATAATCTAATAATTACAAATATCAAGTCAATTTTTTAACCAGGAGGCTGTTGTTAATCTTTGATCAACGCTCTTCAAAAAAAGCTCTCTAAGGCTCCACTAATTCGAGTACGATGGAGATCAAACTTGGCATGCTTGTTCGTTAGACATTGTGTATCGGTTGGCCGGCTTCGATTTGTGATGCCGAGAAAGTTCATCCCGATTTTCCGACGTGGTTGTCCCTTGTCAGTGATGCAGGACGGAGGGCCTGACAAGGACAGCTGTCTAGTCCTTCGGATGAGACGAAAAACCGAGGTCCCGTGTAAACATTGGAATGCACGTAAAAGATCCCTTGGCAGTTGGAATTCGATATAAGAGTAGGCGATAGTGCCGCTGCCCGAGCAAAATTTCCCTCATAGCACACTGTATGGCGTATGCCCGTCTTCATTAGCCCAGTATAGGAGCAGAACAGTAGGACTTTAAACCCCATTTCATTTCATTTCATTTCGATTTGTGATATAACTTCACAATTCCAACTGTATTCTGTATAGGCTATTTCTTAAAGCCCGGAACCATGTTTTTTGACTCGGTTATGTAGGTTAGAGCACAGCCATATATATATATTTCGTGGAGAGGAAAAAAGGCTACCAAAGTTGATTGACGTTATATAATAGCCTAGATTGAATTGCTGGACGACAGTCTAATTGTCCTTCAGAAAAAATACCAACATATTTTGAATGCAAGTTTGAAAATTAATAACACCATTTGATGGATAAAAAACCCCAATTTTAATGATTGTTTTCTTCAGATTTGTTAAAGCAGTAACAGAATTGGAGGTAAGCAGACGTTTAAAATTGAAGAGCAACTACATATTTTCTGACTTCTGGTATTCAATCATTTTGTAACTATTAGGAAAAGAGTTAATTGTTATATTGTGGAAAAAAAGTGAGAAATATAGATCGGTCCTTAGAAATAGACCCAATGAGAGTCGCAAGTTTAACCTTACCCACAATGTTAGTCCTGAAATTCCCTCATGGAATTGTGCTTTCTTGACCACATATGTATAAATTCTTTGAAATGAATTGTTTACAGAATCCACTAATAACACCCTGTGTAACTCCAAGATTTGCAGTAAGTTGTTCAGAAGAACTACTGAAAAAGGTTGGACAGATAGCCGAACAATTTCAACTACCTATACAGGTAAACTATACATACATTATGCAAGAGCTAAATCTGTCTACTGCAGGTCTTTCTTTAGGCCTGAAATGTTATCTAAGTTATTAATTAGACATTAAACATACATTATGCAAGGGCTAAAGCTGCCTATTGTAGGTCTTTCTTTGGGTCTGAAATGTTATATAAACTTTTAATTAGACATTTATTAACAAAACAAGACCATAATCGACTTTCGATGGCATCGGATACTAGAGATTTTAACTAGATTAAAACGGTTCGCCATTTAAAAATTTAATTTAAAAATGAGAAAGCGGGGCTTAGACCCGATTATACCAGTGCCCTGGTTACCACTATGCACACATCTTGTCAAGACTACAAACAATGATAACTTGGCTGAGAATGAAGTAATTTGAATGAAATTTTCAATATTTTCTTTTTTTATCATCTATTTTTGAATTATTATAGCAAGAATGACCATCTCTTTATTAAATTCCTAACTAATGTATTTTTAATTAACCTATCCAGACCATAATCAACTCTAGATGGCATCGCTAGCCTGCGATCTTTAGTGGATTATGAGCCGATTTACTGCATAACTTTCCTTCACGATTTAACGATTAAATGGATAATCGAGACTATGCTGTTTATCGTACTGACTTTAGTAATGATGATCAAGGCTAGCCGGAAATTTCAACTGCTTAGTTCTCGGTTCATAGTGGATCAATTTGAATGAAATTTTCAGTTAATTGCCTTTACATTATCTAGTTTTTAACCATTATAGTGAGAACAGCCAACTCATTATCGATTCTCCCATAATGTATCTTATGAGAATTTATGAGACCAAGTTTTACTATAGCAGTTTTTTGCGTAGATTTCAATTCTAGGTAGTGATCATGTGTTTGAGGTTTGTTTCGAGTAACGGGGATGGGGATTGGGGTGGGGTGGGTCCGATGTCTTTAACTGAGAGTTTTTGTCCCTCCAAAAATACAAGCAGTTGTCCAAGTGGCACCATATACACTTATTTAAAACTGTAGAATACTATACATTTCATGCTTTGCAAATCATCATGTATTGTATATCAATATTTTCACAGTAAACGCATACTTTATAGGTAAACAAATCTACGCAAAAAACTTCTTTAGAAAAACTTTGTCTGATAAATTTGTGCCCCCCCCCCCCCCTTCAGCCACCAGACTAATATTTTTTTTTCAGACGGACATACACAGTGGCACTACGGCTTACTTTTGTTTACATTCCCAATCCATAAAGTTGCAATTTCATATTTTTAAGTTATATTTTTAGAATTTATTAAAATAAAGCCCTAAAATAGATTTCCAGTTGACAAATTGGCAAAAATATTATTTTCATCTTCAAATTCCAACGTTTGAAGATAACTACCACATGGTCGAGAATAGGAAACAAGGGAGGTAATTGGGAGGTAATTGTGTTATTATTTCCGGTGTAAATGAGTTTTAAGTGTGAGAATGACACCCATGATCGTATAATAGTGAGTTGACAACCTATTGAGCAAAAGACATAGAAATAATTATGTTTTGACTTTCTTAGAAAATATGAAATTGTAACTTTAACGTGATGTCAATTTGTTGGTTTTTTTTGTGCCATCCGAGGGACTAGACAATTTCCCTTGCCAGGACCCCTATCCAATAGTGTACCACTGACAAGAGTATAAACCAGCCTGGACTGGACAACCCCGAGAGAGTAAACGGTCACTCATCCCAAAGGTTATTTCGAGACCAGAGGTCTTTTGCAGTGGGAGGAAACTAGAGGACCCGGAGAAACCTACGAGGTTGGATAGGTGACCTTACTTGAATCGAAACAACACCACTTGACCCAATGACAGACCTTAGGATCCAAAGCGCATCCGTTAAACCATTCGGCCACCGAACCCGTCTTAGTAAACTAGTGTCCAGTGCTATACTCACGGAGCCACTCGTGACTTCCATCTATATAAATGAATGTTAGGCCCTTCTACAGTTTAAAAAAATGGAATTGGTCGCACCAGCTCGTTCAACGGGTTTCTTCTTTAAATCGTGGATTAACATCAACGAACTTGTCCATCAATGTAACCCGGATTTTTATGACCTGAAACCCTGAAACGTTTTTTTGTTTTTTAGAACAGTATTTATTATTTTTATTTTTTTAGACTCATCTTAGTGAATGTAGACCTGAATGTAACGTGATTACATCTGTACATCCCAAAAGATTAAATTATACGGATGTTTATAACCATGCTGGACTTCTCACTAACAGAGTATGTTAATTTTCTTTTCTTTTTTTTTTCTTTTTTTAAGCACAATTTAAACGTATCACAGACAATTATTCATGATCATGTTTTTTATGATTGTACCAAATATCGCGTTTTTAGCTTGTGGACCCTATAGAGGTCATAATTTTTATCCGATTTAAAAAAAACGTATTATTATATCACCGTTACACCCTATATAAGGATGGCTGAGTTCGAATTTCGTGAAAATCGGCCCAAAATTGACAGACAAAATGGCCGCCGTTCGTTCTCAAATAGCGTAAAAGTATGGTATATCAAGGTTGTGGACACTATAGAGGTCACAATTTTTATCCGATTTTGTTGAAACTTGAAATGTAAGTTTATAACCCAAAGATCTTGGTTCCTTTCGATATTCGCGCATATCGGACCGTAACTTCCTGAATTATGGCCCCTGATTGTACCAAAAATCGCGTTTTTAGCTTGTGGACCCTATAGAGGTCATAATTTTTGTCCGATTTAAAAAAAACGTATTATTATATAACCGTTACACCCTAAGGATGGCTGAGTTCGAATTTCGTAAAAATCGGCCCAAAATTGACAGACAAAATGGCCGCCGTTCGTTCTCAAATAGCGTAAAAGTATGGTATATCAAGGTTGTGGACACTATAGAGGTCACAATTTTTATCCGATTTTGTTGAAACTTGAAATGTAAGTTTATAACCCAAAGATTTCGGTTCCTTTCGATATTTGCGCATACCGGACCTTAACTTCCTGAATTATGGCCCCTGATTGTACGAAAAATCGCGTTTTTAGCTTGTGGACCCTATAGAGGTTATAATTTTTATCAGATTTAAAAAAAACCGTTTTATTATATCACCGTTACACCACCCTAAGGACGACTGAGTTCGAATTTCGTGAAAATCGGCCCAAAAATGACAGACAAAATGGCTGCCGTTCTTTCTCAAATAGCGTAAAAATATGGTATATCAAGGTTGTGGACCCTATAGAGGTCACAATTTTTATCCGATTTTTTTAAAACTTGAAATGTTAGTTTATAACCCAAAGATCTCGGTTCCTTTCGATATTCACGCATATCGAATTGTAATTTCCTGAATTATGGCCCTTGATTGTAGGAAAAATCACTTTCTTGTTAGCTTGTTCTATGTCCATCTCTCGAAAATGTGGGCGTATCCTGCCTGGCAGCCGCTGGTTTTTTAAAAAAAAAAAGAGGAAGTAATTCGGTCCGTTATCTTTCAAAGTTATCATTACAGATGATCATACAGAAATGGTCTCAACCTTTCCATGATCATAAATAAACATTAGTGTTGCCCGAGGAAAAGTCACGTTCAATAGTAAGTGCAGAAATCACAAACAAACGAACAATTCAAATTAAGTGAATGGATCCGTGGGCTAGCTGTAAGCGTCCACTGCGCTCTACAGTCCCGGGCCAGTGGTGATACAAACTTCACTCAGATTTGAAAACAATCAGGAATATAACCCAGAGAAATCATTGTGTAATGCCAGCATGTGTCATGATCTGCTATATGTTAGAAGAATGTAAGCATATTGAAGTAAAAATTAACTATACAAGTAACCAAATCTTTGAAATGTATATAAAAAAACAGACAGTCTAAAATTAAATGCTCTAAGTCAGTTGAGAAACGTTTAAGTATTCAATGGAACACTTGCATATCGCATTAGATTGACAGGTACTTTACAAATTGGGTGCATTCGGTTAGAAATGTCTAGTGAAGGAGAATTCGCCCATATGTTTCGCGACAATAATACTTATTAGGGTTTCACACCGTGAATCTTGTGTTAAACAATTTTGTTTTTGTCCGGATTAATGTTTTTTTTTCTGTTTCCACCTTGCGGGTTTCGCAAAAAAAAAAATGTTTATTGGATCACTTGAAGCTATTTTGAAAAGTCGGCACATGTCAGAACCATACGAACTCTCCGAAATAAGTAATTTGGTGTAAAAGGTTAGGTCTTATTTAAATTTGAATAAATGTATCGAGTAAAATGATTCAGAATTTTATTTTTTGAGACTTAAAAGCTCTGTTTAAGTTTTTTAAATTTTTGCTTGAAACTTCGTGATAACATGTATGTACTGATCAGCTGTCAATACATATTTACTTAAATTATCGTCCATCCTAGATCAAGCTTTTGCGTATAAACTGGGTAATAATTATCCGACTGACCCAGAATTAACGGTATTCTAAGAAAACGTGCATTTTTTTATACGCCCACATTTTCATGTGGGCGTATATTGTCGTCGCCCCTGTCCGGACGTCCGTCCGTCCGTCCACATTGTTTGTGAACACTCTACAGGTCACAAGTTTTATCCGATTTAAACGAAACTTAAAATATGGGTTTATCTCCCAAAGATCTCGGTTCCTTTCGATATTGGCATGTATCGGACCGTAACTTCGTGGATTATGGCCCCTGATTGTACGAAAAATCGCGTTTTTAGCTTGTGGACCCTATAGAGGTCACATTTTTTTTTTATCTAATTTTGTTGAAATTTGAAATGTAAGTTTATAACACAGTCATCTTGGTTCCTTTCGATATTCGTGCATATCGGAGCATAACTTCATGAATTATGGCCCCTGATTGTACGAAAAATCACGTTTTTTTAGCTTGTGGACCCTATGGAGGTCACAATTATATTCCGATTTGAAAAAACCCGTTTAAATATATCATCGTTACACCGTAATTTTGGTTGAGTTCGAATTTCATGAAAATCGAACAAAATGACCGCCCCTCGTATAAGGCAAATGGTGTAAATATATGGTATATCAAGGTTGTAGACCCTCAAGAGGCCACAATTTTTTTCCGATTTTCATGCAACCTTAAATATATGCTTATATCACAAAGATCTTGGTTCCTTTCGATATTCGCACATATCGGATCGTAACTTCCTGAATTATGTCCCCTGATAGTATGAAAAATCGCGTTTTTAGCTTGTGGTCCTTCTATAGGTCACAATTATTAACTGATTTAAAAAACAGTTCGTATATATCACCGTTACACCGTAATGTTGGTTGAGTTCCAATTTTGTGTAAATCGTCCGAAAACTGCCAGATAAAATGGCCGCCCCTCCACGCAAATAGTGTAAACATCTGGTATATCAAGGTTGTGGACCCTCTGGAGATCACAATTTTGATCCGATTTTGCTGAAACTTGAAATGCATGTTTATAACCCAAAGATCTTGGTTCCTGTTGATATTCGCGCATATCTGATCGTACCTTCCTGAATTATGGCTCTTGATGTTACGAACAATCGCTTTTTGTTTAACTTGTTCTCTATCCATCTCTTGCAAAATGTGGGCGTATCCTGCCTGGCAGCCGCTGGTTACACTTTTGAGAGATAAAATTTAGCTGCCCCTGTAAATGAGCAGAGCAAGACGGAAGCGAGTTTTCAAATTTCGTTTTCCTGCAGTTTGGAGCATAAGGCTGAAACATAACTATTTTCAAAGGCATATATTAGTCATATATAAGAGCAAACGAAAATCCATAACTCATTTTTGACATTTCCGGGAAATAGGCAATTTTGTGGGAATCACTTTTCATGTTTTTATGCCCATAAAAGAATAAATGCTTCTTCAATTTTTATTGCCCACAACACATCTATTTATAGTTTAATAGTTTAGTAGACATTTTACCATTTGATACCGTATACAAACTGCCATTAAATCCAATCAATCCAAAATTTCCAGTATTACCGGAAGTGATACGATTTTAAAAAAAGAACTATATTTGTTCTAAAGATTGTTATTCTCTACCCTTTTCCTAATACTATTTATTATTTAATTAATAGTATGTAGATATACGATCATGTTGGTATCATAAAATAATTTTTAACATTGTCCTTTGTCGAGAAATAAACGAATTGTATGCGAATATACGATCAGGCAGATTTTACAAAATAATCTCCAACTTAATCCATTGTCGAGTGAAGGCCGATTTATCATTAGTCACGTTGTAATGTTTTCAATATGTATTGATAAATGACTATTTCGCGTCCATTCTTTAACACGTATGGGTATCTGTTAAAATGTATCATTGGTAAGGGTGCGGGCGCCGGTGAAACTCGTCATCCCTGTTCTAGTTTTCGATTTGTTTCAGAGTTGTTTCTAACTGCAAAATAAATATATGCATGTATCTTTACAATGGCACTATATTTTGGTTACCAGTATTTTAATATTCCTCACTGTTCGTTACATCACTGATATTCATAGTATTGCATTGCTACTAAAAGGTTCCTCACAGAACACTTATTTTCAGCAGCAGATGGAATGGTAACCTTTGGGATAAAGTGTAAATTTTTGTAAGATATCTTATAATTTTGGGGATTTACAATAGTTTCGCATACTGGTATGAACGGTGGGTGGAGTTTCCATCAGCCAGTCAGTATTGTCTATTTCTTGTCAAAGTGACTGAATTTTTCAAAAAAATTAATTTCAGTATCTATTTTTATACGCACACATTGAAATTTGGTCGTATATTGTCGTCGCCCTCGTCCGTTCGTCCGTCGGTCCGGCGTCCACAATTGCTTGTGGACGCTCTGAAGGCTAAAGTTAATATCCGATTGACTTTAAATGTATACACAGTGTTTAAAGTCATGCGACGATTTCCGATAATTACTGTCAGAGTTATGGCCCTTGATCGCTTTGAAAATACTTGTGGACGTGTAATACAATATCATTTGGGATCCAAATTTCAATATTGTATTCTGAATTCATATTTTATTTGTAACTCATTTTGGACATATATTAAGTGACAGATTAATTGTAAGTTTTAATCTATATCAGGTGGGGGAAGTTGACATAGTATTATGTAAGATTTAATGGACTGTACAAACGTGTATACTCGGAGTGTCTATATGATATAAGATTTAGGCTTAACGCGTATTGACACCCTTTGTCTTGAGCTAAGATGTGTGAATCTTAATAATTACTTTTCATTGTTCTGATTACTAATGGTATTAACTATGGCGTGCCCTAGCCGATATAAAAAAGCCTAGTTTAGAAGCAGGCAGGGAGAAGTACAGAAGAGGCGCAGAGAGAGACCTAGAGAGAACTCGGCTCGGACTTGGGGCAAGGCGGTCTGCCCTTGTACCCCGGGAGAAGGAGGTCTTGGCAGACCTGAGGGAACAGGCTACATAGATGTCACGAGATCTAACCACAATGATGTTGTACATGTAAATATGTTATCCAGCATTAAAGTTAATATCCCATTGACATTAAATTTATGCAGTGTTTAGGGTCATCAGGTCATGATTTTATATTTATACACAGTGTTTATGCATATACATGTATATACTCTTCAAAAGTAAGTAGGGGATATTGAAATGCAAATACCTATGCAGGTTGTGATATGATAAATAGTCATGGACACTTGACATGCTTTGAGAGTATGTTCACAGATGAAGAACTTATCGCCCCAACAGAACCACTGAGCTGCAAGTGCGACGCGCAATAGCGCCATACACGTCGGAGGGGTTCATTGTCAAATTTGACACTTCACAGAAGGATTGGTGAACACTGCCACGTGCTGGTTTATCTATCCCCGTTTGCTTTCCTATCGATTCTTGTATAAGATTTACTGTTTAGCGTATCTTTGCTTTAGTGTGTTACGTTTAATTTGATCGGGAGACTGCAAGAGGAGTGAGTCATATTGCCCCAAATCGTAATTGGACGGTTGAACATGCCACGACGAATTGCTGAATGTCTGAGGATTGGCGGAGCAATTTCTCATTATTAAGACAAAAATCAAAAACGTCCATTTTCACTTTTGACAGTGTATCTCTTTGCGAGTGAAGTGAGGCCGTCAGATAAGCCGCCCATATGAACTGTTTATGTTCATGTGTAGGCAATTGGCCTGTTATTAACATACACTGGTTACCTAGCTCTAATAAAAACAGCAGTGCATTTCCGCAGTTTTGTATTATTTCTGAATATCCCCTACTTTTTTGAAGAGTATATAATCGTTTGGATTGAATTTAGATTGATACACAGAATTTAAGGTCTTGAGACGAACAAGTTTATTGAATTGAACAGCTTAATCCATGATATAAAATGTTTTGTATAATTATACTAAACGTTAGAATGGGCCAAATAAATTCTAATGATTTTCTGATAATTACTTAATGAGTTGTTACTCTTAATAAGATTTTATTGTATTATAAATGTAAAAATATGCGACAACTCTTGTTGACTGCCCGGGCAATTTAGCTACTGTGGGCGTATGTTTCGTTGCCTGGCGACCTTATTTGATCAATAGCAAGAAGGGACAGCTATTTCTCAAAACCTTGCTTAAAGGCTCAATACCACTCTTGTTGTAACTGAATAATATGTCCCAATCTTTATTCTGGTCAACAAATTGTACTATTTTAGAATATTTCAATTAATTGATGATACAAATTTCATCTTAACACGCCTTATTTAAAAATTTTGAAATATTCAACATCATGGTTTGAAACGTCTAACGTAAACCTTTTTAAATGAAACTTCGATTTAAAAATATTTTCGAACCCTCTGGACAAGTAAAATATGATGTAATGGATAATTTACACAACAGGCAGGACACTTAAACATCTAGTACTTAGATAGAGATATTTTCTGGAGCTTTCAAGCCAGCAAGAGTGTTATTGTCCCTTTAATGTATCTTTAAGTGGTAGAAACTGTATGTGTATAAGATTTGCATTTTTTGTCGTTTTTCGTACGAAGATTTCTTTGTTGTTTGTAGTCTGTATTTGACATTCACCAGTGAAAATCTCCTTATATTTTGCAGACAATATTGGCTCACAGTATATATCTATGTGATGAAGAAATAGAAGTAATCAAATTAAAAGGCTGTGGTATTTCTCATTGTCCTAACTCAAATTTAACGTAAGTTAGGAATCCTGTAGATACTAGGTTATTGGTTTGTGTCTTTATGCTTGTTATTTTCACCAGATAACAAACACTGGCTGATATTAAAATTACACTCGTCAGTGTAGCATAAGATTTATATAAATTGTATTATAGAGATATACATAAAACGCTTGGTGTCTAGATCAATATACCACGCCAAGAAACCAATTTCCATAAAGATGAAGTATATAAACAGTTCCTGATCCAAACCCTTTGGAACATCTTGACAATTGACATACATCCCTTCCAAAGACCCCCGCATGGGTTCACAGTGCCTTATATATAATGCTTCTAACTTTATTTTATAACCATTTAAAGTCCATATTAGTTTCTCTTGATTTCAAACTGCCAGTTCATTCCTTATACCGGTTATAGTATATATTTTTCCACTGTTGAGATATATGATTAATCTGGCTTTAATGTATAGAAATCAAACTCCCGATAGATTATGGTAACTAGAAGGCCTATAATAATTGTGACCACCGTCGAAACGTGACATTATAGTTGTTTATGAAGAGTATTGTCTAATTATTTTACAGGTTAAGAAGTGGACTTCTCAATACAAGAACACTATTAGACAAAAACATAAAGATAGGACTAGGAACTGGTAAGTAAAGGTATTATATACTACTGGATGGAATTCTCGACTTGTTCAGTGTTTTAACATATTTTATTGTAATGTATTGTAATTAGATAGAACTGGCAAATTATGAACCTTGTGAAAAGAAAACGAGATAAATATACATGTATATATATTAAATTTATGCAGTGGGATTATGCTAAACATGTACACATGTAATCTATATGATATACATTTATAAAATAACCTAGGTTCGTGCATAGATAACAGCGACTTATTATTACCCTCGACACACCCGCATCTCAGCATAATAGTAGGCTGCATTATTTTTATTCTTGCGAACTTAGTATCTTTTTCATTATGTTTTTCGCGACTTTTTGTGGCCATTTGTTTTTAATTGTATATGGTTCGGGAGCTTAAATAATCTCCCCATAAAATGTTTTAAGAAATTTGAATAATTTTCCAAAATTGACTTTCCTGCAGATGACGGGCGGAAACAGATGTTTATTGTACGGTTTTTAACAGCGCTTGAGATTTTATCAGAATTTACTAATTGGAATCATATTAATGTTTGTTAGTTATATTGAAATACGTTACCCAAATGTAATAGTTCCTCTGAGTAGCATGTGAGGGAGGTTTATAAATTCATTATCACAACACATTACTATTTTCAGATATTGCTGGTGGCTACAGTCCGTCCATGTTAAACGCCATACGCCAAACTATACAGATATCTAATACACATGCTATTCTAGCGGAGAAAGATGGCGAGAAGTATAAACCATTGAGTTTTAAAGAGGTGTTTCGACTGGCAACACTTGGTGGTAGTCAAGGTGGGTTTACATGTCTAGAATTACAGTGCACCAGGTTTCATTTTTATACGCCCACACGTAGTTTTTGCTTATATTATCGTCACCCTGTCGATCCGTCGGTCCGTCCGGCAGTCAACATTTGGCTTGTGAACGCGATAGAGACACACAGAGAGAAATGGGGTTTAACGTCCACTCGACACAAACTAGTTCATTTCGGGATTAACATATGCTTTAATTTTATTTAAATAATTCGCTTGCGCGTTGGGTTCTTTAGCGGACCCGGAGAAAATCCACGAGGTTGGACAGGCGACCATACTCCTTGTCACGAACAACCGGGGAATCAAAACCACGCCAGTTGACTCAATGACAGACCGTATGATACAACGCGCACGCACTAACCATTCGACTATCCACGGTTTGTTTCAAATCTAATGGGAAGCATTGGGGTCATGAGAGGATGGACCTTTTAAACATTCAACGTTCCGTGAAGCAACAGTTCTGGTAAAAACAACAGAGATAATATTTTGTGACCCTTTCTAATCAAATTTGGCCAACAATCAAGTGTCTCTTTCGGATAAGCTGCTGTCGAGATATAGCTGGTATTTGGGCTTATTTCTACGCTTTGCGTGGCTATCTGGAAACGGTGGGCTTATCATTCAATATATTTGGCAGATTTTTGTTGCCATAAAAAATAAAAGGAATACAATTCACTTTGGGTTAAACACAAATTCTACGTTTTGCTACGGTACAGTCAATTAAAGAATACTGTGGAATTCCACTAGAACAATGAATGTTGGAGGAACTTATGAAAGTGGTTTAAAATTATTATGGGACGATCATTATAAAAATAGACTTACATGTATTTCGATTATATACGCACGGGTCACGTTTAATGGGACCATGACTGCTATCACCCCTTCTGTGGGACTTTTAAACGTGATTGTCTACATGTATGTAGTGGTATATAGTTTTATATCCATGAGATCTAGGATGAATTTGAATTTAAAGATACTTTCCCACAAAGGTATTTATCGGTTGGTTATTTCCAATAAAAGTATAGCAATTTGTGGAAGCATCCAATCTGACTAGAAAAATACTGGATTCCCTGAAAAACACCCATGGAATGCATACAGGACAAAAATGTAAGGGTTTCCCTAACCGGCAACCCGACGATTAATGGTGCCTGTTCGAGTGACGTCAAAGGTAGCACGATTGTCTGAGATAAAAAACCACGGAAAAAGACTTGGGCAGTGGATAATCCTAGAATTTTTTGGGCTTCGATATTTATGATAAATAATCAGCGATTGAAGACAACATCGTCTTGTATATGCAATGAATTCTCCTCCAAACAGACGCAAGGGCCCCGATTATCAAGACTAAACAAATTACATTAAATTTAGACTGGACAATCGGGTATCTTTTACAGAAACCCGCGCAAAATATTGGTTTCGTACAAATTTCGCACTTAAAATTATTGCGAACTACATAATTATGTGGAATTAAGGAGAATTTGAAGCTTCGCACCCTTTACTAGGTACTGCTTCAGCCAAGTCGCGTGACACAAACATGACCTCTTTTGATATATTTCTTATATCAGGGGTATTCCCTGTCGAATGCAATGTTTTGAGAAGGATTTGAAGCAAAATTATGATAGATTAATTAGTTTGAATATGTTTTTAGTCCAAATATATCATCAAATCACCCAGTTTATATGTATCTTTAAACGGATTTCATCAAGAATATGCGGTTTGTTGCCCTTGACGTTTAAAATAGGTTTTTTTGGGGCGTGATAGATTATATATTTTGAAATGTGGTGTATTCGCAAGGATATACCCCAAGATATAAAAAAAATTTTTTTTAGAAGCCATGTTTGTCATGTAACTTGATTGAGGGAGGGCCTATTTTCAGAATGCATTTGTCGTTACTTACTGTCCATCTGTCATACTTATTGAATATAGCACCATGGGTCGTCTCACTCGTCTGTCAGGCGTGGGAAGTGGACAACTCACTAAATCCGGCGTATAACCCATGCATCATTTCTTACTTCATATTTTGGAACAGCCCTTGGTCGTCAAGTATTGTCTCTGGTTGTATTTGTAATTCTTTAAATGGCTAGGACGTATCTTTAAATGTCATTCTGACATCCCCCATTAATGACCGCTTCACGTTGTGCTTGGATATACTGCATCTTAATTAGTATCACTAACAGACAAGATGACAGGACCAAAAGTACGGTTTCTACAGTTTTTTGTCAAGCTGGTGGTAACACAGTTATAAGCACAGATTATAATAAAGTCATTATTCTCTCTATCCCTCAACCCAGATGTTGCCATTTGAACCTCGACGGTCCCTCCTAACGAACTTCTACACCATGTTTCCTCTCCCAGATCTTCGTGATGTCTAACCTAGAACGCTCTTTCTATTAGTTATATTAGTTATATATTCTCAGATTCGCAGCCATTATTTATTCTATTGGCTAATTATATGATGTAATTAATCATGTGATTGGTCACTTATGCCAAATATTAAATGGTAACTTTCCGATCACGTACTTTTAGACATAGAATCTATCCTTGAACTTAGACCTCCTTTTAATGTTATTCTCACAATATTCCATAAACAATTTAATTTGCGTTTTAAGTAAACTCATACCATAGCTAATATACTGACAATGGAGAATACAAATAAAACATGTATTTATAAAATTATAACTCATGTCCTCTGGTGCACTTATATTCGTCTAATAAAATTTCGCATAAATTATCAAATAGTATTACAACGCCTCCCCCCTTTAAAATTTATGCAAAACTATCAGGTAGGAATATGTAGCACCATGAGTCTTTTGTCTGACGTGGAGAGCGGGCGAGAAAACCGGTCGCCACATCCTACATACGACCCATGCATCTTTTCTTACTACATATTTCTGTAGCCTGTCTTTACTTCTGCTTCACGTTGTGTATTTACTTCTTACAGTTTCTTAAGACGTTGTCTTACCAGGAATAACAATGCGACAGTTTGCTTCTACATTTTATATATATATAGCTGAATACAGGTATACAAGCATAATAGATAACAATACTAGTTAAAACCATTTCTCTACCCTAGCCAGTCTCGCGGCTGTCTAGGAACTCAGATGTAAGCCCTCTGGAACCTAATAGAAGTCTGCCTTACAAAGTTCCCCGGTTTCTCTTATAACCATATGAATATCACGCACAATCAAGTGTGATCATGGCCCTGAACTTGTGTAATTAACGATATGATTGGTTACTTTAAGCTAAATGATGCAATTAGAATAATTCCACTCACGTGTAATCTCGGGGTATTTTATAGACACATGTTATGGTTAATAACTATTTTTTATATAACAATATGTCAATTACAGACTAAGTTGATTTAGTGCACACTATATATGTGAATATGTTTGAAATTACTAACTTGCCAAAGATATTAATTAATGAAATATAAAGGCATCTTATTTCCCTATTCCTTGTCTATAAATTTAAAAACAATGTCGCAACGACGATAGTGCTACAATTCTTCCCCCTTTAAGAATATATATAAAATATAGATATTCTAACTAATTATTCACACATCAGGCAAATATAAATGATTACTATACTATAAAACCAAGCTATGAAAGAAAAACACAAATAATCAAAAATCAAAAATCAAAAGTTGCATGCAAAAGTTCTCCAAAAAAGTTCATCACTGTAAAATCCTATGAAAATTCACTAAGCCTAAACACAGAAAACACAAATTGTCTTTTTAAAATCTTCAAGTGTCCTAATTTCAAAACACTATAACACATCACATAATATTTATAAAGTTCAGGTTTCACATTAAATTCTGTCTCAGGAAATGTCAATTTGGTGAACTGGTAAACCATTTCTTCTTCTTGGATTTGTATTGGTCTGTTCTAGCTACCATAGTATCAAGTTGAAACTTTCTTTTTTTCTTCTAAGTATGATTGGGTTGTACAATTTTATCCGTCAATCAAACATGTCATTGCCATCAGACCAAGAACTAACTATTCCTAAATTATTAAAACTTTATTTTTATATTAGTCTTATATTATTATTTCGAAAACTCACAAGTAACTCACTCTTAATTAAAATTAAACTTTATTTTAGTATTAATAAACTTTGATGTGTCCCAGTAATTATAAATCAATCTTCAAACTAACTTTGACCTCTTGACCTTATCTCGATATACAATTTTATAATTTCCGTTTCTGTTTTAGAATTCCTACATTGTTATTTTATATTTCACCGTCAGTAATGTGACCTTTTTGACCTAATCATTTACAATTTTGTATTTCGTTTTGTATAAACACTAACCACTATTACCTAAACATTTCCTAACAGACTGACACTGACACAAGCTGAGCTCACACCTATGACAATACCAGACTTTAATTTATCCAGTAGACGTGGTACAAGGGTTAATCAGCGAACTGGATGTATGAGATGTGTTGTTGACGTTTGGGAAAGTAGGACGAGGGGAAATGTGTAGGGAGTGCTGTAAAGGGATAGTTAGATGTATTATGAATGGTTAGAGTGGCTGTGGTGTTACGGTGAAATACTATGCCGCCACCGTAACACCACAGCTTTATGATTTGTTAGACAGGAGTGATGTAATGGGTGTCAACAACTGGGTATGCTGGTACCGTCGCAACGTAGCCGTGAAATATATATTGTGGGGGGGGGGGCGGAAACGGAAAAATATACAATGTTGACAGTATGTGCCAGGCATGAGGCTGCGCAGACCAAGTGGCAGCTCGATAGGGAGTGTGTGGGAGGGTCACCCTCATAAAAAATTTTTTTTTTAAATTTCAGTTTTCTGTAAGCAGTGAAAACACTATTTTGGCTTGTTTGCGGGGTTAAACCTAAAAATCACATTAATACACCTATTGCACGATATTGTGAAACTAGCTGACGAAGACAGCTCGGGCGGCGATTGTTCGACTCGGGGCTGCTCTGTCAGTATCTAACAAACGCATTTAGTTCGCGTACAACTTTTAAAAACCGAATGTCAGTATGGTATTTCTCACATAATTGGTTATCGCAAAAACAGAGTAAACTGAAAGCCAGTAATCTCGACTCAAACCTATAGTCTATAGCCCACTTACTACACTGTCACTAGGCTTCCTATATTATTGTTTGTGGACGGTTTACTACTCAGTGATAAGCCTGCGCCGCAAAAAGAGGTCTCGCCTTTTATTATTAGTATAATGACTTCCTCATGTGCGGCAGGTTAGCTTGCTTCTAAAAACACTGTTTTCCGTTCCAAAAAATACAAAAGTAATTTTCTACCAGATGACCATGGTTCTTTTCACCGAGACTACATAATTTCTCTCGGTGTAAGGATATAGCTATGGATAAGTTCATACAAGGTCAATAAATCCGCGGTCACTTCGGGTCACACTGTTGAGAAAATAAACCGATGGGTTTGTTTAGTAGCAAATCGAGCGTGAATCAACTGAGTTTGTACTGAAAAATTTTTGAGTGATATGTATGAACTGTCTTCACACATTCGGTTTATAATTAGCGATACACAGGTACAGTGGCAAGTGTTGTACTTCACAGACTGTTTACCTCCGAACTACCTCCGCACATAATCCCCGATTTGGGTACTTGTTAAAAGAAAAAGAAATAGTACCTGTGCGCGTGCCAGTAAAAAAAAAACCTAAGAGTTCGCGCATAAAAATGCCCGAACGTACCAGGCGCCAGGTCATCTAGAATAGAACTGTCAATCAAATATGATCAGTATATGAATGACACTTCATTCCATCCTACATGCAAAACCCCATTTCAATTAATTTATAACCATGTCCCAAGTGAATGAGTGCACTTTCATCCACAGGAACATTAGTCTATACACATACAGTTTACTATATCCTATATATTAACGCGTCACGTCAAATTTAACACAGTGTTAGAACCTATTGTTTATAATAATCTGACCTAATGTCAAATTACACATTCTAATCATCTCGTGTACATGTCGACAGCTTAAAGCAATTAGCAGTATATATTAAACGTTAATATTACGTTTCTAAGCAAAAATTTAATTACATAAAATTATATACGGACAAAATTTACCGTATACCCACACTTTTCTAAAAAAGTGTCGCATTCTTAACTTTAACCTCCTATAAAACTCGTATTAATGACTTTGTGATAATCTCACAATTTAACGAGCCTTTAATTTTAGTTTTTTCCCCAGGAAAACTATAACCAACATCCCTAGATTAACCATATGGGATTTTTTTACATAACCCAACTTTTTATTCAAAAGCTAAATTACGACAACTCTAAGGCCTGGACTAAGGGCCTCAAAAATATATAGCTAATTAACCACACATACGAACGACACAAAAAACACAAATTAACGAATCACAGTAGAAACCACGGCCAACTAGGAAACTAGAGTTAATCACTCACAAATTTCATCCTTAGCTCTGCCTTCTTTTCTACTGCAACCCGGAGACAACATTAGTTCCTATTTTATTCCCTATTTCCGTTTCCTTATTATTCCTTAGTTATATCAAAACATTTATTTTTGAAAACCTACTCCCTAAACTTTCTCTTTAACTTTAATTTTACTCAAATTTACTACAGGTCATGTTAACCTGGCAATATACACACCTAACTAGTGATATTATATTGTTTAATAAACCTATCAATCTAAACTTATGAATGACTGTAATTTATTCTCTATACAGTTAAATTTTAAATATTTAGTATCTTATCAGATTTTAACTTAAAATTAATATTATTTGGTCTTTAAACAAATTTAACACATTTAATTTTCCAAACAAAATGTATTTACCCAATTTTTCGAATATCTCCACCAGATTTTTTTTTTTCCACCAGAATTTTTCTGTTGCTGGATTGTACAGGTTTTCTTCTTAACGTCTTCAAATATGTATTCTTCTTCTAAAGTGACTAGGGGGGTTGGATGGCTGAATGGTTAGCGTGCGCGCGCTGTATCATAAAGTCTGTCATTGAGTCGACTGGCGTGGTTTCGAATCCCCGGTTGTACGTGGCAAGGAGTAGGGTCGCCTGTCCAACCTCGTGGGTTTTCTCCGGGGCCTCCGGTTTCCTCCCACTGCTAAAGACCCCTACGCGCAAGCGAATTATGTAAATAAAAATTAAACCATATGTAAGTCCCGAAATGACCTAGTTTGTGTCGAGTGGACGTTAAACCCCATTTCTCTCTCTCTCTCTCTCTCTCTCTCTCTCAAGTGACTTCTTACCCCAAAGGTTGATACTTCAGCACGGCACCAAATAGAATATGTAAGACTATGCAGTGCTATGCAGTCACTGGTTAGATGTGGAAAATATTACGGGAGAACTCCCCACATCCAACGTGTGATGCATACTCTCTTTTCTAAAAATCTTCTTCCAGGTTACTCGATCTCGTAGTCACGTGCACCAAATCGAATATGTAGCACCATGAGTCTTTTGTCTGACGCGGAGAGCGGGCGAGAAAACCGGTCGCCACATCCTACATACGACCCATACATCTTTTCTTACTACATATTTCTGTAGCCTTGTGATCGTCTAGAATTTTTTTCTAGCTGTCTTTACTTCTGCTTCACGTTGTGTATTTACTTCTTACAGTTTATTAAGACGTTGTCTTACCAGGAATAACAATGCGACAGTTTGCTTCTACATTTTATATATATATAGCTGAATACAGGTATACAAGCATAATAGATAACAATACTAGTTAAAACCATTTCTCTACCCTAGCCAGCCTCGCGGCTGTCTAGGAACTCAGATGTAAGCCCTCTGGAACCTAATAGAAGTCTGCCTTACAAAGTTCCCCGGTTTCTCTTATAACCATATGAATATCACGCACAATCAAGTGTGATCATGGCCCTGAACTTGTGTAATTAACGATATGATTGGTTACTTTAAGCTAAATGATGCAATTAGAATAATTCCACTCACGTGTAATCTCGGGGTATTTTATAGACACATGTTATGGTTAATAACTATTTTTTATATAACAATATGTCAATTATAGACTAAGTTGATTTAGTGCACACTATATATGTGAATATGTTTGAAATTACTGACTTGCCAAAGATATAAATTAATGAAATATAAAGGCATCTTATTTCCCTATTCCTTGTCTATAAATTTAAGAACAATGTCGCAACGACGATAGTGCTACAAGATACGTGAACAGTTCAAATTGAACGACAGTCGTTTATGCCTGCTTAGTGCATTCTACACGTTTGTTGAATTATTATTTTGTCGTTTGTGAATCAGCCTTTACTAGGATAGGTTTTTATTTGTTCATTACAAAAATGGCACCCGAAACCATAGGGTGCACGACTCGTGTACTGATTATAAAATGTTAATTGTGTCTTAAATATCGGATATTAGGATCCTATAGTTTCACGGCAAGATAACAACATCAATATTGATTGAAATTGATCAATACTGAATTCTAATTCGTGTTTTTAATTTCGAATATTATGGAAAATATTGAGTTAGCTCCTCTAAATAAGTTTACAATTTCCCATATATTGTCTTTATTCCTTTTATTATGTTAAATTTAAAGATATATTCCTTTTAATAAATGTATAATTTATGTTTGTTTCCAGTCCTAGGACTTGGTAAGGTGATTGGTAATTTTGAAATTGGAAAACAATTTGATGCTTTAATAATAGATCCACAATGTACCAATAGTGCATTTGATATATTTGATACAGATGAAAACAAAGAAGATTTTCTAGAGAAATTTTTGTTTATGGGTAAATATATCGATAAAGTTAAATTATATTAAATAAATTAAAGCAAATATCATTTTGATATCTCTGTGACTGTTCCCAATGGTCTGGCCTCCGACGTTATTTTCAGCTGAAATTCTCCACATTCTCGGCAGTTCTCACTCGCAAAACAACAATTTTTCTTTGCAGTTGGGGTGGGGTGAGGAGATGGGTCCTCTGGTTTCCTCCCACTGCTAATGACCCCTACGCGCAAGCGAATTATTGAAATAAATTGAACGATATGTTAGTCCCGAAATGACCTAGTTTGTGTCGAGTGGACGTTAAACCTCATTTCTCTCCCTCTCTCTTTACTTTCCAGTTATTGTTGAAGGGTTTGCAAACCTGGGCCAGCCCGATACTATCTTGGTTTGTTGGAACCTATGGTGTAATCTGTGAGCACCTGCTTCATCGAAACTCCATCATAGAGCCATTCAACCGTTTTAGCGGTTTCCTCTAAATGGCGCCATTGAGGCATACTGGAAAAACCGAAAACATGGGTTATCACCGCTTACCGGTACTTTGCAGCGATGAGAAAATGAATAAAACCAGGACTATTCTATACAGCATGGCAGTCAAAGGTTCCAGAAAATTATCTGTCGAAAAACGCTGATGTTTTCCAAGATTGACCCATAGCCCCCCCCCCCCCGACCCCCTGGACAATATTTTCGAAAGGAAAAGACTCGTACATTGTTTCTGTGTTGATTTAATTGCAGCTGATTGTTTATTGTTTAACTTCTAGGTGATGACCGTAATATAAAGAGTGTTTATGTAGCGGGAAGATGTGTGTATGAAGCTGGTAAAAGGGTCGTATTGTCACACAGAGATTCATAAAACTGTTTTAAAATATTTATTTCATATTTTACATTTAAAGCTAGTAAGATATTTTAGTGAATTTCCTAGACATCAATTTATGATGACTATATAATACCGGTAGTTTTGTATATTATCTGTAAATCTGATTTTGTTAATGTATTTTTTAAATATTTTTTTTATTTTTTACATTTATAAAGTTAGATATTTTAGTGAATTTCCCAGACTTCAATTTATGATGAATATAATACCGGTGGTTTGTTAAATTATTTTTAAAATATTTCTCATATTTTACATTTAAACTTAAAGCTGATCAGATATTTTAGTGAATTTCCAAGATATCAATTTATATGTACCAGTAGTTTTTATACGCCCACATTTCAGTCTGTCCGTCGGTCCGTCCGTCAACAATTGGCTTGTGAACGCGATGGAGGCTAGAGGTTTTGACGGATTCATTTCAAATATGGATTGAAGCATCGTGGACATGAAAGGACGAGCCCTATCGATTTTCAGCGTTCTGCGACTTTTCGTTTCTGAGTTATTTCCCCTTTTCCTAAAAACTCTGTGAACACGAAAAAGACTGAGTATATAATGGACCTTTTTCCATTATTTCTTCAAGAGCTATATGGCCCTTGTTTCATATTGTAGAATCTTGCCAAAAATCTAACTACAAAATTTGCCATCTCATCTGTATAAAATTTATGTGCATTATTTAAATTAGTAAACTGAAGAACTTCTATTTGATTTCAACCATTTCCGGTAATTACTTCTAGAGTTATGACCCTTGTTTCACTTTATTTAAATTAGTAAGACGGAAAAGCCTAATTGAGTTCCAATAATTTCATTTCATTTCTTCTCGAGTTATGGCCCATATTTCACTTTGTGGTACCTTGTGAATGCTCAAACGACAAAAAATATCCTATTTTTGTATCAAATGGAGGTCAGTGTAATGTAAATGTTTAACATTCTCGGGGTCATGGGAGAACAAATACTATCGATATTCAGTGTTCTACGACTTTCTGTATAATCCTATTTTTTGTATCCTTTTTGATTAGTTTAATTAATATTGGTCGTATTTTTTTTTTTACCACAGACGTGTCATATTTATTCCATATTCATGAATGTAATTATACTAAGCATTCCGACGCTGTTTTTATATGCCCACAATTTGTTAGGTTACAATTTTTATCCGATTTTGATGAAACTTGTAATGTATGTTTATAAGCGAAAGATCTCGGTTCCTTTCGATATTCGCGCATGCTATCGGACCCTAACTTCCTGGATTAGGTCACAATTTTTATCCGATTTTGATAAAACTTGTAATGTATGTTTATAAGCGAAAGATATCGGTTTCTTTCGATATTCGCGCATGCTATCGGACCCTAACTTCCTGGATTATGACCGCGCGTTTGAAACCGAGAAAAAACTCACAGTCGATTGCATGTCAATGCCATAATTAGTTTGCAGTTACTATATCCAACATTGATACACTAGTTTATTATTTATGTTATTTTATTCCGGATATTCTGTACGATTCTGAGTACAGTATTAATACACTCTTTATTTGAATACCAGAGTGTCCCGGAGTGAGCAGGGAAGAACCGTATGGATACTTTTGACCAAGGTTTCATTGCTAATTAGAGGTGAAAACTTCAGGATCCATCCAGCAGTTTAAAACACGGCTGGCTTGTCAAAATTCATCCCTTACATTGCAAGGATAAAGAGAATTGAAAACTGCCGTTGTCTCAATTAAACATCACTAATTATGAGACGGTGAACATATTATAACAGCCATTCTACACAAGAGATTTCATACTAGCTTTCTGGCTTGTAAACTGCGCAGCATGTTCAGCGCACCCATACCCCCCTTACTCAAAGTGGGCCGCAGGTGATTCTTGATTCGCATAAAAATGGAGAATGATTGCTCCCTGTCACCACAATATGTAAGTAAATCCCGAGAGCAGTATGCTTTGGCCATACTAAACTTACGCTGTCTGTTTACAGTTAGGTCTGATGAGAACAGACACTAAGCTAGGTGACCGACATGTTCGAAATAGAACCATACATTAGTCCCGAAATGACCTAGTTTGTGTCAAGTAGACGTTAAATCCCATTTCTCCCTCTCTCTATCTAGTAGGGTGATATCGCAGACAATTATTAGTCTATTCTATCATGTTGCTGGTGCCGAAGTGGGTAAGACGCTGGCTTGCTAGACTGGAGGTCGGGTGTTTGATCCCTGCATTGGCCGAGATTTTCCGGCGCGGTTCCCCCTTGTCGGTGACGAGGGCCTGACAAGTACAGCTGTCTAGTCGTTCAGATGGGACAGAAAACCAAGGTCCCGTGTACACATTGGCGTGCACATAAAAGATCCCTTAACAGTTGGAATTCGATATAAGAGTAGGCCGTAGTGCTGCTGTCCGGGCAAAATTTCATTCATAGCACACTGTATGGCGTATGCCCGTCTTCATTAGCCCAGTATAGGAGCAGAACAGTAGGACGTTAAACCCCATTTCATTTCATTGCATTTCTTTTTACCGAGCTAAAACAACGATGATATAAACATTCAAGAATAAATAGCTTTAGAAAGACAAAATAATTTAATGAACAAAATATAAAACTAATTACGGTAACAAATGTCCGAAACAGAAACTTTAACAGTGGGCTTTAATAGAAATCAGAATGAATAAATTATAAAAATGACTGTGTATATATGGGAAATTTAAGTCCAGACATTGTTTGCCTTCTGACATGTCTAATGAAATTTAAGTAGATAGAGTGAACAAAATTTTAATCTATCCCATCGTATCACGAAAGATAACCAGTTTTAATCGGTTTATCCATACGCCATATCTTTATGTTTGCTTATTACAATAAAAGACAGCAAATGAGAACACCCAAAAGACTAAAGCCCCGTTAACACTTGGCCGTTATAAGCGTGCCGTTGTCCTGTTGGCACGGTATCAGGCCTCGATAAATTTCAAGAAATTGACCTGTTTACATTATTGTAAAATATACGGTCTGGGAACCGTGCCAGACACACCAAATGTGGAACTCTTCACAGAAAAGTTAATTTCAGTCCCTATGCAAATTATCCGGATGAAAACAATTATGGCGGTTGATTTAGTTTGGGCAGTCTGATGATAGAACTGTCAAAGTTTGCGACGGTAAAAAAGATCAAGGTTCATTTGGTGCATGTGCAGTAATCCGTACTGAGAACAGTTCTCAGACCAGATAGCATTTAACTATGCCGTGCCTGGCACGTTACTCAATATGGCACGCTTGTGTTTGACCCGTTTACACTACAATAACAATTAACAGTGCTGTGCCTGGCACGCTTAAAATGTGTAATGTAAACAGGGTTCTATATGGAGCTTGCTATTGTTCAAATAAAATGTGGCCCCATGTCAAAACAAATACTAGTCCAACATGTGACACCTCCTTCCACTGAAACGGAATCTCCTATGAATGACGCTAGTGGAAATTGCAACAATTCGTTGCCAGCCCAGCAATTAGACCAAACCCAAAGTAAGACATCATTTCCAATAATAATGTTCTATTATCCAACTCATCAAATAACCATCAAATGGCAGATTAAAAGCAGCCTTGCTCAACAAACATCTATGAATTAGGTAAATTAATATTTGAAGATATAGGCACAATCTTGCCATAAGCACACACTGCATTTAGTGTTCCTCCACTCTATACTCATTGTAATGACAAAAGTCAGATTCTTTCTATTTGAAATTTTAAATCTTCATGAAGTTGCTCTTGACTAAATGGTTCATTTAACACACATTGCGTTCCTGAAGCAATGGTCACATGCACTATAAGCTCATTGGTTCCAGAATACACAAGGTGTCTGCATTAAAGCATTTTAATGCCAATTCCAAACTGTTTCAGGTTGACTTCTTTCTAGAAACACAATGTAGAGCTATATGAGATTTTAAGGCTGGTATGGTAGATAATTTCTTACTGCATATATGACATCTGAAACATATTAGATATATACTATTCAAAAAAAGTAGGGGATATTTGATTTTGGGGGCATAATACTAAAATATGCAAATGACTACGAAAAAAGTCACTATAGAACCTAACAGAAGAAACATTTCCAGTTACATGTGACGCCCAAACGCACCAATAGCTACCGCATGGAATGCAGGTGATGCTTGGGATCATCATGGGGGTCCAACCCAAGATTTGCACGACTCTGACTTTGAATGTTACAGTCATTGTGGCATTGAATTCCAGGGTGGAAACATCAGTTTAATTGTTTTAGTGACCAGAAAACAAATTTTGATATGCGTCGGCTTACCCAAAATGAAAGTTTACGTGCCCTTGGCATGCTACAGATCGGCACAACACAGGCGGTTGTGGCGCGGACGATGAATGTTTCTCAGTCTGTCATAAGCAGGCTATGGTCCAGATACCGTGATACACAATTTGTACAGGACAGACCACGCTCAGGTCGACCAAGGGCGACAACTCAAGCCCAGGATCGATTTATCCGTACCTTGGCCTTGAGAAATCGTGCCATCACAGCAAATCAGATCAGCGCTCGTCTTCAAACAGACACTGGTGTGAGAGTGAGTGGCCAGAGGATTCGGAATCGACTGCATAGGGGTCACCTTCGCGCCCGACGTCCTCGCGTGATCCCTTGTTTGAGAGATCATCACATTCAGGCAAGACGTCGTTGGTGTAGGGATCGTCAACACTGGGATAATCGACGCTGGAGCAATGTGATGTTTTCAGATGAGTCAAGGTTCACTGTTGATTTTTTGGACAGACGTAGGAGGGTGTGGCGTCGTCGAAACGAGCGCTTCCAAGACGTTAACGTCATCAGACATGATCGATTTGGGGGTGGTTCTGTTATGGTGTGGGGAGGCATCACTGTTGCTGGAAGAACGGCTTTACATGTTGTTGCAGGGCGTGTTACAGGCCAGTACTACCGGGACAACATCTTGGCAGTCCATGTTGTGCCGTTCGCACGACGTCATGGCCGCCGTTTCATCTTCCAGGATGACAACGCAAGATGTCACAGGGCCAGGATCGTTACAGGTTACCTCCAACAACAGAACATCACCACATTACCTTGGCCAGCACTGAGTCCCGACCTCTCCCCCATCGAGCATGTCTGGGACATGCTTGGACAGAGGTTACGTCAACGTCAACAACGTCCTGCCAATGTCCAAGAACTTGCTGCTGCGTTGCAACAGGAATGGGACAATCTGGACCAAAATGACCTTAGACGTCTCATTAGGAGTATGCCACGTCGGATCAATGCTTGTTTGGCAAACAGAGGAGGATTTACCCGTTACTGACTTGGTTGTGATGCTGTGGTAACTTTGCTGTTTGACCCCGGGTATCATTTTACCCTTATAATGGTCAGTCTGTGCCTTACTTAGTCTAAAGATCATTTGGAATAAATCGATGAATGTGAACTTCATTTCATTTTGTCATTTGTTTCTTCGTCAGTTTCATTAGGTGACTTTAATAACACTTAAAAATCAAATATCCCCTACTTTTTTTGAATAGTATACATTATGTACCTAAACCTAAAAGAGTACACAGAATGGTTATATAAACTTGGAGTCAGTGTTTATTATTTACACTTTACACCAATTTAATTCAAATCAATTCAAAATTCATTGAGCAATCTACATTCAAATTCGCAAATACAGACAGGCGGTAAAAACAATTTTGCAAATTATCTAAAACACTATAAATTCTCCCAATCGACTGTGACCTTGCAGTGAACAAATATTTTATGGGAGTGTGTACTTCTCAACAACTATATACATTTCAGTTATACAAAATAGCCGGTGGAGTTTATTGCTGTGCCATATTTGATTTCATTATATTTAACATCTAATTTGGGAATATGTAATGATAAGTCTATAGAGCTAAATCAGCATAAGCATAGGCCATATTTTGATGTGTATCAGATAATTTCATTCAGATTCACATGAGCAGGAGGTATATACAAATTAAATAGATATCCGTTAAAGTCATTGGTAGTCTAAATTATGATTTATACTCAACTAGTAACTTAATATATAAGTAATGCAGAAATTTGGCAAATTTTTTAACATCATGTCTTTCCTCCTGAAGTAATATTAAATTTTCTTTTGTAGCTATAAATATCTTTCGCTCAAATGTAATATACCAATTATTATTTTAATTGATGAGTTAATATCTATCAAGTAATGCGGAAATTTGCAACACATTGTAACAACATATTTTACTTCCCGATGCAACAACATATTGTTTACCGGAATTTTCAATAAAACTACACATTTTTTACGACTTTTTTTTAACTCATCATTTAATATCCATTAAGTAATGCAGGTATTTGTAACATAGTTAATGCCACATTTTACTTTGCAATCAAACAATAAATTGTTTAGCCGAGTTTTCGATAAAACGGACACGACTGTTGCTGTAAAATTCCTTTCCCTCAAACACAAAATATAAATCATTAATTTACACCACGTTTTTTTATTTCTACACACATAGCTGTTAGTGAAATATTCTTCAGTTGAAATAAAAAGATGATAACTGAAACAAAAGACTAGCATTAAAAAGTTCAACAAAAGGAGATTTATCTTAAATGTTCAAGTTAATATCTTATATTTTCAAGATACTAACTTGAATTTTTAAGATACTAACTTGAATTTTTAAGATACAAACTTGAATTGTCAAGATACTAACTGCAAAATTCAAGGTACTATCTAGAAAATATAAGTATCAACTTAAACCTTTAAGATATTAACTTTAACATTTAAGATATTAAATCAACTTGAAAAGAATCTTAAGTTACTGAGATGTTTATCTTCAAAATATATCCTTAAAATTTCAAGTTAGTAACTTGAGAACTGAATATAATTTTAAGTACATTATATACTAACTTAAATATTCAAGGCACAAACTTGAATTTTCAAGATACCAACCTAAATTTTGAAGAAACCAACCTACATTTTGTTACTATTAGCTTAAATGTTCAAGATACCAATATGAATTTTAAAGATATTAACCTGGACTTTTAAAATAGGTATTTAATATTTTAGGTGACTAATTTCCAAAATAACACTTCACATAATAAGTGTTGCTTAGAATGCAGATTTATTTTTAAAATTAAAGTTAGAAAAATGGGGGACTAAAATAAATTCAAGATAATCTTACTGAAGGTCTTTCTTGAGTAATGTTTCTGATGAAGAAGTGTCTATTTCTATTCTACCTTTATTTTCAAGTTGTTTTATTATTCCTGTTAAAAACAAGATTATAAGAAAAACTATTACATATTAACAGTCCCCCTGCAGATACTCATACATTAACACAAAAATGGCCATGTCAAATTGACTGCTATATTTCACCACAGGGGTAAATGATTCAAAATTTATCAAGTAAGGGTGTGAATACACTCAGAGAACAGGTCAAAAGTAGGGCTTTATGTGTACTCTGTTTACCTATGCATAGGAAAATGTAGCTCTAAATGAGACACTTTTATTATCACATACACAAGCTTCCTAGCCAAAAAATACAAGTCAAGGTAAGAATAACCACAAATTTAACCAAAATAATAGAAGGAACAACAGCAAATTTTAACCAACACAAAAGTAGGAGGGGGGTTGCCATGGACAAGGAAAGGGAGGGTCATTTGACATCCTGGACAAGGAAAAGTAGGGTCATTTGACATCCTGGACAAGGAAAAGTAGGGTCATTTGACATCCTGAAAAATTCTTACAAAATATATCATATAATATCTGGCCATTTTCCAATGGGATCAGAACTAGATTTCATCTATCTCTATTCACAACAAAAACAACAAATCATAGTATAACACTTTTAACTTACTCTCTGAATCAATGAAATATTCAGTTGTAAAAGAATTCCAATGTTTTTTAGTTTTAAGACATGGACTGTTAAAATCTTGACTTATTACGTGAAGATGAAGTTGACTGCAAAAAATATATGATTACATAAAATATACACAGTTTCAAATTACATGTAATATGAATGTATCAAATACAGAACGCTGAAAGTAATAATTGAGAATAAATGGGGTTTATCATCCAAATATTCTGTAATTTTAAGACTAAGTGGCATTATCACCTACTATCTGAAATCAACATTCCAACTTTACTGGACAAGATACATTTTACTTAATGTACATATATATGGTAGAATCTAAGCAAATAGTTTGAGAACAGACACAAAGCTAGTTGACCAACATTTTAATTCCTAAATCGAATATTTTAGTCAAATACTTAGTATACTTCGAGAATTTTGAGAAGTATTTATTCCACTTCCATTTAATAAAATCAAAAAGATTTATTTAGTCTTTGTGTGTATTACAGATGTGAAACAATAGAAACGCATTACAAAATTGATTACTAATTTTAGGATATGGTGGCCTTTCAGGGCAGAGATATATTCTCGAAGTAGATAGCCCTTTTGCATAGAATGAGTGTAGTCCCTGCTCAATAGAACTGCTACAGATTTCAGAAGAATAATGTGTCTTACATAATGTTTGTCCAATCTCTTTAACACACCCAAAGAAGTGTTGCTGGTCCTCAACATATATCACACTATAGCACACCTTTTGTCTTACTAATTTTCTTTTTTACATGTACATATATTTTAATTCACTGTCTATCTTATACACATATATTAATTTTATATCAAAACAAAATTACACAGAAGGTAAAAGCTTACCCCATACTAGGTACAGCATGATAACCAAACCTAAACAATAGATGTTTATCTGCCCTTAAAAAAAAATCGATGTATAACTACACAAAATTACTTTACTGTACAGACTACAGTAACACACATCATAAAGAATTCAACACAAACCAAAGAAATAGAAGACCAAGACATAACTATAGATTAAGACACACTTTGCATGATCATCCATGCTGTACTCCTTGAAAAGATGTCTATATGCTATACGTACAGTGTACAACTGGTAAAGAATCTTTAAATCTTTTTATCTCGGTGTTCGATTGGCAAATTTCAAATTTGTTTCAGATATTTTGTTCTACTGGCTGACAAAGACTTCCAAAGTACTTATCGAGATCACATGAGGCCACTATTCACAGAATGAGGGTTACTAACTTTATCCTTAAGTGTATGACCAGAGTTACAGTCAGTATCAGGCGTTCATTCCAATACTGTGACATGGCATGGGGTAGATGTATTTATGATCTTATTGAAATGAACTTACTTATCGGCAATTTCCTGTCCTTTAAAGTGTATGTGTTTAAGTAATTCCACATTATCACCATTTAGATTCTTTAGATTGCTTATCTTGTCTTTTGGCAGAACAAGAAAATGATATTGTGCCTGAAAAAAATAAAAATATATTTATTTCTTTTATAATACATGTGCATTAAAAAGATTTTGAGATGATCTCCTCGCGGGCTGATATATACAACAAAAAGGGAATGATAATTTATATAGTTGGATTTTAAGACAACTCATCCCAAGATAAAAGACAACTCATGCCAACTTTAAAACATGGGTCGAGATATAAGACAACTCATCCCAACAAACACTCGCTTTTCATCCCATCTGGACGACTAGATGTTGATCCTTGTCAGCCCCCCCCCCCCATTTTGCACAACTGACATGCCACATGGGTAAACCATTTCGGAAAATCTTGAGGAACTTTCCCGACCAACACTGGGATTGAACTCTCGACTTCCTTCTAGCTGGTGAGCTACAATATTGGCTCCTAGTAGTACAATTAAAAATGTAAGGTAACTAGCCAAACACGGTACTGAATCAAACCCTAACCATTACTGGAAATGGAATAATGTGTGTACATGAATCTTTTAATAGAAGGTCCATCATGTGTGTTTTAATCCGATTTGGAATTTAGTTCCTGAGATATATATATTGTTTTGTCTGTTGGCTATGGTTTTGCTCCACACCTTGGGATATTTATCTTTAATCGTAACACATTTGTCATCTTCATCTACTTTCATTTCTGGATCCTCCATCGATGTTAGTAGACCTGTACTCCAATGCCCAGGTCCTTTTTTTTTTGCACTATTTGAAGAGGCCATTTTTCTCAGGTTTGGAAGTGAAACGCTGTAATTGTGAATAGAACGGAATGTGTTGAAACGAAGGGGATAAAAAAATATTTTATGATGCATTTAGGAAAAGTACTATCATTGACTTTTGCCTGCAACTCAGTGCAGTTTGTGGTATTTTCTCTCTCCAGTACTTTTTGTTTACCCAAGGAAAGACAATCTTGTTTATCTCCCCTGGTTGGAAAATATTTTATAAGTTTATCAAACGAAACAAATTTAAAATTCTATTAACGGTTGATAATTAACAGTTGCATATATAAGAAATCCATAATAATTATGAGTTACATATCTAAATAATTCATCGGTTATTTGGAGTTTTCTTTCCGTTACCATCAACATAACACATAGTTTGTGTTATTGTTTCGGAACATTATCCTGCCTGTATATTTGTTTCATCTATTTCCAAGATGGCTGCCGCCATGAAGAAACGATCAATAAATAAAACTTCTAGAAAACCTTCTCTCGAACTCCAAAGGTTAAATATTTTATGAAACTACATAGGGCCTAATGAAGGCCGTGCTAGTTAATGTAATGTCAATGTTCTTAATGTACCCGATATTCTGTACTTTCGGTGCTAGTTGACTATTGTACCGTACTCCACACCGGCTACAATACGGCTAAAAATACTGCTACCGGTACTAGTGTAGTTCAGCTCTGAACGTAGGTCTCATTACTCGCCGTTTCAGGAACCGCCCTATTGAATCCTTGGCGAAACTGAAATCGCTTCCCAGTCAATTTTACTGGGCAACTTTTTACTGCTAAACTGTGGGGTGTCAATCCGTGTGAACGCCTGTACAATGTTAATGTAAAGGAACATTTCAGTGAGAAAAATTACCTTGCGCTAGAGCAGGAATGTGTGGCACAACATGCTGGTAAAAACTGGTACCCATCTGCCAAATAATTTTTTCCTAAAAATAGACCAACACACAAATTCAAGAAGTCTGTGACACAAAGCCAAAGGCTAAATCAGAAATGTAGGTAACCAGGGGACAAAAATTATAATCTCTGAAAAATTAGAATCTTCAGTCATATACATGTATTGCTTTGCCAACCTTTTTTAAAACTAAAACAGATTAATTTTTTGCTCTTATTTTAAAGGAATAAGGCAGTGATTCTTTATATTTCAGTTCAAAAGACTTGAAAAAGAAACATGATAATTCTACACCATTTGTTGGAATAACATTAATTATTATTATACGTTTATGTTCAGCAGTATGGACTATTATTGGTGATTGTGATGAAGTTTATAATTATTGGGAACCTGTAAGTTATGACATATACTTTGAACCCTTTATTTCAAAATGATTAATCGAGTTTGTGCCTATTATCTGTTTATATTCATAGATGGGAATTTAATCTCCTTGTACAATTCTTTCAAGTATATCTGTGTTTAGTTATTCTCTTCTATTCCATTTGTACCTAATTAATTAACATCGATTTTACAAATGGGATTTGAAAAAGCCTATAAATAAATTTTTGTACAGAACTAAATGGAGGCAGTCTTATTGCATAGCAAGCAACACAAATCGATGAGATTGTAATTCTATATATCTTTGTAAATACTGGACAGAATTGGACCATTTTTGAACTGATATTCCTATTAGAGATTCAGTTGTCACAATATCAGTCGTTGTTGTTTGTATTTTAGAGGAGAACCGAAAAAGGCTCCCCTTAATCAACAAATTGAAAAAATCGCTCCCCTAAAAAACCTCGTCGATAAGAAGAGTGATTAAGAAATTAAGGGGGGTGATCTGATGTTAAGGAGAGTGATTAGTTGTGTGTATGGGAAATGGTTTTGAAGATCAGTAACTGCATGTAAGGAAGTTATTCCTAGTTTCATAAACGAAAATAAACCCCCCATGACTTTGTAAAGGAGAGAGATTTTCAATTTTAAGGGGAGGGAGAAGAACTTCCCTCCGGTCGACATTCAGATGTGCGACAGGTGTTCGAGAGCGATTGTTCGCCTTAAAAAAAACAATGACTGCAATATTATAGTTTGCAAGTGATTCTATAGTGCTAAATGACGCATCAATCAGGACTTTAAACCTCTTGGGGTTCAAATTCTGATTGATTCCACAAACTTAAATATTTTTCAGGCTCATTATTTAGTGCATAAGAAAGGTTTTCAAACGTGGGAATATTCACCAGTATATGCAATTAGATCCTATCTTTATGTATGGTTATATACGATACCAGCTCGTATTGTAAATACTATACTGACAGATAATAAGGTTTGTAATACTATCACATTACATTGACTAGTAGTATGAAATATCATTTTTGTCTGCTTACATTTTAACACTGTCCTGTATTGCTGTCACATTCATCCATCTGTCATTTACATTTCACCACAATAATCCACATATCTTTTTGTCCCGCGCCTTTCAAAGAAAGCAGGGGACTATTAAATTGGCGTGGGTGTTTATTTCGTGAATACCTTGAGGTAGTTTGAAGATTAGTATTTTCTTCTTAAGCTAAGCAGAGATAAGTAATTCAATTGGTTGATGCTTTGGGAAACGATAACTTTGCTTCTAATGAAACATACATTATGCAAGAGCTAAATCTGCCTATTGCAGGTCTTTCTTTAGGTCGATATGGTATATAAACTATTAATTAGACATTAATTAACTTATCCAAAAAATAAATTAACTCTCGATGTCATCTTATGTGTCAGATTTTCGCTGGATTTGAATCCGATCTGTTGCTTTACGCTCATTGATGATTAAATCCAAAAATTGATAATTGAGACTATGTTTTTTATCATACCGACTTTAATAATGATGATTGAGGCTAGGCTTAAAATTCAAAAGCTAATATTTCAGTTCAAAGTGGAGCAATTTGACTGAAATTTTCAGCATATCCTATTTACATTATCTCTTTTTTTAACTATTATAGCAAGAACAGTCAACTATTTATCTAATCATGACTAACTTTATTAATGAGCATTTTCTTCTCAGGGTAAGCAGAACGATAAGCAATTTGATTGGTCGAGACTTTAAAGCTCTATAACTTTAATTCTGATTGAGTGAGAGTGGTGAAACCTATTAATACCTTGACTAAGTTCGATGATGTGCAATTTCTGCTTAGGCTAAATGGAGATTTCAGTCTGATTGGTGGAGACTCTCCCAATTGAGGTAGAATGTTCAAACTTGATGTAGGTGTTTATTAGGTGAATGCCTTGACTGTGTTCAATCATGCATGTTTTCCACTAAGGCTAAGCAGAGATAAGCCATTTGATTGGTTGAGACTTCGGAACACAATAACTTAGGGTCTAATTGGGTGAGAGTGATGAAACTCAAGAGTATAAATTCATTATATCAATACCTTGACTAAGTTCGATGATGAAAATTTTCTGCTTAGGCTAAATAGTGATAAGCAATTTGATTGGTCGACCAGGACTTTGGAACATAACTCTGCTTGGTGTATGTTCAATAAGTGAATGTCTTGACTGAATTCAATGATTAACATTTTCCACTAAAGCTAAGCAGGACTAAGCAATTTCATTGGTCGATGCTTTGTGACACGATAACTTTGATTCAAACTGATGGAGAGTGATGAAACTAAGTGTATAATTTCACTACCAGTTCAATCAAGAACATTTTCTGTTTAGACTAAGTATAGATACTCAGTTTGATTGCTCGATACTTTTCAAGAAGATAAGAAGATAAATGTGCAATTATGCAATTAATTAATATATGTCATCTACATGGATTTATTTTGGGATTGCAGTGGGGGGGGGGGGGCATCAGCCTCACTGTTGGCTTGTTGAAGTTCTATGTGTTGTCTGCCTCATTCAAATGAAGAAGCCTATTGATTTTCAATGTTTTTTCAATTATGTCCCTTTGTTATGAAATCTTGTTAGAATGTTATAGGCTGCAATTATTAACCTATCTTTCTAATATTTATGTCTGTTGTCTATCCTATTGAAAGGAAGTATATTTTTGATTGTCTATCCTTTGGAAAGGAAGGTTCAGTAATATTCAGTTATGGCCTTTTGTTATGTCCATAAAACATGCATCTGTCAGTTTGTTGACTATCCTTCCTGTTGAAAAGAGTGCCATTAATTTTCAATGATTTTCAATAACTTCAAAAGCTGTTCCCCGTTTGTTACCACCTTTTGTAAGAGGCAATAATTACGATCTGATCTTTTTAAAAATTTTATGCTCATAACTGCTAGTGGTCATGTATTTCATTGTAAGACCACCTTTCTTATTGTTTTTTCTCAGGTTGTTCAGTTCTATGTGGTGAGATTGGTTCTAGCTTTAATCTGTTCTCTATGTGAGATTTATTTCTACAGGTATGTAGACTGATTTGAACTAATGTTAGGCCCTTACTTTATCAGTAATGTTCATTGGGATTTTTCCGACGTGGTTTCCCCCTTGTCAGTGGTGCAGGACGGAGGGTCTGACAAGGACAGCTGTCTAGTCATTTGGATGGGAGGAAAATTTCCATCATAGCACACTGTATGGCGTATGCCCGTCTTTATTAGCCCAGTAATATGGGAGCCACAGTGACTCAGTGGATAAGGTGCTGGATAGCTAACCTGGAGTACCCGGGTTTGATACCGGTTTTGGTGGAGAAAGTTCCTTAGGATTTTCCGGCATGGTTCCCATTTTCTTCTAGAAAGAAAAATGTACAATAAACATGTATAGCTATATTAACTTCCCCAATAAATGGGAAGAGATACCAGGTATTCTAAACATGTTTAGCTATTTTAACGTATCCAAATAATGGGAAAAGATACCAGGTGTTCTAGAAAGAGAAAGTAGTAAGGAAAGCATCTTTTATTAATTGTCTTGTAGCTAAAGTAGAGCAGTTGCTTCTACATGTATTTTCGAAGGTTCCATGGGCAACAGGAAATTAATCATTTTTATACGTCCACATTATGAATGTGGACGTATATCGCCGTCGCCCCTGTCTGTGTGTCGCCTACAGGCCATAATTCTTAAGTGATCATCTTGAAACTTTACATACTTTATACCCTAAGGATGATCCCTATTGCTTCTGATGCATGCCCGACCCCCAGAGGCAGAGCGACGCCCATTTCTTGTATTTGTTTGTCGTCTACATCCCGCATTTGGTAACATATTATCTTGAAACTTTGCATACTTATTCTTTGTACCCTAAGGAACATCCCTATCGTTTGGGGTGCATGCCCAATCCCCAGGGGCAGAGCAATGCCCATTTTCTTTTTGTGTGTCCGTCTGTTGCCTACAGGCCACAATTCTTAAACGATCGTCTTGAAAAATTTTCATATGAATTCCTTATACCATAAGGATTATCCCTATTGTTTTTGGTGCATGCCTGACCCCCAGTGGCAGATTCACGTCCATTTCTTGTATTTATTTGTTTGTCATCTACGGACCGCATTTCTTAACGTATCACCTTGAAACTTTGCATACTTATTCCTTCTATCCTAAGGAACATCCCTATTGTTTGTGGTGAATGCCCCTCCCCCAGGTGCAGAGCCACTCCCATTTTCTTTTTGTGTATGTGTCACTTACAGCCTGCAATGCTTAATCTATTGTCTTGGAAACTTTTTTAATACTTATTCCTTATACCCTAAGGCTGACCTCTATTATTTTTGGTGCATGCCTGATCCCCTGGGACAGAGCCACGCCCAATGTTTATGTGTCTTGTGTTTCGCCTACAGGCCGCAATTCTTAATAGATCCTTTTGAAACTTTGCATACCTATTCCTTATACCCTAAGAATGACCCCAGGGGCAGAGCCACACCCATTTTTCTTTGTGTCTTAATGGATCGTCTTTGAACTTGGGATATGTATTCCTTATAGCCTAAGGACGACAACTGCATGTCCCGAACACCAGTGGCAGGGCCTAGCTTCTTTGCCTCTTGTCATATTACAGCCATTTCATATTTTAAAAAGTACCATATCAATCAAAGCAGGAATGTGGACGTATATTGCAGTGTTAGCAATAATGCTCTTGTTCAAATTTGCTAGCATATTTTTTTATGATATTATTATTTGTTTTCAGGGGTGTTTATAAACAATTTGGTGTAAATACAAATCGCATGACACAATGGTTTTCATTGTTTAGTGCTGGTATGTTCATAGCTACACCAGCTTTTTTACCAAGCAGCTTCTCCATGTACTTGACATTCCTGTCTATGGGTGCATGGTTTCATGGAAATTTTAAGGTATGTTTGTGCTCATTCAATTATGGTTGTTACGTTATTATTGGTTGGTTGTGAAAGGAACTTCACTTGAAGTATCACTTTTCAATGGTGGATATCTAATTAGGGTTTTAACTCGCTTGGAAATATTACTTTGAGATATGATCATAATTTCAGATAGCAATTTTGTCAACGGCTGCCAGTACATTTATAGGGTGGCCATTTGTTGCAGTGCTTGGGTAAATGATACTTATTTTTATTTTATATTTGATTAAAAATCACTTGTTGGATATAATTGAAAATATGATGTTTTTATACGCCCACATTTTCATGTGGACGAATTATGTGTCGCCTCTGTCCGTCCGTCCACAATTTGTTTGTGGACACTCTACAGGTCACAATTTTTATCTGATTTTGAAGAAACTTAAAATATAGGTCTATCTCCCAAAGATCTCGGTTCCTTTCGATATTGGCATGTATCGGACCATAACTTCATGGATTATGGTCCCTGATTGTACGAAAAATTATGTTTTTAGGTTGTGGACACTCTAGAAGTCACAATTTTTGTCTGATTTTGATGAAATTTGATATGCATGTTTATATCTTGGTTCCTTTCGATATTTGCGCATATCAGATCGTTACTTCGTGAATTATGGCCCCTGATTGTACAAAAAATCGCGTTTCTAGCTTGTGGTCCCTCTAGAGGTCACAATTATCCGATTTAAAAAAATGAACGAATATATCATCGTTATGCCATAAGGTGTGTGAAAATCGGACCAAAACTGCCTGACAAAATGGCACCCCCTCTTTTGCAAATAGTGTAAGCATATGGTATATCAAGGTTGTGGACCCTCTAGAGGTCACAGTTTTGATCCGATTTTAATGAAACTTGAAATACATGTTTATAACTCAAAGATCTTGTTTCCTTTCAATATTCGCATGTTTTTTAGCTTGTGGATTCTCTAAAGTTCACAATTATTATCAGATTTAAAAAAAATGATTGAATATATCACCATTATACCGTAAGGTGTGTCAAAATCGGGCTTAAACTGCATGACAAAATTTTTTATCCGATTTTATAAACCGTTCAAATATATCACCATTCCCATAATGAAGGTTGAATTCGAATTTCTGGAAAATTGAACCGAAACTGCCTGACAAAATGGCCACTCTTTGTACACAAATTGTGTAAAAGTATGTAATACAAAGGTTGTGGACCCTCCAGAGGTTACAATTTTTATTAGATTTTGATAAAACTTAACATATATTTTTATATCACAAATATCTCAGGCCCTTTCGATATTTGCACATTTCAGACCATACCTTTCATCATTTGCTTGATAAAGACGAGAGTATCATCGTCGAAACGTTGCATGTTAATAAACCAGTGATTGTTATTCCATAAATAGTGTTAGTGTGTCATACCTTTCTGGATTGTGGCCCAGATTGTACGAAAAATCATTTTTGTTTTTGGCGCGTTCTCTATCCATCTCTTGCAAAATGCGGGCGTATCTTGCCTAGCAGTAGCTGGTTTTAGGTGAATCTGATAAGGTTTATGAATAAAGAGAATATTTTAGCAATAGAGCCTAAAGGGTCATTCCATGTCAAGTATACCAGTGCTTGTAAAGTGACCCCCTCCGAATATTATGAAGGTTGTAAAGTGACCCCCTCAGAAAATTAAAAAAAAAAATATGTTATAGTACATGGGGATCACGTGGCTAAGTGGGCAAGACGCTGGCTCGCTAGCCTGGAGGTCGGGTGTTCGATCCCTGCATTGGCCGAGAAAGTTCATCCAGATTTTCCGGCTTGGTTCTCCCTTGTCAGTGATGCAGGACGGAGGGGCTGACAAGGAAAGCTGTCTAGTCGTTCGGATTGGACGAAAAACCGAGGTCCCGTGTACACATTGGCGTGCACGTAAAAGATCCCTTGGCAGTTGGAATTCGATATAAGAGTAGGCCATAGTGCGGCTGTAGGGCAAAATTTCCCTCATAGCACACTGTATGGCGTATGCCCGTCTTCATTAGCCCAGTTCGTAGCAAAACAATAGGACGTTAAACCCCATTTCATTTCATTTCATGTTATAGTACATGCAAAATTATGTAAAACTGCAAAGTTATATGGGGGGGTTGGATGGCTGAATGGTTAGCGTGTGCGCGCTGTATCATAAAGTCTGTCATTGAGTCGACTGGCGTGGTTTCGAATCCCCGGTTGTACGTGACAAGGAGTAGGGTCGCCTGTCCAACCTCGTGGGTTTTCTCCGGGTCCTCCGGTTTCCTCCCACTGCTAAAGACCCCTACGCACAAGCGAATTATTGAAATAAAATTAAACCATATGTTAGTCCCGATATGACTTAGTTTGTGTCGAGTGGACGTTAAACCCAATTTCTCTCTCTCTCTCTCTCTCTCTCGCAAAGTTATATGATGCTAGCATTTATATTGACTGAGATATGGCCTTTTGAATATGGGTACCTTTTCACAAGTTTTGAAACTACTATAGTATGGCTCGATTTTGGTGTTCTGATTTTATATCTTCTTGAAATGGGGTTTGTAAGAAAATATTATATAGATTAAGAATTCACTATCAAATTTCTCCCTTGAATGAATGAGGTGGGGAGTATAAATTATTAGGGAGTTAATGGAAAACAATTAAATACAGCTTATAGAAGCCATGCATAGTTATGAGCTTAGTCTTACAGGATGTGATATTTATGACAATTAAAGTATTGGAAGTGATATCCTTTGAAATGGGCAGATATGTAAATATATTAACATGTTAAAAAATCTTGAATTTTCCCAATCTGATTAAAACACAGATCCTATTTCGTTTCGTTTTTTATAGTTGGAAATTTTGTTTTATTTGTCTGTACTATGCTAGGATCTAGAAGAGTTGTTATATAACCTGCGTTCTGGATGACGTGAGGGATTAGCCAATGAAACCATCTGTTACAGTGACTTCTTGGCGTGCGATGCACAGAAATGTGGGTAAACCACTAGAAATGTCAATGCTGATTGATTAATCAATATCTGATGTTATAGGGTCAAAACCCATTCGTACAACCTCTGACACGACCTTTTACTACAACCGGTCAGATCTTCATGTAGTGTAGGCCATCGAAAGTATAAAAAAAAAACGGAACGAAATATAGATCTGTATTTTAATCAGATTGGAATTTTCTATGTTTTTGATACTGAAAAAGTGATTTTAGCTATTTTCCTGTGTGAGTAGATTTTCAAAGGTAATTTTACAAGAAACCAACAAAGATATGGCTTTTGATAATGTTTGTCCAAACAATACCCATTGATAAATTATACATGTGATAAGTAACAACTTCTAATATAGTGTATTAAAATTTCTACACTGTATGCAAATATTTTTTTTTTTTGGCACAAGTATCAATTTTTGTTATTTAAGGCACTCCATACACAATTGACAGTACTTGTTCTGTAAAATATGATGGTAAATTCTGAATCTATACATTCTCTTACAAACCCCATAATTTCAAGAATATAGACTGACTGGAAGGAATAAAATCAGATCACAAAAGTCGAGTCATAGTAGTTTCAAAACTTGCGAAAGGGTACCCTGATTCAAATGGTCATATCTCAGTCAATATTAATGCTAGAGTCATTAACTTTGCAGTTTTACATAAGTCTGTATGTACTGTAACATATGTTTATTTTTCATAAATTTCTATGGGGGTCACTTTACAACTTTCTCAGAACTTGGTCCACTTGACATGGAATGACTCTAAATAGAACATGGTCTTGGCCACATTTGGAAAAATGAACATTATTTTGAATTAATTTTTTTAGAATACCAATAGCATTTGATATTTTAATAAGACAGAAGAAATTTTTTGCTTTTATTACATGGTGTCTTATTGCTGTAATCCTGTTTTTGGTGAGTAAATCATAATAAACAATTCATCTACTATTATTTGAAGTAGGACCAATCAATATCATTCAGTTCATTTTATATTCTGTATTGTATGTTTTACTTAACACAATTTTGCTTAATATCTGACAATTTTTATTATTGTGTCATCAGTCAAGTTCTTACTTGTTTACCATAATTGGCTAATAAAAACAAGAGATTTCTCCATCATACCAAGACATTGTCCACTGATCTATTTATAAACTTATTGTAGTCTTGTGCATAACACAGCCATTTGTCATATATTGTGTTGTGTAGAAAATCAGAACTATAAAGACAAATGAGGACAATAGGAAAACATATGTATTATAAATGACATTCTAACACAGTGGTATTATCTTTATAATTTTGAAAGAATTATAACCTCTTATCAATAGGTTAACTATTATAAATGAATAGTCCAGGGGAAGAACGATCTAAGTCACATTTTTGTCTTTTCACATAAAATGCAAAACAGACTTTTGGACGAGAATGCTTGACACGAACAGAACAACAAGTGGATTTAATTACAACTTCAAAATGATGTTTAATACGAATCATAATTACCAGTACAACAACTGACTTCCACTTTTCAGCCAAATTAAGGTCAAATAAAGGGTATGTTGGATGTATTTGTCCGGGAGGCCATTTCAGAATCACCTTGGTTCGATGTGGCTCCGTTCGGTTTTACCTGAAATTGATTGTTGCACAGAAAGCTTACACAATTTGCTACCAGATGGTGCCATTAACTGGGGTTCATTGAAAAAGTAACTTAGATCATTCTTTCCCGGGACTCTTCAAATGTGTAATGTTGTTATACATGTAGGTACCAATGATGATGGTGGATAGCAGGTTTTATGGAAAATTAGTTATAGCACCATTAAATATAATTTTATATAATGTTTTTGGTGAACATGGACCTGAATTGTATGGTAAGCTAAATCTGTCATTATTTTTTTTATATTCCCCCTAATCTGTTGTTGCCCTTTAATATCATTCACTAAAATTACAAACTATATCAATTATACTTAACACCATCCGACTGGTATTAGACTAGAATATTCAAGGGACACAAATAGAATCTTGATTAATATGCAACTGTAGTTAATTACTTGATACAGATGTGAAGGCAGAGTCACTGATATGTGTCAGTTTTGGTTTCTTAATAGGCTTATATTCTTTCGGGGGGGGGGGGGGATGGCTGAATGGTTAGCATGTGCGCATTGTACCATAAAGTCTGTCATTGACTCAACTGGCGTGGTTTCGATTCCCCGGTTGTACGTGACAAGGAGTAGGGTCGTCTGTCCAACCTCGTGGGTTTTCTCTGGGTCCTCCAGTTTCCCCCCCACTGCTAAAGACCCCTGCACGCAAGCAAATTATGAAAATAAAATTGAACCATGTGTTGGTCCCGAAATTGCCCACAATTTGCTGGTTTTGTTGCCCATAATGAAAAAAAAAAGTCTTTGGCATTTTGGGAGACTCTTCATTGATTCTTTACAGAAATCTGTCCATTTGATTTATACTTATATATATATACAAAGAAGATGGTTGTTTAGTTTCGATACTTATGATTTTTTATTAGAATATGTATAATTTCAGGTGTAGAACCAGTATCATTCTACCTTATAAATGGATTTTTGAATTTTAATTTGGCATTTCTAGCAGCATTAGTTTCTTTACCTTTTGTTGTAAGTTTTTATGTTTATATGCTTTGTGTATATTCTATATTACTGTTTATACTGATATTGGTTTATGTATAAAACTACAAATAAAGATCTCATTCATTGTGTATTGGAAGTTAATTTATAATGTGTATATTTATATTTCAAAACCCATTACTGTCATCGAATAATATGATAATATGAATTTTTTTTTTTTTTACAGTTAATAATTCAGTTGTTATCAAGATTTACCTCTTCAAGTAAGTATGATGATTCATAAGTATTATAGACATGTTTATGACCTCTGATTATTTGTGTCACAAGACATAATCTCCACAAAAGATAATACATTTATACTATTTATAATATAATAATTGTTCAAATTTGAAATAAATAACCCAAATATATATCTTTTATATTTCAGAAATACCTATTGCCATTGTTCTCTCACCTATGTATATATGGATGGTGATATTTTTTACAACACCCCATAAGGTAAAACATACATACAATTTTGAATATTAAAGAATAATAGTATTTGTAGTGATGATAAATGTTACATATTTTTGTGACGGCAGTGGTGGTGGCTGAATGGTCTTACAGGTGTGCTTTAGATCATAAGGTCTGTCAATGAGTTAAGAGGTATGGTTTCTATCCCACACTGGTATGTGTCAACGAGTAGGACTGCCTGCCTAAACTGGAGGGTTTTCTATATAGGTTCTCTAGTGGTTTCCACCCACTGCTAAAGAAACCTACAGGAAGGCAAGTTATTGATATAAAAGTGTACATATTATGTTATTCCGAAATGACCTGGTTTCTTTTAGCAATCTCTCTATCTTTCATTGAGACAGGAAAACAAAGTCACACGAATAATATATTTATATTGTGTTAATCTATCGAATAATTGCAGGAAGAAAGATTTTTATTTCCTATCTATCCATTCTTTGCCCTGGCAGCAGCAATCTGTATAGATCACATTCAGGTAGATATTTTATTACATATTATAATTGTTTATGTTTATTGTTATATATTTCGAAATCTGTGTAATAAATTGTTTATGAAAACAATAATAGGCCTACTGTGCCTGTAATTTATTTCACCAGATATATAGTGCTACATTGAATTTATATTGTGCTATATATATACGTGATTATAACAGTGTATATATTGTGCTATATTTGATTATTTCAGCGTGTATTTTGTGCTATATTATTAGTGTTTATATATTTGATTATTTTAGCGTGTATATTGTGCTGTATTTGGTGTAAAAGGCTCGGGTTTAAGATATTATGAATTTACTAGTTGGATACCTCTAACAGTGGGCTGTTTATTTACTCTTTTGTCATCATTTAGAGTATTAGCTCTTTATAAAGGTAGGTAAAATTGTGAATCCTTGTAAGTGTTGCAGGACTGGGGGCCTGGCAAGGAACAACATCTGGTCATTTGGATGGAGTAAAAATCTGCGTGAAAACAAAATAACCTTTGACAGTTGGAATTTGCTGGCATTGATTCAAGTGAAATGGTTCGATTAATTCCAAGCTTGTATAAATGTTAGCATCAAATTATTGAAATAAAACAAAACTGTACTATGTTAGTCCCGAAATGACCTAGTTTATGTTAAGTGGACATTAACCCCATTTCTATCTCTCTCTTTTGAACTGAATAGATACAGAGTATAATAATTTTCAATTCCAGACCAAAAATTGTGTATTCCAACATATTGTTCTAATAATGGTATCAGTTTTTTTTTTTTGAAGATGTTCTAATTGGGTGGTTTAATATATTGTTTGTAACAGGTTATCATGCATCAATGGATGTTTATATGGAATTAAATCGAATATCTAAAGATCCTCAAATACATCCTATACCAGATAGTAAAACTGTTAATGTTTGTGTTGGTAAAGAATGGTATAGATATCCTAGTTCATTCTTCTTACCTGGTGAAAAGTAAGTAACAAATTTGAATATAATCAATAATCTTTCAATGTACATATTACTATACTATACTTCTATTATACAATTTTTCATTTGAATGGCTGTCATGCATAAGGCAGGATATGCTTACCTTTTAAAAATATTATCTGAAACCACTTATCACTGGGCTCATTTTGAAGGCATTCACAAATTTTACTTTTTTTTTTACGAAAAGAAACACAATGTGACAACCTTTATGGACTGTTTGGATGACATTGGTGCATTGGGTATATGTTTTATTACTTGGCAACCAGTCTTTTTACAGCCAATGTTTGATGTATAATGTGAGTGTTTTGTTTTAGATGGCATTTAAGATTTTTAAAATCTGATTTTGCTGGTCAGTTACCCAAGCCCTATAATACTAGTTCTGATGGCACTAAAACTATACCAACAGATATGAATGATAGGAATCTAGAAGAGAAAAGTCGATATGTACGTATATGAACCAGAACTTTTAATCTGTTCTATAATCTTTTTATAGCCATGACATACAAATTATAATATCTAGTGTCTGGATGATGGCATTGGTGGGCATTTAACAATATAGTTAATGTCATTTGAAAAGGATTTGTTTAAAGGAATATCATGTTCGAGAACCTACTCATGAAAATTAAACCATAGATTTTGCATATGATATAATAATGATCATGAATAACATTTCCAAAAATATTGAAAAATCCATTGTGGTGAAATACTTTTTATAACTTAACGGCATGTGCTCCAAATTCAATCGGAAATCTCCTTTAATCACATGTCTGCTTGTATTATCACCAAAAATAAAAATATTTATAGGCCTGCTTTCAAGAGTGGGTAAAAGATCGAAATATAAACCAATTAAAAAAATTTGACCTAGTTTATTTTGAACAAGAATAACCTCCAATTTAGAAGTAGGAATCAGACTATTTCACATTTAAATAATTTCTGTAGAAAATTGTAAGATCAACATACTAACTTATTATTGTTATTATATTGCTGTTACAGTTTGATGTCAAGAGATGTCATTACCTAATAGATCTGGATCTTACAACTAGTTCAAAAACAGAGCCACATTATAGTGGATCACATCAGTGGAATACTATTTATAGTTTACCATTCTTAGATGCTAGCAGGTATATCTAATTTGAACTAAAATAAAGGTTTTAATTTTGAAGCAGATCCTGGTAATTTTTCGGCCAGATTTGTAATCATGGATGAGACCTGGTTTCATCACTTTCAACCAGAAACCAAAATTCAGTCTAAAAAATGGAAGCATTCGTAGTCAATAGCCCTCCAAAAAAGCAAAATTGGTTCCTTCTGCTGGAAAGGTGATTGCTTCAGTCTTTTGGGATTCGAAGGGCATTCTGCTGATTGACTATCTTGTAAAAGGTTAGATTATCAATGGAAGATATTATGCTGACCTACTTGAAACAGTTCTGTGAAGCTGTCAAAAATAAGCGACAGGGAATGCTCACTAAAGGCTTCCACCAAGACATTGGTGATTGCCATGTCAGCTATCCATGATTGTTGCTTCGAACTCATTGACCATCCACCTTACTCACCCAATTTGGCCCCATCAGACTTCCACCACTTTCCAAAAATGAAAAAGGAACTAACTGGTCATCATTTTCCTGGTAATGATGACATATCAACTGGCTGAAAAAAATTTCTTCCTGACCAGCATCCAGGCCTTGCAACATCTTTGGCAAAAGTGTGTACACCTATTAGGGATCTGTTTGGAAAAATAAAAGGAAACCATCGATTTTGTACAGGGCTTTCACAGAGAGGCTTAGAACTTTTCAGCCAGCCCTCGTATAGGACCTTTAGTTGAATTTATTAAAAAAAAATTGTTAAAAACACCAAGATCATTCCTGGGACATCCTGGTTAGTGAGCTAGCACCTCACTGACTGAGCCACCATCAAATTCAAAGTTCATAAATACAAACAGAAAAATTACTACATGTAGTAGTGTTGGACAAACAAAATAGTCGAAACTCTTCCATTCCATTCCTTAAATACAAAGCTTGAAATCTGTAATATTCTGCAGGGATGTTTTTACCATATCTTTTATTTGCCCATTGTTTAATACAAGTTTTATTAAAATAATCTTAATGTTAAGATGATAAAATATAAATTTTCTATTTCAGATCCCACCGATTTTTTAGAGCATTTTATGTTCCTTTCCTGTCTCGAAAGTTCTGTACTTATGGAGAATATAATCTACTTCAGTCCAAAAAATTATCGAAATCATAGTATAGATTAATTTAATTTGTTTTTATTCCCAGTCTTCAATGTTGTTATTGCTTTAATTTTGGTCATGTTTTTCCATTTGTAATCTGCATTTAAAGGACATTTTGACACAGACTGTAGACTTCATACACTTTGGAGAGAAAAAAGCTTGCTAGCTGCCATAGGCGTAGGTGCTCGATAAATGTTAGGGGGACATAACCTGAAATGCTGACGGCTCTCTCTCTCCCCCCCCCCCCCCCAAAAAAAAAACCAAACATGCACAAATTTTTGAAAAATTTGACAGACGCAAACACGTTTTCCTGCTATTCCAGCCAGTAAATACAGCAACTTCAAAGTGGTCTAATATAGCCCAACTTAGGTGGGTGACTCAAATTCCCATCAATCAATCAATAGTTTGCAGTCCACGGAGAGGGGTCCATCAGGATAAAATTTTGAAAATTTGACGGCTATTCCAGCCCGGAAATACAGCAACTTCAATGTGGTCCAATATAGCTTACCATAGGTTGCTGACCTGAATCCCAATCAATCAATCGTCACAGGGTATGGGTGGGCTGGAATAGCAGTAACTTCAATTCCAACCATCCAATCATACTGTTGGAGCTGCATTTACAAATAATAATCGATGCTCGAAAAATGTCGCACAAAGTTGAGTGGCCCCAGACAAAATGTTTTAATTCAAAGTCAGTTCAGTACAAATTTTATTTGTGGTATTTAATTAAAAATAAAAGTAAAATCAAGTGTTTTATCAGATTACGGGCACTTTATTTTGCCAACTAGATGAAATAATAATTTCTTTTTGACTTTACCCGTCTACCCGAAAGGTCACATTGCCCGAAAGTTAATCAGGATAACCAAATCTCTATGAATAACACATTGATATTATTGGTGCTTTATCACGGACTAACTACACATCAGCTGACTAGAACAGTATTTGTGTTCTGTAACCAATTCTTGGGTTGATGTGCTGGTTTATTTTTTGTCAGGTTGCCCTTCTAGTCCTATTGAATTGAGCTGAAATACATTTGAATTACCCTGACAATGTTACTTGTATCTGACAAAATGTCTGGCACTATTGAAGTTGTACCTGTGTAAGACATATTAAAAATATTAATAAAAGCACAGAAAAAAAGACAAATCTGTGCCAGACTAATTTGGGTGTTCACAAGAGAAAATAGACCAAAGTTTTGTTTATATTTTAATTGTTTATTGTCATTATATCTTGTTCATTGATATATATATAACATGTGTTATTATGTGTTATATTAGTTTAATAACAGTTCTCTTCAAAGTGCTTTTTTGCTACAATAAAAGAACATAGCCTTCTATTTAAGTTAATAACACTAATACTCTGCTAATTATAACATGCAAACCCTAAGTGCCTCTTACCCCTTTCACACTATGTTTAAATCTAAACAGCTTCAAAAGTATCGCTTATGACCTTAACTTTGAAAGATGTGTAGATGCTTTCATACAAGCATATATAAATGAGTTAAACATGCATTATGCAAGAGCCAAATCTGCTTATTACAAGTCTTTCTTTAGGCCTGAAATGTTATCTAAATTATCAATTAGACATTAATTAACTTATCCAGACCATAATAAACTCTCGATGTCAAGGCTAGCCTTCGATGTAGGCTGGATTAGATTCCTATATGCCGCTAACGGCCAAAAATAATTAAATCAGAAAAAGTGGATAATCGAGACTATGCTGTTTATATTAATGATTTTAGTAATGATGACCGAGACTATGCAAAAATTTCACCCGCTTCTTTCTCAGCTCATAGTGGATCAATTTGACTGAAATTTTCAGCAAATTACCTTTACACTATCTAGTTTTTAACTATTATAGCGAGAACTGCCATCTCTTTATCTTATCTCCCATAATGTATCTTTAAACTGATTTACAGTTTTCACATTAGCAGCAAAGTAATGCGTTTATTTCAGTTATTTACACCACTTCTCAGTGGTATAGTTAGACATGAAAGTACAATCTAAATAAGATGGCATAAAGCAAACTCCATTTTGTATTTTGTGGGGATGATAATGTGAAAAATAACTTTCAGATGCCTTTCACTCTGCAGAGTAAAACGGTTAGAAAAAGAATAAGAACTGTCTTGGGAAATGTTTTTTGGATCCAGATAGCTTCCATAAAGTTCCAAAAAAGTTTCACTTATGGTGTGAAAGCAGACTGATAGATTTTTGTTGTCTAAAACTGGTATGAAAGGGGTATTAAAAAACCCTTAAAATATTGTAAATAACCTCCACCATTCCTATAAATGTTTTCATGCAATAATGATCTCAATTTGTTGTTCTTTTATGGAATAAATTGAAATGTTAATTTCTATAATGTTTATGTTGTGATTTACAGTACTGATAAGTAGTTCCTTTTATCAACTCATTTAACAACTTATTTTGAAATGCCAATAATACATGTAGTGTTGTGTCACTGACAAATAAGTACCAGGTAACAAAGAAATGCCATTAGTACATGTAGTGTTGTATCACTGACAAATGAAACAAGTACAAGATATCAAAGATCAGAGCTATTGTTATCTAAAAATAAAAGCATATAGTTGATCACAGAGCATCAGACATTTTTTATATGAAAATAAAATTTTTATATGTAAGGCTATATTTTAGCTTCCAGTATTTCCATGCACATATGGCTTTAAGTCACCTGACTTCTGTAATATGGCTCCAGATACAAGTGAATGTCGATATTTTAGTAAAATGTGAAATATATATTGTAAGTTTTGGTTTGATGAAATTTAATGTTGAAAAGGAAACAGGGAACTGACATATGTAATATATGTTCATTTGTTGATATTGATAATCGCAATAAGTGGACATCATTGCACTAAGACGCAATGAAAACAGACCACCGATTCGATTGAAAGTGCAGCTAAAATGTCATTTTTTGGCATGACTATAGTATAGGTTGGACCTAAGAAAATCGACACACGGTGGCCATAACAACTGTAAAGTGGAACAGCATCGAATCACAATTGGTCTGACGTTAGGTCATCTCGCATGCTTTCCGTAGTAGACAGAGCTACAGCCCCCAACCCCTGAAGAACTCCCACCGACCAGGTATGACCTGACAGTGAAAGAAACCGGAACCACATAACACAACACACACAAAAATGGAAAATAGCAATTTTGCTCAGCATCTAATCAAATACTGTTTTTTTCATTGCTCTTTTCTTGACCAACTGTTAAGATTAGTCTTGTGGACAATGAAAACAGTTAACTGTAATTGCTGTCTGGTGTAGCAATGATTAATGAGCTGGTAATGCTGTTCATATCACTTCAGGTATGAAGTCTTGGTGACATAATAATTTTCTTGTCTTTGAATGGCAAATGGTAGTCTTGGTGACATGTATTTTCTTGTCTTGGTGACAAATGATGGTCTTGTGTATCAAGTACAGAATCAAGTGTTCCAGACAGCAGAAGCACACACTGCCTCCAGAGGCGTAGCCGTGAAATATATATTTGGGGGGGGGGGGCGCAAATGAAATTATATAAAATGTTGACAATCTGTGTCGCCGGAGGCACGTGGCTCCACAGAAGCCGATAGGGAGAGTGTGGGAGGGTCACCCTCTCACTGGGGGAGTTTGGGGGGCTACCCCCATAAAAATTTTTTAAAGTTTCAGTCTTCTGTAAACACTGTTTTGGCATATTTTACGGGGTTAAACTAAAACATCACACCAATACAATGTTTATCATGTTTAGGTCAGGGGGTGCCCTATATATTTTTTTCATGACTTTTACATATTGAATGTTACGCTTGAGTTATGAACAACACGACAAAGACAGTTTAGTAGGGGAATTTTTATGAGGAGGATCCAAATGAAATAAAACTTCATCACTTAACTTTAGTTTATGAGGATGCATATTTGACAATCACCTAGTTAACTATACAATACTATACACATATATACATTGACATTTACAAGAAAGATGTATAGATATTTAAAGTATTTTGTGTATTATAAATGGATTTCAAAAAGTAAACATAAGTGTTTGTGTTTTAATTTGTACATTGTTTTATACAGACAGAATCTTAACTAATCCTAATAATTGTTGTAAATAAATAGGAGTTAGGGCCTACTATGCCAATTTGGGGGGGGGGGGGTGATCCAAGTATTTTCAGACCCCCCCCCAGAAAAACAATTGGGGGGGGGGGGTCGGACCCCTCCGGACCCCCCATGTGTGACACCCATGCCTGCCTCTATACAACGTCTATCATTGCCTGACTGCTGGTATCCATTAGGCTGAAACAGATCAGAGATCATCGAGCCAACAAATCAACAATGTCCCACCCCACAAATTTAACGTGACACAAACATATAAAACGATAGGAAGGCACATATTCAGTAGAAATGCTTTAGCAGTTATTAGGACTTAAGTTTAAAATGTTTAATCAACTGTTATTTCAGTATAATATGAATGTTTATAATTAACCATAAATACTTTGTATTTGCTGGGGATACCTATAGCTATAAGTAAGCTGTTAGACGCAATGTCTGTCAACTTAGCTTCATTGTGGGAGTGTCCATTTTTCAGAATGTATTTATCATTACTTACTGTACATTTACCATACATATTGAGGCCTAAGTAAATTCTAAATTATTTCTGTCAACTTCTTTTTCCGCCGTTTAAGCAGTCTTTTGTACATTGACACCTCTCAATGTTCCCAAAACTGCCTAACCATTTGATCAAGAAATAACAACTGCTCCCTCTCTGAAGCTGGCACACAATAAGCTGGCAGATAACAGTCGGGTTGCGAGTTAGTGATACCCTGACAAATTTGCCCAGTGCTTGCCCCATGGGTGTTTTTCGGGTAATCCAGTATTTTTCTCGTAAGATTGGGTGTCTATACTTTCCATATATACCAAATTTGATATACTTTTATTGAAAATAACCACCTGATAAATACTTTTCTGGGAAAGTATCTTTAAAACTAATATATAACAATATATTCTATAAAGTCGTTTATGACAGCTTTTGATGAGACCTAGTCAATCTGCATCAGTCATTTTTATTTACAGAACAAGATTAATGGAGAAAATATGTGGAATCGAATATAACTTTTATTCATATCTAACAATTATTGTTATAAGTAGGTGTGACATTTTGGTATTAAGGCCATAAGGCTTGCAACTATACCATGTATGCCACTGCGTATGATGCTCCATTAATCTCCAGACTTTAAAGAATCAGACAGACTTCTCAAGTCCCCTAAAACATCTCCAACTGTTGGTCTTTTCTTCTTTTTGTGCTCTACACATCGTGATGCCACATCATACAATTTAATTACAGCCTTTTCGTCCCATTCACCAGCACTAGGATCAAGCATCTTAAATATATCCTCACAATTATCATCCATATATGATTTAATGTCCTTTTCTTCCCTTTCGTTATCAAAAGCTTGAAGCCCTGTCAACAGTTCTAATAAAACCACACCAAAACTAAAACTATCTAATTTAGTGGAAACGTCACCTTGAATGGCCTCTGGAGCTAGATAAGCTGATGTTCCAATAACAACACTAGTTGACTGAACTGCGCTCACACCACTTCCTTTTGGCGCAGAGCGCACTGTAGCAAAATCTGCTACTTTAGGCACAAAATCTGAATCTAACAAAACATTAGCACTTTTAATATCTCTGTGAACCATATCTCTAGCGTTGAGAAATGCAATTCCTTCTGCTGTACCCTCAGCAACCGTAACACGGACCCAAGCCGGTAATGGAGGTGTGTTATCTTTACACATAATTCTATCTTCTAAAGAACCGTTGGATATATACTGATATATTATACATTTACACGGACCATCATTAGAAAAGCCCAATAGATGAACAAGATTTATGTGACGATATTCAGAAAGGCAACGCAGTTCATTTTCAAACTGTTTATCGATATCCATAGTCTTATCATCATCTTTCAAACATTTTACGGCAATCTGAAAACCATTTTTGAACTTTCCTAAGAAAACTGTTCCGAAACCTCCTCTACCAATCAAACGACCCTTTTGTGCAAGATCAGTCTCATCAAAACCATTTGTAATCATTTTCAACATGCCATATTTCATATTCTGTATAAAAACCTTAGAACTAGTTAACATGCTCTCAATTGATTCAGAAGCTTGTTCTATTTTTTGAATTTCAACCATATCACATTCTGCCATTACACCTTCAGAGATCTTTGAGCTTTCGTAAAATAGATGTTGTGCCTCTACACTTCCTGCTGCAGATTCCATTCTATCAATCACTTCTGTTCTAGAATCTAAAATAAAGACAAAATAATGTTACATAACCTTTATTATAATATACATAAAAGGTTATTATAGTTAAAGCTACTCTCAGGTGTTAGATATTAGAAATGAAGTTGTTTTAGGAAAGAAAACTAGGATTTTTCCTAAAACAACTTTATTTCTAATACATGTATATATATATCACAAAATGTAATACCCCTTAGCACACATATAGATGAATGCGCAAAGAATTGCAATTCCCAGTTCACAATCTGTCCTATATACAAAATGTGTGCAGAGAATGAAGAGCTGAGGAAAATCAAAGAACGATTCTTTATTGAAGGATATACGCCTAAATTAAACTGTAACTAACATGAAATCATGTTGACGTCACATTTACTGTGTATGACATCATGAATCACGTCCCTTGCCATTGTTAACGCTATACCATTAGCAACACAATGTATAAGTTATCCTGATGATCACTATGTTGTGAAACCGGTTGGTAATGAATTTATATGAAGACCAATCTTCAGTTTGTTTGTCAGCCATTATAACAATCACAATGAATATTTCATTAGTAAATTATTACACTGAGACATAGCAGTGAATTTCACTCCGCATATATCAGCCATTAACTGGCGAGCAGGAATAGGAAATTATTAGTTCCTTTGACTGTTCCTATTAACAATATGAAATTAATGACAATAACACACTACCCCCACCTCTGTTCTATGACTACTTTGGGGACAACGTTGGCCTATAGCAATATTAACTGCAGCTGCTTAATTAATTAAATTGAATTTCAAAACCAACATAGTTTACTGATAGTTTTAAAAAATATTAAAACTTGATTATTAACTACATGATATGTGTGTGTTATAAATTGATGTCAGACTATTGGATAGACCTGCTCTGTGAAATTAGGGCCCACCCTAGATTCTATATAATGCAATAATAAAGTATGGAATCACATCATTGCGAAAGAATTTGCATAGTTTATACCTTGCTCGTCATATCCTTCTTCCTTGTGTTCTTCTGGTTGTGAGGATGGGTGTCTTTGATAGGGTTTTAAGAGTTGACCACCACCTGTAAGTGGAAATGGTAGGTCTATATCTGTTCCCAGATTATTCAAGCCATTAGAATTTACTTCTTGGGTGACAGATGGTCTAGGAACTGGTTCTTTATTCAATATTTTCACTGACAGATAATCAGCTGCTGCATACAATTTAGCTTTCACTAGAGCTGCAATAAGATGTTTAATTCTAGCATTTTGGGTTGCCCAGTCTGCTAGAAGGGCCTCGGTCGCACTGCCATTAGGTTTATTCCCTCTGTTAGCATACAGGATTATGGCTTGGTAGGAATATCGTGGTTCAAAATCTTCATCTGTCATATCCAACCTTTTTGGAATAAACACAGCCAATTTTTCCCATTCCTTTCCTGGGTCAAGAAGTTTAAATAGTTCTCTAAACGCAGAAAATGGCAAGCTACGAATATACGATTCCTCGGTCGTTACTACTTTTACCTTCCCCATATTTCTATTCACTTCAGATTCTAACTGTTAAATGACAAACCTTAAGGCGTAGCAGTCAAAATGGGGAATTCCCTGTTTATTATGAAGTGACGTAGTGCGACGTTTAGAAATGACCTAGATTTGAACCAATCAATGAATTGTTACCGATACGACTCCCGGAAATGTATTCCGGATATTCCTGTAACGATTGGCTAGATGATAAACATCCTAATTATAATAAAGCTAGTTTCGATTGGAGTTATGTATGCTATTGCATAAAAGATTTATTATAGGCCTATATTTTAATTATCAAAATAGGTCTTTTAAAGTAGATAATTTATTTTTGAGAAATAGTGGAAAAAATATAACCATTATATTTTTTTGGTTACGATATGTCAGGATGGCCGAGCGGTCCAAGGCGCTGCGTTCAGGTCGCAGTCTGGTTCTCCAGGCGTGGGTTCGAATCCCACTTCTGACAAATATTTTCCATTTTTTTCCCCAGATTTTAAACTTTGTACAATCGAAACGCGCTAAGCGATTCCAGACTAGAAAAATCAGTCATTATTTTGTCATCGGTTGTCAGTGATGCAGGACGGATCAGGGCCTGACAGGGACAGCTGTCTAGTCCTTCGGATGATGCGAAAAACCGAAGTCCCGTGTATTGGAATGCACGTAAAAGATCCCCTTTGCAGTTGGAATTCGATACAAGAGTAGGCGATAGTGCCGCTGCCAGGGCAAAATTTCCTTCATAGCACATTGTATATGGCGTATGCCCGTCTTCATTAGCCCAGTATAGAGGAGCAAAACAGTAGGACGTTAAACCCCATTTCATTTCATTTCAATTGGATAGGATGATTAAAATTAGTTGAAAAATTTTCAGACGATTATGTTATGATGAGTTCGAATTGTTATTTTTGTCGAATGATTGTTAATTTAGGTAATAACTGGTAGATCTAAAAACTAAATTGTTTTTCAGTAAATTATGGACCTTATCAAATCGACCCACCTCTATCTTTGTCTCGTGACAATTGAAATTGTGCTACGTACCGCGGTGGCCTATAATTTTATCTTAGAAAATCGCGTGTGGTGTGTAGAAAGTTGAAAAGCTTGATTACAGATTAAATTTACTTTTTAAAAATTCCTCAAAATTCCTGTGAATTTACTAGATCAAGTTTTTCTAGTCCATTCTTTTTTGCGTAGATTCCGAATCTGTGTGGTATCAGGCGTACGTTTGAGGTGGAGGGAGTAAACTGCGGGAAATGGGATTTGTTTAGTTTGAGCTTGGTAAAAACATTGGGCTACTTTTAATGTCGCTGCACATCTCTAAATATGTGTATGAGATTACCATAATGTGTGTTTGTGTTTGTGTGTGTGTTTGTGTGTGTGTGTGGGGGGGGGGGGGGTATTTTGGGGCGCAGAAACCAAACCGGTTCAAAACTGACATGAAAAGTGGCTTCTCGTTAGCTTTTTCGTTTAGTACCAATTTCGTCATTCAAAATACAAAATATATTACATTATAATGGTACTTTTCAAGAGATCAGGAAATGTATATAAGCTGCAAAATCGAATAAGATGACTGCAATGAAATAAAATGGGGTTTAACGTCCTACTGTTGAAGACAAGCCTACGCCAGTGTGCTTTAAGGGATATTTTGCACGGAGAGCGGCACTGCGGCCTATACTCTTATATCAAAGTCCAACTGTCAAGGAATCGTTATGTGCACACGGTACCCCGGTTTATCGTACAATCCGTCAGGCCCTCCATCACCGACAAGCTGAGACCACGCCGGAAAACCTGGATGAACTTTCTTGGCCATGCAGGGACCGAACATCCGACCTCGTGCAGCCTAGCGAGCCAGCGTCTCACCCCCCCCCCCCCCACATACCATAGGATATATAGAGAATTATGATAGTGACTATATAACACTGAGCAACCTGACAATTTTTTCCTGTGAGAAAATTTGAGTCAATATCCTGGTTTTTGAGGTCATTGCTGGAGCAAATTCTTGGGAACGAGAAGATCAGGGTTAGTCCTAAATAAGGCCAGCTCAATTTTTCTTCATAGCGCTAATCCCAACCCTAATCCGGGATCTTGCCCCAATACTTGCCCTAGTCCCTATATAACCTACAATCTCACCAACAATCATGTGCCCTAACCTTATTTACATCTCAGTGACCTTGACAAAAATTGAGCTGGCCTTAGGCTTAACAAATAGATTTAGCTGAAGATAAGAAATGGGAGTCAATATAGGGCAGAATCTTGAGATCTGCTTGTCAATTCCGCATGTTTTGTGAGAGTTAACAGTAAATTTGTAGTCTGTCGTCCCGCGTACTAGTGGTACTACTAACTGGGCGGTTCACTCCAATCGTGAATATGATAGCTTAATTAGGAGATAGTATAAGACCACAGAGGAGTGGAGGAAGAATGATGCTATAATGGAATCAAGCAGCGTAGATGCGAAAAAATTTCAGATAGCAACGTATAACATGTAATTAAGCTTTTAATTTAAGGCCTAAATTTCCTGGCATTTGATTTCATTGATAGAGCGCAAATTCTTGTGAACGAGCGATGTAGATGCAAACAATTTTCAGAAATCTAATTTTGGGCTGGGTCTGAGGGGACTTTATCTCACGAGGGCGAGATAGCAACGTATAACATGTAATTAAGCTTTTAATTTTTGGGGACAAGGCATGAAATTCCTGGCATTTGATTTCATTGATGGAGCGCAAATTCTTGTGAACGAGCGATGTAGATGCAAACAATTTTCAGAAATCTAATTTTGGACTGGGTCTGAGGGGACTTTATCTCACGAGGGCGCTTACTTGGTCTCATTGGGGTGGGGGTGGGTGGCATTTGATGTCCCTTTTAGAATGTGTGACTATGTCCTACATAACTTAAAATAAGATCATTAACAGTTACAACGATTATTATGTTTACACACCTCCAGCTCAGGGGCGGATCCAGGATTTTCAGAAGGGGGGGGGGGGGCGTGCTGCCCCCACTTGGGAGTGCTAAGCCCGGCCCTCGGTGGATTGACTGACGGGCCCGCCTCGTTTCAGAGTAAATTATGACAGACATCACTACCATTTTTATGTATTTTTGTTCTTTCCCGCAAATTGTTCGCCACCACAAACAATGGGGGGGGGGGGCGTGCGCCGGGTGCGCCCCCCTTGGATCCGCCCTTGCAGCCTCTATCTCCCACTGCAACTATTGATGTTTCAAGGTGGCTGTTTCTGGTTTCAACCTTTAGTAAAGTCATTAGGGTTGATACTGGGGTAAAGGTATTTCGAATAACCACCTGGAAAGCCATGTTATCTACTGGGTATACAATACTAGAAAATTCTTTGGCATGTGATTTGGTGAAATATTTTATCTCATATCGAGTCAGTTAGTGAGACTTCAAAGAGAGCTACACACATGGAAAACAAATCCCAATTTCGTTATGTACTCCAAAACTACAAACACAATAATCTTCGCCTATCAAAAATTGTTCCAAATCCACCAAAGTTACGTTTTGTGATTTTATTATCTATTTGGATTTGCACAATTTTCGGCTATTTTTTTTTATAAGGGGTAACTTTTTCTTTGGATGATCTGAGAGAATTTGTAAAATATAGATAGTCCTATTTGTAGTTTTTGTTCAAGAGTCAAATCATGATTTGTCCATGTGGTAGAGACAGTAGGAACTTACTAGCTAATCAGATATGGACTGCCTATACAATTTCAGCTTTTATTGCCTAATGGCTAGATGTAAAGAAGTATATGATATTGGTATAAAAGCATTCAAAACCTGAACAATAACAATCAATTTACAATAATGAGAAAATTTTTTTAAATGAAATACACTTCTTTAAATCAATAATTTTTATACAACTGTCAAAATTTTATGCAAAAAATCTAGAATATACAATGTACATTTTTTTTAGTTCAATTCCAAATGCTCAAGTGAAGTTATCTTAAATTTCTTAATCATATTTATAATTTAGTGGAATGAGTAAACAAAATGTTTTATTTCCTGTTGAAGTCATAGCCATACAGGCTTGATGACAGTTGGGGGGGAGGGGGGACAGAACCCGAAATGCCCCAAACATTTCAGGTTTACAGACAGCAGCACCGGTTTTCTGCGAGAGGCAAAGATGCAGAGCTTATCATGTATGGACCCCCCCCCCCCCCCCAAGAAAATTTTGGAATATTTGACGGCCGCAAACTGCTTTTCCAGAGCCCGTAAACAAAGCAATTTCAAAGTGGTCTAATATAGCCTAATTAAATGCGTTTTCCTGCTATTCCAGCCCATGAATACAGAAACTTCAATGTGGTCCAATATAGCCTACCTGAATCCCAAACAACCAATCAATCGTCGTGGGGTATGGGGGCCTTGTCCTCCCAGAGAAAATTTTGTAAAATTTAAACGCAGCAAATGCATTTTTCTGCTATTCTAGCCCATGAGTTGAGCAACTCCAAAGTTGTCCAGGCAATGGTTTTTGTCACCAAAATCCCACTCTATGCTGACCTGAATGCCAGACAAAATGTTTCAATCCATAGTCAATTCAGTACCAATTCGTGGTATTCAATTAAAAGAAAAGTAAAATTAGTGTTTTATTAGATTTCGGGCACTTTTATTTTGCCAAGTAGATGAAATAAAAAAAATATTTTCACTTTACTCGTCTGCCTGAAAAGTCAGATTGTCCTAAAGTTAAGGGGGCAGCTACACCCCCCCCCCCCAACTCGTAAAACTATGGTTGAAGTGCTTTCAAGAAATAATACTGAATACTGAAGAGTGTTTTTTGAGTTTTTATTTATGCAACTGAATAGTTTGAAAGCATTATTTAGGCCAAATTCTGCACAATAATGCAGGTAGGCTTGACAATCTAAATATTATTTTCGGTCTTCAACCCCCCTCTCCTGGTTTTCAATAGTTACCGTAATTCATTTTTAAACGATTCAACTCAGCCAATGGATGACCTAGGCATTAACCATAAACAAATGCCAATCAAAATCTGATCTAATTGAGTGAATCATTGCTAATCTATCCTTTTTCTTTCGCACGGACATACACAACAGAATTCAATTTGTAAGTACTGACTATTATTTTTCATACTTCAACAAATCAAATATCTAATAAATAAAATCTAATTCTTTAAAGGAGCATTATGGAAGATTGGATAAAGAGCTGGCAGTTCTCACTATATATAATAATTAAAAACTAAATGTAAAGGGAATATGCTGAAAATTTCAGTCAAACTGCTCCACTCTGAACCAAGATATTAACGATTGAATTTTAGACCTAGCCGCTATCATCATTACTAAAGTTGGTACGATAAAAAAAGTCCCAATTATCCATTTTTGCATTTATTCATCAATGAGCATTGAGCAGCAGATCGGATTCAAATCCAGTTAAATTGAAAACATAAGATAGCATCGAGAGTTGATTAAGGTCTTTTCATGTTAATAAATGTCTAATTAATAGTTTATATAAAATTTCAGGCCTAAAGAAAGACCTGCAATAGGAAGATTTGGCTTTTGCATAATGTATGTTTAATATTTGTGAATACCATTTATTATTTCATGTGAAATCTTCCAATTCCTTTCAACAGTTATATGTATTATATTATTAGCAACTAAAGCTTCTTTAGCATGCACTAAAACAAAATTTAAATTTCCAAATTTAATGTGATTTAAGATCTGTATTTCTAACATGGACACATAATTATTACGAAGAAAGATAACATGATTAGACAGCAAATATTACCATTGGTGATTATTATTAATTTCTCATTATGGAATGATTTAACAAAAACACAGAACATTGCACATATACCGAACTAACTCACAGTTGAAAATAAATTAAAACTTAATAACATACACATAACAATAGAACAATGAAATTTTAAAATATATAAATAAATTTGACAATGAAAGCTACACGAGGACAGGTGATTGTAATCAGATCAATGGTCTATTATGATAACATGTAGTTATCAGTAACTTGGATTACTACTGGCTTCAGACTGAAAATAGAATAAAAGTTATTACTGAGTAAAGCACTAAACATCAATGATCAGTTAATTAAACCAGTAATTGTTAATAGTTTTTAATGTGTTACTGTTCAATTACTAAATTGAAGATCATTAAGAAATCAAATTATCATCACATATTTCTGTGATATGACATTATAATTTCTATTATTAATCCATTTAATCCTAGTTCCATAATCTGCCTTTTTTTAATAAATGGAACATTGTTAATCATAATTTCTTCCCTATATGAACAGATTAGATCCCCTCTCATTGATTAATGAAAAATCATTACATTATGGTAAATGAAAACTAGGAGAGAAAAATATAACATTCAAAATTAATCTGTATAGAAACAAGTTCAAATCTGTTTTACAACACTAAATTGATACATACACACACAAGGAATTTTGTTTACCCTTAGCACAAAATGTTCATTATCAAACTTAGTCAAGGTATTGATGTAATAAAGCTAAACATAAGTGTCCTCACTCTCACTTAATTAGAACTAAAGTTATCGTGTCCCAAAGCATCAACCAATCAAATTGCTTCAAACTCCATCAAGGCATTCACCTAATAGACACCTACACCAAGTTTTAACATTCTAACTCAATTAGGATGAGAGTTATTGTGTTCCAAAGTCTTGACCAATCAAATTGCTTATCGCTCTGCTTACCCTGACCAGAAAATGCCCATTATCGAACTTAGTCAAATTGCTTATCTCTGCTTACCCTAAGCAGAAAATGTTCATCTTCGAACTCCATCAAGGCATTGACCTAATAAAGACCTACACCAAGTTTGAACATTCTAGCTCAATTAGAAGGAGAGGGGACAATAAAACATAGCACCTATGTTATGTAGTGAGTACTTGAAGCACAAATAAAAAAAACAATACTATAAATGGCTGCTTTTTAAAAATGAATCAAGACCTATATATTGAGTTCAGAAAAATAAATTTAACATAACCCTTTAAAGATACATTGTCCAGAAAGTATTTATCAGGTTGTTATTTCCAATAAAATTATGGCAAATCTGGTATATATGGAGAGTATAGAGTATAGACACACAATCTTAATAGAAAAATACTGGATTACCCGAAAAACGCACATGGGGCAAGCACTGGGCAAAAATGTCAGTGTATCACTAACTGGCAACCCGATGATCTGTGTGCTAGCTTGAAATGGTTAAGTGGTTTTGGGAACATTGAAAGGTGTCAACCTACAAAGGACTCTTCAATTAAACAGCGGAAAGAGAAGCTGACAGAAAATTATTTAAAATTCACTTAGGCCTTAAGAGAGAGAGAGATAGAGAGAGATGGGGTTTAACATTCACTCGACACAAACTAGGTCATTTTGGGACTAACACATGGTTCAGTTTTTTAATTTCTATAATTCGCTTGCACGTAGGGGTCTTTAGCAGTGGGAGGAAACCAAAGGACCTGGGGTAAACTCACGAGGTTGAACAGGCGATCCTGATCCTACTCCTTGTCACGTACTCATGACCTTTAACACTGTGTATAAATTGGATTAACTTTAGCCTCTAGTGTCCAAAAGATTTTAAAAAGTGATCAAGGGTTGGACAGACGGGGGCGATGACAATATACAACCACATTCCAATGTGGGTGTATAAAAAGGGTTTTATGATACTGTTCCCTAGTATTGTAAAACAAAAAATTTAAACATTAAATTAATACTACCCCGAACAGAGGAAACAGAAATGGATGTGTGTCATTTTTTACATTTCTTTTTATATTTCTTTCAATAACCAGTCAACAGTCCTCATATTAACTCACTTGAAAAATGTAAGAGATTGGCATTAGCGGTGGTTAGAATTTATAAAAATTAGGGGTTTATTTTTCAATTTTCTATTTAAGGTCTGATAACTTAAAGGGGCATTATGTAAGATTTAGATAAAGAGCTGGATGTTCTCGCTATAATATTTGAAAAATAGATAATGCAAAATGAATATATTGAAAATTTCATCCAAATTACTTTATTTTAAGCGAAGTTATCAATAGTTGTAGTTTTGACAAGATGTGAACATTGATGGTAACCACCGTACTGGTCATTCGAGTCTTAATTAGCCTCGCTTCTCCATTTCTAAATTAAATCATTACATTACTTAAAATCAGAGCCATCAAATGGCATCGAGAGTTGATTACGGTCTGATCACGTTAATAAATGTATAATAATTCAATAGGCAGTTTTAGATCTTACGTAATGCCCATTTAAGTTCTTTTGTCCTAGTTATATCCAAACAACAAACGTTTTTCACTTATCTCAAATCTGGCATGGTGTTTATAGTGTTTTAGAAAATATTTTTTTATTTATTGTTTTACAGTACTTCTCTTAACAATTAATACTCACATAGGTTGGAGCTGCCGGATGCTGATGGGCCTGTTATAGGAATAAGAAATGTAATCAAAACAGTACCAAACAATTAAACTCATTCTACACTTTCAGTTCCAACTTCAATAGACTCTTACTTTATTTTAAAGATGACGAAATAAACATTGTTCTGTACTATTTAATTTACTGCCTGTATTTCCAAAAACGTCCAAGGGTAAGGGCAATGTTAATTATTATTTTTTCTTAAAATTTAAAATATATTTAATTGTTAATACAAACAAGTACAATACAAGTTTGTTTGTGAACTGGTATAACCATTCATCAAGGTTCAGAGATGTTGAGACACAATGGATGTGCATGCTTGTTGAAGGACACATGAATTGGAACAAAAAGATAGATTTATTTAAATTCAACAAATAAATATTATAAATATTGAACTGTTAAACTGTCAAAAGTTAATTAAATAAATAGAACATGTTACAGTTTTCTCATCAACTCACTGAAGCATCATCTATGTATTGAGAATCATCTTCAAAGAAGCCTTGATAAAATCGACCTTGTTGTTGTTGTTGTTGTCCCATTTGTTGACCATGATGTTGTTGTGGATGTGGTGGTTGTTGATAGTAACCATGTCTGGGTGGTTGGGGAGGTTGTCCTACTGATTGGGGACTTTCAAATTCACCAATACTACCTTGTTCACTGCTAGATTCTTGGTGAGGTCTGTAATGAATTTAGTACATCTACTCAGCTAATGACAGTAAGACTTCATATCCCTTGATGATAATCAAATGGGGGGGGGGGGTGAAACCAAGTAGTAAGTACCCAGAAAAACTCCTACCAGTTTTGACATGTGACTCTAATAGTATTACTTGTTATGTACAAAATATGGAATTGAAACCATGACTTGAATAGTAACAGGCCTTATAGATCAGCTAATGACTCAAAGGATTAACACCAACTAACAAGTAAGTGCTTTTCGGTTAATACTGACTACAGTCACTACAGACACCCAATAAAATATTATAGAACAATGTCTGAAAGTGATCAATGTTGTGGCAGGACTACATTGGTTTAAACATCCATAAACTCTAAATAAAAACCTCATGTTCTATTTACCACAGCCAATGATATGCAAATATTTTTGATCTTATACCTTACTTCTTATTCTATAGTTGCGAGTGAATGATAAAAATATGCTAATTTCCTACTTTACTGCTCGACATGGTTAATGAAGATGGGCATACACCATGCAGTGTGCTACAAGAGAAGTTTCGCCATGACAGCAATTGAATTCCAACGGTCAAGGCTTCTTAAAGTTCTTTACATGTTCGCTAAGGTGTACACAGGACCTTGGTTTGGTCGTCCCATTCTAACAACAAGATGCTGTTCCTTAGGAGCCCATTCGTCCTGCATCACTGACATGGGGAAATCAAACTGGAAAAAGCTGAGGAACTTTCTCAGCTAACTTAAGAATCTCCATTTTAGTGAGTCTGTGCCTCACTCATGGAGCCACATCCGCTCCTGACACAGTTTTGTTTTAGAATGGTGTTTTAATGTGGCATATAGTTAATAATACTCTTGGGTTTTTTCCTTCTTCTAATCTTGTTTATAAGTTTCAACCAGTATCAATAAATTACTGACGATGTTAATAATTTTATTTAAATCATATCCTACGCATTTGGTATTGGTCTTCTACTGTAACCAGCTTCTTGTTGTCTTTGCATCTGTGCTCTACCATGTTGACTGTTTAACCATGATGCCTGGGACATCCGACTACAAACAAAATGTATATATATACAAGATATTAAAACATAATACTAAATTCATGTTCTCCCTTAGGCCTTATCTTTGATCACTTGATCACTTTACATAACTTACAAATATTTGGGGAGTATTTGCAGAGAATTACGTCCAGAGGGACTTTGGTCCAGTTCCAATTATTCATTGCTTACTAACCTGGCATTATTCAGCACTTAATTGTGACTTAAACGGCTTCAATTGTTTGTTTTTGTTCTATGGCAGTTTATTGGATGGGTATTTGAACAGATAGAATTGTGAACTCGGTAACTGACATCATGGTAATGGCCATTTCTAGATGTTATGTAAGCAGTGAAGAGTACTAGCTAGTGCTATCAACACACAAAAATATGTGTCTGGGCCTATTAAGTACAGCAGCTAATAAGTCTCAGCCCATTGTTAACACAGGTTAAATTTTTCACTAATATTAGCCTTTAAATCAATAAGTTTCTTTCGATTATTGTTAGTTGTAATTAAATTTGCTATCCTTCGGTCGGTGTGGTGTAGACAAAGCTTCTATTTACTACAGCATCATATATTTTAGATGAAATGGTTCATCAAAGTTTTACTGTGTAAATAAATAGAACTAGACTAATAGATATGATTCTTCATATTGTCTAGAATCTAGCAGGAATAGCAAAATTAGCGTTGTTAAACTTTTAAAACTAAACTAAAATAAACAGATTTAAAATGAATGAAACTGAAGGGATAAAATAAAAATTAAAAACACACAAAAAATATATATACATAAACATTTATTTTATAAAGTTGATGACTATATTACAAATAAAACAATGTTTTTGATAAATAAACTGAAAGGCTATGATTTTGTATTTATTTTTGTATACACAACAAAATAATTTCTATATGATAATTGATATTTATAATGGCAGTAAACTAATTGTTCTTTTTTTTTTTCAAAGTTCTATTGGCAATCAAAGAGCAGTTTAAGTCTCATACTCTTTATTTGATAGAGCTAAGTATATAAAAATATTGTATAAGATTATTGATATAATGAATAATGAACTGATATAATGAATGTTGTGGTCAATGTTTTTTACAATGGAGAAGCAATTAAAAAAAAAATCAACAGAAGGCAACTGTTGCTTGTTTACATACACATCATGTGTAGGTGTAGTTGAAAAAAAAAAATTAAACTCTATTTACACACAAAAGGCACTATTGGTTTGCACTCAATGGGTCATTAAACTCCAGCTACATGTAATTGAACGGCAATTATTTTAGTAATACAATTCATTAAATTCCATATGTACAGCTTGGAATATATAAAACTATCGGGTTATTATGACTGCACAAAATTTTTCCCAGTGACAGAAAATCAAAGGATTGAAGATGTGCTGGATGTTATATAATGACCCATATATTATAAGAATTATAAAACTGAATATATACATATTTACATACTTTTCATGCAACAAAAAACACAACATATCACAAATCCCAACTAAAGATCATACAAAAATAACAATTTGTAATTCAACAGAAAAGAAAAGAATAACCATTCATATTATCAATTTTCAAGTCCAATTAAAAACTTGAACATACATTATGGAAGATTAGATAAAGAGCTGGCAGTTTGCACTATAATAGATAAAAACTAGATGATGTAAATGGATTTTGCTGAAAATTTCAAACTGCTTCACTCTAAGACGAGAAAACCTTATTTTAAAATGTCTGTAGCCATCGATTGTCATTGTTACTGCTGTCACGATAATTAACAAAGTCTCGATTATCCATTTTTGAGTTTAATCATTACCAGACATTGAACAGTAGATCAGATTCAAATCCAAAGAAAAATGAACACATAAGATGGCATCGAGAGTTAATTATGGTCTTTTTATGTTAATAAATGTCTAATTAACAGTTTATTTAACATTTTAGGCCTAAAGACAGACCTGCAATAGGCAGCTTTACCTCTTGCATAATGCACGTTTAACTTGAATTTGAATTAATGACCATAACAATTCACATTTACAATATTTTCTGCTTTGCATTTAAAGATATATTTCCTCGACAGTCAAGGTCCTAAACCTTACAACCATCGATAGGAAAATTTCATTTTTTTTTTTTAGATACTTCAAAGCAAAATTTTTTTGACAATCTACAAATTTTAACATTAAGATATGTGGTTCAGTGACTGATTCTCTATAAATTATGAACTATTGTAATTTATTATATTGTGAGCTTATCAGGAAATGAGAGTCTATAATATCTTTCTTTCAGGTTAAAATAAGTTGAAGAGGACCTTTAATATGTGAATAGAAAATTTGGCAATATTCCATTGAAGGAAATAAACTGAAAAGGATCTTTGATACATGAATAGAAGATAATAAAGAATTATTTGGCAATATTTCAATGAAGAAAATACAAAATGTCTAATAATATCAGTGGTCAAATGATCAGTGAATCAAGCTATAAATATATTAATTCATGCAAATTCACACTGAGATTACGAAACATTCAATAGTTTACTAGAGAAATATTCCTTTTATAACATGCAGAGATTTGCTAGACAATTTGCTAATCAAATACATTTAGAAACATAAACAATTATGGTTTTAGCAGCAGGTCTCTTTAAACATTAAAGGGACAGCCCCAGATAATTTACAGAAATAAATTGGTTAATTCTGTGAGCTGTATTCCTGGAAGTTTATATATCCAAGACTTTCTGATCTGAAACAATGTATGGTTGGTGATGTACTTTTGAATCTATTCTCTATTATTGCTGTCAGGATTAAACAAGTCCACATTTTTTGCCCTGGTTAACAAAGTAAGAGCCAAGTCTCACAAAATTAAAGAAAGTCATAGTAGTAATAGGCTATTTCTTTATATTTTCGTGATGAATTTACATTCTTAACCTCATTTTAATCAATGGATAGCATGTGAAATCTGTGACTGTTCCTTTAGAGATGTATGAACAAATGAACAATATTTAACAACAAGAACCAAAGGAATCCATAAATAAATGCATGGAAAGAAAAACACAGCAACAACCAAACTAAAAACACAGAACAGTCAGAACTGAAATGTTGACAGCTTACTGGTCATCGAAGTCTTGTTCTGATCCATGGTCGGACATCATCTGATCTTCCATCTCCATCATTCTCTGACGTTTAACAGCTGTAGATTGATGCATGGGAAGTCCAACAACAGCTGCTGGTGTAGGCATTGCATCATATGATGATTCTAGAGATTCTTCATTAAATGCTGAAAAAATATCATAATATATCACTGATTCTATCAAATTTTTTTTTAAATAGATCATGGATAATTTTTAAATATAAATATATTTTATAGATGATAGTATTACTGTAGAAGCAGACGATAAATATCAACCATCCTGCTAAGGAAAGCTGGTTCATCTTTTGCCATCTTAACATCATAATATACTATATCAAAGGTCAACAGACATAACTACTAAATGTCAACTTCTTGCTGGGGTAAAAGTGTGTGTGTGTGATCCAATGACATTGAATAGAACCCTCAATATTTTTATCTTTAATAAAACTGGTATAGATGATAATCTAAATATAACTTACTGTCAGCTTTTCGTTTACCAAATCTTTTCTGTGTGGCTTGTTTTAATGTGATAGGGTTAATCTCACCATCACCCTGTGTTAAACTATTTCTATATGTAAAATATGGCTGCCATTCATCACCACGTGCTGCAGCAAAACCACCTGGTATATGGTTGTCTAAATAACCTAGCCTACAATTAAATATGAAGATATGTCTCACACTTGCAAATATAGTTAAAGTCAGCAGTCTGTATATATCTGGAGACATGTCCTGTGACTTTCTAGTCATGATTAAATGTACTATGTAAATGTTTTAATACTAACAATACATATCAGTACTTACACAACTTTCTTGTCTTGTTTCATTAGTTTATTGGTAAATTCACACAACACTTCTAAGAACGGTAAATTAGGAGGTACATGACCTTCAGGATCACCATCAGCAGGTTGGAGACTGAATACAATACCTTCTCTACAATATAAAATTACCTTATTTAGTTAAAATGACAACCTATTGTTTCTTTAATGGCTATACACTGGATCATCTTTAAATGACTTTTAAATATTTAAAGCAACAAAATGAAATGAAATGAAATGAAATGGGGTTTAACATCCTACTCTTTTGCACCTAACCTGGGCTAATTGAAGACGGGCATACGCCATACAGTGTGCTATGAGGAAATTTTGCCCGGGCAGCGGCGCTACGGCCTACTCTTGTATCAAATTCCAACTGCCAAGGGATCTTTTACGTGCACGCCAAAGTGTACACGGGACCTCGGTTTTTCGTCCCATCCGAACGACTAGGCAGCTGGCCTTGTCAGGCCCTCCTTTCTGCATCACTGACAAGGGGAAACCACGCCGGAAAATCGAGATGAACTTTCTCGGCCAATGCAGGGATCGAACACCCGACCTCCAGGCTAGCGGGCCAGCGCCTTACCCTCTTAGCCACGTGATCCCCTTAAAGCAACAAAGATGTAAGTGTGGTTCTGTATCACTGAATCAAAGAATTCATAACTTTCACTCAGATTCATTTGACTTACTTATGCATAGCAGCTACAGCTTCTCTGTTCTTTACTTGATCAAGACCAAATGACAGAGCAAATCTTCTAGATAATTCCTACAATTGACAAACAATTAGCTTTTTATCATTTCATCTTTCACAAACATTTAAATAAGTATTTAGTATTTCTGCAGGAATGAGTTTTAAAATAAGCAATAATTTTGGTATTTTTTCAATATTTTAAAATTTTGAAACAAGTTATTGTGAGTTACATCCCTTTTTAAGATTATTGCTTTGTTTTTATCTCTCTTAACATTTTTTCTTGAATCAATCTTTTGAAGTTATGTGACACAACAATATCTTCATATCAAAGTATTTCAATTATTCAATAATTTAATCTTTTATTAATTTAAGAATAAAGTTCTGGGAATAATTACCAATATCCTACTCTCATGTTTGTGTTCCCTAAAACATAAGGATAAATAATTTACCTTGATGGATTGGAAGACATCCGATGATCGTTCAATGGTTCCTTGTTCATTCTGTAATTCTTTATATAGCTAAAACATAAAAATATATTTTAAGCAGAACCCCAAATTGAAGCATTACTTTTAGCTACATTATACAAGAAATTGAGAAATTACCTGTGTTAAACTTAAAGCCAATGTTTTAGCTGTTAGCACTTTGTTGATTTCTCTTGATTTACTCAATGTAGCTTTTATTATATCTCCATAATCGTTATAAAACTGAAATAAAAATATACCAAAATAAATTACATTATCATAAAAATCTATTTATAATAGAACAGTTTAAAAATATATTTTTAAAATTTGAGCATTTAAAAACACTTTAAAAGTGTGGTGTATCATTGAGATGATATTGTAGTAAAAGTAAATCAAATCTTGGTTTTAGATAACATGTCTGTGTTTAATTTACCTTCATATAATGTTTAAACATATTGGCACCAGTACGTATACTAATAATATTATAAACAACCAGTTTACAGAAACAAGCCAAGAAATTTCTTCTTTTATGTAATTCTTCAATCTTTACATTTTCATCTACATCTTCTGTAATAAATAAAAACACTGAATTCATTATCTTTTATTTAATGTTAAAGACATAAGAAACAAAATGAAGCAGCTGTGAAAATCTAAGACCAAGATGGCAGAACAGTTGGTAACTAACTCCAAGTATTTTGGGATGACACAGTTTCTGGGGGTTTTTGAGCACCAACTAGGGTTTTTAAGTGATATAAGAAACTGAATAAGGTAATGAGATGGTAGTTATTCTAATATGGAAGAAGTCATCCTTACCATCATCATCTTCAACAAAAACTTTTTCGGATAAAAAATTACTGAGTTCATTCTGTAGATTCTTATCTGGTTCAAACACCAACTGTTTCATATCAGGATGAAATTCAGCTAAATTACGACTAAATACGACCAGCAAGTCACAAATAGTTATGTAAGCCTGTAAAATAAGACAGTGAAAATAGGGTAAAAACTGATTGATGTTTGTCATGTCAGGTTCTTTTTGTATAGTGTTTACCATACTTTTCAATTGGAAAATTAAAAATAATACTGAAAATGGGCATAAGAATACGCTGTAATTACTTCATGATTATCGAGAAAGATCATATAAGTAATTAAACCACTTAGAAAGGTACCTCAGTTACTTTGTCTAGCAAAAGATAAATAAATAACAAAGGTTATATATTAAATTTTGATGGCCCAGGTAATAAAAAAAAGAGTACATATATTATTATTTTTAACTAGAAACCAACCTCTTCTACAACCTTATCTAATTGATGTAAGAGTAGATTATTACAATGTCTCATTAAATTATTTAATCTCTTCTTGATATATCTTAATCGATCCTAAAAAATAAAGATTACATTATATTATCAACATAACTTGAAAGGTAACAACAAACACCCATCATCAGCTTCATTATCTGAGCTGTAGTAATGAGATTATTTTTCTTTTTTTTAATGTACACAATGTTTTGAGATTAAGAGGCATGTACTGTAAATAATGAACACAATACATATTAGTAAGTGCTGATCAAAAACTCAACTCTGTGGAGTGAGTGCAATATGGTAATATCCTTAGTTCCACAATCATAAGTTAGGGGCAGTAACTCCTTCTCTGTGAAAAACTTCCTTGCAAATCAATGAAGAGCTTAAATAATATGTTGAGTACTATGGTGGTATATTCAAAATTCTAACATGCTATCGTCTGATTTCTAACTTCTATTCCTGTAATTTACAATCTAATTAAAATACAGATCTATATTTTGTTTTGTTTTTTTATACTTTCGATGGCCTACACTACATGAAGATCTGACAAGTTGTACTATAAGGTTATGTCAGGGGTCGTACAAGCGGCTTTTGACCCTATGACGTCATATATTGATTAATCAATCAGCGTTGGTGTTTCTAGTGATTTACCCACAGTTCAGTGCATGGCACGCCAAGAAGTCGCCGTCACAGATTGTTTCATTGGCTTATCCCTCACCTCAACCAAAACGCTGATAATATAACAACTCTTCCAGGTTCTAGTGTAGAAAAGACAAGTACAACGAAATTTTGAACTATAAAAAACGAAACAGGATCTGTGTTTTAATCAGATTGTGTAATTTCTAACTTCTATTCATATTCCCATATTGCACTCGCTCCACAGAGTTGAGTTTTTGATCCGCTCTTAACATAACTTTCTAATTTCAAAATAATGTCATTCCTCTGTATATACACCGGTATTCAAACTGCATAGAAAACACAAAGTAATACATTTACAAACCTTATCTGGATTTTTTTCATCAATCTTTTGTAGATACCATAACAGAGCCATTGAACAAGCTGATACTGCTTTGGTTATGATCTATAAAAGAAGTTAGAAAATTACAAATAATAAAAAAAAATTGATAAGGTATGGAGTTTCTACAATGAAGTATAAATAGTAAACCTCTTGGGCTATTCCATTTAAATCTTTTCAAAATTAATTGGGATTTTTTTTTTAGTAAATAAGGTCCAATTTTTACAAATAATTACCTCTTCTGGTATGGCTGAGTTTTCATTAGCACATCGTATAACATGAAATAAATCTTCCCATAAATCCCAGTTACCTAAATCATGACAGCTGAAATAAACATAACATTGTTAATATGATCACTAGGACATACACTTTTCCATACATATTTATCTTGTACTATACAAAGACTGTCACTGTATACTAGTGAAGCAAAAAAACCAACAAAGAATGCACATACATGTTAAAAAGATCTGATGATAAATATAGTCTCTGGAATGTTTATTAGGAATAAAAGGCAATCAACCGATAACATAAGAGAAAAGCAGAGAGAATGACGATCCACTTCCATATTCTTCTAATCAAAGTTATATCATCATCAAGGGTCAATATGGGCATGGAAAATTTAGTCTTCACTGGCTACTAAATGCTAAAAATTTACTAGCCAGCACCAAAATTTTAGTAGCCAGAAATTACAATGCTATTAACTGTAGTCTGTAACGTAAATCACTACTAGATATTACGCGTTGTTTTTTTTTAATCTTTATCATAATGCTAAATATAAAACAATGCAGACAACATGCGTAGTCAGACATTGTATACATTGCCGTAAGTTAGAAGTTAGAACGATTTTCGGCACATGGTAAGAAAATATATGAATGTCGTAAATATTGTCATTAAATTGGAGTTAATTCCCCTAGTAAGTTCCAGTTTTACGAATAAACAAATTCAATTTTGTAAAAAAAAACTTTGTAATTATTTTAAAACGAGAAAAAAACTTACAGTCGCCAGCTGGCGACTCAAGTGAAAATTTAACTAGCCAGAAAATATATTTGGTCGCCATGGCAAGTGTTTTAGTCGCCATGTAGAGCCTTGATCATCATTATATATCATGATTTTTTAGACTACGTACAGTAGAATCTGTATTAAGCAGCCACCCAAGGGAATTTTCACGACTGACCGCTTAACGGTAGTGGCCTCTTAATAAAATCTTGGTGCTGACATCAATTAAATATTACGCTTGGGTGTATTGGAAGCCAACATCAATACTTGCATCGGTAAATTTGACCGTCGCTGAATTTTGCCCCGAACGAAAATTCTTTACACAACTCTCGGACATAACTTCTGTAACTTTGTCATTTTGTACCAACCTTCGATACTACTGTCTTTGTGATGCATTCGATAATATTTATCCATTTTTGTGAAGAAAATCGATGAATTCATTTTATTTTATCAAAAAAAGCACATGGACAAAAAAACATCGCTGATTTTGTCACTGATTTACCGGGGGTGTAACTCTGTATGTAATATTAAAGGAGGCGCTAAAACGTCTGTTTAACAACAAAGTGGCAATGGAAAAGAGATACTAGATGATCGCGACAAAACTCGGCTTCTGTCGGTACTTTATTTTATTCAATCAGTATCAAATAATGTGTGTCGTTAAGCACGAAAACAATGATCAGGTTAGTCGTTTAATAAAACAAAAGATTAATTAACAGATAATCCCGAGTTTATTGTTATATTCACATTTCTTTTTACCTGATCAGTGGGGGTCCAGTTAATTAACTACTAATCACGGGATTAGCGGAAGTGTTACGAAGAACGACAAGATGCTATCATTCAACAATGGCCGTTGAATGGGCGATGTTTTGTTAAATTTATTAGGAAAATATTGACCGCTGGCTGCGTTAGAGGAGTGACCGTTGAATAAAGAGATGAAACAATAGAATTTTTACGGGGGGAATTTATTGTGACCGCTTACAAGGAGAGTGGCTGCTCATACAGATTGTACTGTAAGTAAAATTGAATCGGGTAAAAACATAAAATAGAGAATATAAAAGGAAAGAAAAAAAACAATCCATATTACAATGAGGGCATATTAAAAAGCCAAATAAAAGAGGTAGCTGCTCAATAAACAGCTATTGATCTAATGATTATCTACGATAAAACAGAACTCACCAATAAAAAGTGTGAATTCTTTTTAAACTTGCTAACAAAGCAAAGGCTTCATCATCATCAGGTTCATCACCCTAAAAAATAAAACATACAAAATAAATGAAATGGGGTTTAACGTCTTGCTGTTCTGCTCCAACTGCATACCAAATAACCACACATAGCTTTTTTGCAACAATATGACAAACATATGTTATAATATTTGCAGTCTTTAAAAAAGACTTTAATCCATATTAAAATGGATGGGTGTCCACATTTAACAGAAATCAGATCATGTTTTAAAGAAACAATACAATATGACAAGAGTTACAGTGTACACATGTCTTTTGCCGACTGGTCAAATAGTAGGTGATTTTAGTTACTCAACAAGTTATTGCAAGTCAGTATGGACTGCAACAACTCTTATCAAGATAAATCATATTTATTCATAATGTATTTACCTCTGTGAAGAAATCTTGCATTGAATCTCTATATTTAACAACAAGACTATCTATTAGAGTTTTTCTAGCTACGTCACATTTACCAGCTATAGCATATTCTTCATTACATAAAGCTTCAAAACATTTGGTAGCTGCTTCAAGCACCTAATAGCATATAAAATACATTTATGAAGTCATTTCATTAAAAGAGAAACTTTTTACAACACAAAAAATACTGGCAAAAAAAAACAGTGTACCAGAACTCTCAACAGAAATCTTGACCAATTGGAGAATTTACATGTCAGTCAATTGGGCATTCTATTCTGAGATAAACAAATTATGAGTAAAGTTGACAAACAAGCATAACTTTTCATCAAAGAGCTCTGTGGTGCACAAAGTTCCAGACTAAAAGCAAAATGTCAAATTGAATTCAAAGCCATTTGTCACATGAACCAAGCCTCTATTTGAGCAAGCACATTGCACCGCCATTTCATTTTTAGTTCGATGCAAGTTACATAAATTTTGGAAACAAGTTTTGATTAAAAATATTAAGAAATAATATGTGTGAGTGTATTAGTAATATTTGTAAACTTACTTCAGTATCTGTGTGTTTTTCTACAATCTCATGTAAATATCTCAGTAACGAATCTAAATGCTGAAAGATAACAATACACAAGATCAAGGAAGTATTCCGTAATAGCTAATAATTACCGTTGTATTTTTCCGATACAGCTAAAAATGAATTTGATCGTAACATCTGGCCCGAGTCCACAAAGCATTCTCAGACTAAGTTAAGAATTTACTCAACTTTCAATCACTTTTTAAGAGAAATATCTTTGATCTAGAAACAGAAAACTTTGCACATATTTTCTTATTGATGTATTTGACACATTAAACACAAGATTTATAAAGAGCTATATTTTAGTTAAAATAAGGCGGAGAATGCTATACAAACTCAGGGTCTGACAAATGACAAGGAAGTCTGATATATAAATAGTCCTTGTATAATAGAGACTTTACAACTATTAAACTATTTTTTAAAATTATGCCAGTAGTCACTTACCTTCTCTTGTCTGCTTGATGTGTAGATTTCTAACTCAAAGTATTGAGGTATCTGAAGTAAGTTAGCTACCTTCTCAGCATCCATTAAATACTATAACAAACAAGCTGACAGTGAGGCTGATGTCCCCCGCCGAAATCCCAAAATAAATACATGACACATACTACTGTCTGAACCATCGTTAATTTTAAACAGATTTCTTCGATTATGATCAAACTACTTAACTTTGGTTATTATAAACTTACCTGTGTGTTTGAAATCAACTCCCGTTAAATAAAATCCAAAGTTAATTGCATATTTGTCTTTTTCAAAAGTATCGAAATCAAACTGATTATCAAATATGCACTAAGTTTCATCACTCTCTTTAATAGAATCAAAGTTATTGTGTCTCAAAGCATTGACCAATAAAATTGCTTAGATCTGCTTAGCTTTTGTGGGAAATGTTAATTATTGAACTCAGTCAAGGTATTGATGTAATGAAACTAAACACAAAGTTACATCACTCTCGTTTAAATAGAACTGAAGTTATCATGTCCCAAAGCATCAACCAACCAAATTGCTTATCTCCATCAAGGCATTCACCTAATAAACATGAACACCAAGTGTGAACATTCTAGCTCAACCAAAGTCTGCTTACCCTGAGCAGAAAATGCTCATTATCGAACTTAGTCAAGGTACTGATGTAATGAAACTATATACCAAGTTTCATCACTTTCACTTAATTAGAACTAAAGTTATCATGTCCCAAAGCATCAGCCAATCAAATGGCCTATCTCTGCTTACCCTAAGCAGAAAATGCTCATTTCCGAACTCCATCAAGGTATTCACCTAATAAACACATACACCAAGTTTGAACATTCTAGCTAAATTAGAAGGCAAGTTATTGTGTCCCCAAAAGTGTCACGGACGGACAGACAGATAAACAGACGGGCAGACCCATTTTAATAATCCCCTGCTTTCTTTGAAAGGCGGGGAGAAAACAATATCAAGTGATTAATCAATTATGAAATATTTCAGTTGCAAAATCCATAATAGTAGTGGCTGGACGGCTACTTTGGCAATATTTGCAAAGAACTTCAGCAAAATGTCTTCTTATAGCGTCATCTCTAAAACAAATGTGTCTGAATGACAAAATTACAAAATTGTAACTGTGAGAAAAAAAAATTCTGTCATAATATTAAATGTGGCATGATTCATAAATCAAAAACAGTTTTATCACCTTGTGTGATTTGTCAATGTTTTTTTTATTCACATGAAATTATCAGAGTTCATATTGTTCAGCAAAAAGACAAAGAATACAGTTCTTCAGGATCTCATGAAAAATGCATAATTTAGAATTTCAAAACTTTTTTTTTTACATAGGTGTTCCTAAAGAATAAAACCAGTCATTGTGTTTTAAGGTGAGCGATCGCTCTCAAGCGCCTGCCGCTCACCTGAATGTCGACCGAGGAGAGGTTTTTCTCCTCCTTAAAATTGAAAATCGCTCTCCTTTACGAGGTCATGGGGGGGGTTTACTATCATTTATGAATCCAGGAATGACCCACTAACATGCAGTTATTGATCTTCAGAACCATTTCCCATACAAACAATTAATCACTATCCTTAATATCAGAACATTCTCCATAATTTCTAAATCACTCTTCTTATCGAAACTGGGAGATCTTTTTTAGGGGAGCGATTTTTTCAATTTGTTGATTAAGGGGAGCTTTTTTGACTCTCCTCTAAAATACAAACAACGACGAATGTGAAACCTATTTCATATCTAATATTATTGTTACCTACCTTTAGCAGTAACTGTGGTAAAGTAACAATAAAATGTTCAGTAAGTTTGGTTTTGTCTTCAGAAACCTGTTTTTGTTCTTTAGCCGTTAACTGAAAATATACAATAAATTTTTTAATCTTGAAATTGTTCATTTATGATCATTCATTTTCTGTCTATACTGCCACATCTTTTTCATATGCAATGCATTCATTCACTGTCTGTGTTGTCCATCGCAACTTTACTTCACTGTCTAAAACCATTTTTATTTGATTAAAATTTGTATCATTACTTTGTAATAAACCAAGTTACCCTTTTATTAGCAGGTCCTCTACCAACAGGTGATTCCCCAGTAGCAGCCTGTTTAACACAACATACCATTATCTCTATAAGACTAGTCTCCTGTCTATCATCTAATGCTGTCAAAATCAAATTAAAAATCAAATTATTTTTCAAAATATACACAAATTAAATTACAATGTAATATTTTTTGACATCAAATTGAAAAAGGTCTTGATGTGCACAAGGCAGGGTAAGCCTACACCCATTCTTTCAAGAACACCTAATAACATATAAAATCCTTTAATACTCGTAACTTACGTTCTTCTCCTTTACTAGGATCTTCTAGTAATAAATCTGTCATACATTCCCAATCTTTCATCATTTCATTAATCTCCCATAAACTATCCACTAAATATGCACCATGTTCATGTAACTACAAAACGGTACAAATATTTAGCACTGACAATGGAAAACATGATAAATGTCATCTATATAATTCTTAATGAATTTAATGATGCATTATGTAAGATTTAGATAAAGAGTTATAATAGTTAAAAATAGATAATGAAAAGGGAATATTTTGAAAATCTCATCTGAATGGAGTTATGGCTGTTAGAATAACAGTGTAGTCTCAATTGTCATTGCTACCGTTGTTACAATAATAAACAAAGTCTTGATTATCCACTTTTAAATTAAATTATCAACTGACATGTGAATAAGTATCTTATTAATGATTTACATGAAATTTGAGGACAAACAAAAGATCTACCTTAGGAAAATTTAGCTCTAACATAATGCATCTTTAAGACAGCAAAATTCATATTCACAAAGAAATCAAATATTCTACCTGGTTATTATAAAAACCTTTCATTTAAAATACTTCTTTTCCCATTCCAAAACTAAATCTTGATAAAGAAATACATCTACAACAGTAGTATTGGCCTGAAATGCTTCAGAAGTTTGAATCTCTATAACTTACCTCGCTCTCAATAAAGAACTGAACTAAATCTCTAATAAGAGGTGTGTTTGGACTAAGTTTCTTTCCTTTCAGAGATTTTAGATGTCTGTTTTCTTCTTCATCTCGACTGAATAATTTAGTGTTGAGGAAGTCTCCAGCAGCTTGAGCTACTTGACGATGTGAAGAATAAACCAACTCATAAACATTTTCACAATCTTTATCTGCCAGTACATTATCACTAAACCTGTAACAACAAACAAAAATTTGTACAATCCCTACTTCAAAAAATCAAAAATAACATAATTACTTTTTCATTCCTTTCTTGCATTTCCAAACACAACTAAGTTTAATCTTCAGAAACAGAATGAGTTCTGTAAACAAGGAACCAAGCATGAAATCATCACCTCCATCTTCAAATTGTAAAGTCATTTCAAAAATTGAAGTCTGTCAATCAATGCACAATTGTCTAAGGAACAAGTCTGTCTGGGTTATGCCAATCATACTTGAATTATTGGAGCCCACTTTTGAAGAGCGTCGCCCTCAAAAGAAGAACAAGATCAGCAGCGCATATGGCCCAAAGGAAAAAGTCAAGAATAAATCAGCACAAGCAAACACTTACTTCAGAATACTACATGCCAGTTTAACAGCAGCCACAGCTACTTCATATTCTTTATCTAATGTCATTTCTACAATTCTATCCTGTAATATAGATTCTATAAATCATTCGGTTCTTTTTATACTAGACAAATACAGTTAATCTTTTATTGTGTAAAAATACTTTAATATATATTTAACACTGGGATAATGAGAAGAATGGTTGTACTCTTTGAAAAAGTTAGTTTTCTGATATGAGATGCACAAAATGTCATTGGGATTCATGCCTTAGCTAGGTACAAGTGTTTATGTTCAGACTGTTTATAAAATAAATGGTTATGTGATGCACCTACCTTGAATCTGTTTGTAAAGAGTTCTAATTTAGGAGAGAGATCATTTGAATAGTATAGAGGAGACAGGGTCTTTAAACAACATAATCTAACATCACCTCCCTACAATATAGATATATAATAATACTAAAGATATCTGAAAAGTACTTACAATCCTTTCTTTAAAGATACATTATGGGAGATTCGATAACGAGTTGGCAGTTCTCACTATAATAGTTCAAAACTAGATAACGTAAAGGCAATTTGCTGAAAATTTCATTCAAATTGATCCACTATGAACCGAAAACTAAGCGAATGAAATTTCTGCCTAGCCTCGGTCATCATTACTAAAGTCAGTACGATAAACAGCATAGTCTTGATTATCTATTTAATCGTTTAATCGAGAAGGAAAGTTATGCAGTAAATCGGCTCACAATCCACTTAAGATCGCAGGCTAGCGATGCCATCTAGAGTTGATTATGGTCTAGATAAGTTAATTAATGTCTAATTAATAATTTAGATAACATTTCAGGCCTAAAGAAAGACCTGCAATAGACAGATTTAACTCATGCATAATGTATGTTTAACTGGGGGGTTTTATTTTGGACACTGCATTTTAACAAACAATCGTCATTTATAATAAACATATGAAACTTTGTTAGTTGTACATGGTTTAGTTTATATGTCATGAATCTAGACTTACTTTATCATACATGGTCCATCCAACATATTTTAGATAACTGTCATCTAAAAACATATTAGGATATTTTTTCATCCACACACCAATTTCACCCATACATATTTTTCTTATTTCTGGCTGTGTATCCCTTCAAAATACATTGATCAATTTATTGTCAAGATTATTAACTAAATCCTATAGAAATTTGACCAAAAAGGTTTGTAAAATAATAGCTTATCAATACTACAAATATTATCTTTATGATTTATGTCGAGTCGCACTTTCGTATTTTCTTTACTACAAATAAACATTCATCAATACTACTACCATCTGGGGGCTAACTTCTTCTACCTAGGTTTATATTGTAGACAAGTGGTTCCAAAATAACTTATCAAAAAAAGGCAGACATGATTTAGAGATCAAATGAAAAGCATATTTGACAATAGGAAAAGGGGCGTGAAAGAAGAAATCGCTATCCGGATCCAATTGAAGTGCAGCTGTGCCACTAGTGATCTTAATGGGCCAAATTTATTAGTAGTAATTCTGTCACCCATAATATGCTGCCAGGGACTATTTTTTCCTGTGCACATCCTGATATGTTTTACCTGTATCTATGTACAAATACACCCTTGAATATGTAGGTCAACATGTTTCTAATTTCAGCTTGATTTTCTTCTAACTGTAAAACAAAATTAATGATAATCAATGCTTAAACATACATTATGCAAGAGCTAAAACTGCCTATTGCAGGTCTTTCTTTAGGCCTGAAATCTTATCTAAATCTTTAATTAGACATTAATCAACTCTGGATGTCAACGCTAGCCTGCGATATTTACTGGATTAGGATCCCATTTGGTACTCATTCATGATTCAATCATGAGATGCATAATCGATACTATGTTTTTAACGTACCGACTTCAGTAATGATGATCGAGGCTAGGCCGAAAATTCAATCGCTAAAATCTCGGTTCAGAGTGGATCAATTTGACTGAAATTTTCAGCAAATTCCCTTTACATTATCTAGTTTTTAACTATTATAGTGAGAACTGCCGGCTCTTTATCTAATCTCCCATAATGTATCTTTAATTTAAATAAAACTTATGATAAAAAAAGTTTGAGCCAAGAACTTTGAAAATAACATTTTACAGCATGGAAATTTGTATATGAAATCTCAATATTTTGATCAACTAATTTTACTTGAAATGAAAAATCTATTTCTTGTAAAAAGAAATTGATGGTGGTTGTATGACTACACGAGGTATCTACACATTTGTTTACCTCTTGTCTTTTTGTCATCAGTAATTCTAATCTTTCACTAGCTCTCTTGTTTTGTTGTTTAGCTCTCTCTGATTCATATTGTCTTTGGGTGTTATCTAAATTAATACTCAGGTTCAGAGCTACATCTACCAAGGCTGTCATCAATTTCATAGCTAAAAGATCAAGGCAACAAGTTATTATTAAGTATAAGAATATGAAATCCTAATCTCTAATCTATTTTATTGTTTACTAAATTCTTCTTTCAATAGGTTGACAAGTGATGTTTGCGAAGAAGCATACAATTACTTTTAATTAAATACATCCATAATTACCAACAAACTTTGTGATTTACCTATTATATATTTATCCATATCAGTATATTATGACAAAGTATTTAGTATACTGTCACTCAAAAAACAACAACAACATTAATTTACATATCTATTATTAGTTCAGTTTACCTGCCATAGTACTGGTATGTCTAAAGGCTCGTACTTGTGAATCAGTAAGACCAGTTAAAAGTGATATAATATTATCCATCATATACTGATCATAGATAATACTATATTGACACTGTCTGACTAACACTTGAACAAATTCACAGAAGTTGGTCTTGAATTTCTTCCACTGTGGGCCACTACTAATAAAGGGATAATCACCACTTTCCTACAAAAAAACAAAAAAACCCATCAATATTTGAAAAAGATTAGCTTTTAAAAACTAATTCAAACCATACCTCAAATAAACTTTAAAAGAAGCTAAATATCTGAAATCAGAACTTACCTCATCAAACTCTTCAGTCATCTTTCTGATTATTTCAGCATGTTCCATGTTTGTGTACATATAAGGAGTAATCTTTCCCTTGCATCCTGAACATTGTATAAAGAATTGGATAAGCTCTAAAAGGGCTGTATCTCTGTTAGCTTTATATGTTTCAATCCAGTCATCAACAACAGCCTGTAAAGTGCATACAATAAATACAAGATATAGGTACTTATTTCAAACTTTCAGAAACCTAACTAAAAAAAAGATTTATTCAACATCAAAATGTATCACTTGAAAACACATCTACATGCTCATATTATACTATAAAATTATTCCACAAAATACCACCCTAAGCTATGTTGAAAATATAGAAATTCCTTGAAATTCCTAAATCATTATATGGACTTTTTTCATTTATATTGAAGTGCATACCTGTAATGATGCTCTTCCTAATCTTACAATGTCAAATAAACTACCATCTCCCTCAAATTCTTCTTCAACAACCTTCTTCTTTGTCATATCTTTCTTCATTCTTTTCTGAAATAAAATTAAACCCATTCAATGAACTAGACAGATTCTTTGTTTCACCACTTTGCAAAATGTAGAAGAAATTGAAGTGTTGCTAACACAATGCCATTGCTGCTTACCAAAATACAATGATCTTGTTCTGGTACTAATAAATCCAAATTTGCTATACAAATTAACAGTAACCTAACGAAATTGGATTTAACCCTTTGGCTCTTAGAATGCCACAAACCACCCTGTCACTTGCACAGATGTGGGACACACAAGAACCAGTTTAAAGTAACAGAGGTTTCAGACTGTTTCGGTCCCTCCAGGGATCATTTGCTAATAATGATCTTCAAGGAACTGGGGTAAACAATATTGACATGTACCAAATGCTAAAGGGTTAATATCGATATGAATAATGAGCATAAGCGTTTCTACTTACAGAACCATCTTTTTTACCACCCTTCTTGCCTTTAGCTTTAGGCTCTTCAAATTCTGTATCTGATTCTGCTTCAGGCCTGGAAATTGATTGTAGATAGGAATATTTCAAATTATGACAGTAAAACAAAGCACAATTAATTATTTTCTTAAATAAAACTATCTTTGCAGTATTTATTGTTATCAATATTGGTGAAAACAATTATGCAATACTCTTGACTAAAAATATGCATTCCCAAGTGCTACCTTTACGACCGGAAACAGTTATAATAATCTATTTAAAAATATTTTGAAAAATAAGTGAAACTCACATAAATCCCTCAGATGCTGGCTCTAAATGTTCTGAAGAAGTATCAAGCAAAGCTTCTTCTTGCTCCCTAGCTTTCTTGGCCGCAGCAGCCTCTTTCCCTTTTCTTCCTCTTGCGGCTGGCATTTTCACAAGTGTGAGTGAATTATTTCACTACTCAATATCTAAAACAAAAGAAACAACAAATAAAATCTTCCAGTTGTTATACATGTACACGATGGGCATGTGAAATTTAGTTTTACGAGGGTTTTATGATCAAACAATTTATTTACATAGTACCACCATATACTACCCGGGCTGCCGACAACCTGTAGCAGTGCAAACAATCTAAGAATGAAATCTAATCATTTGTTATGAATTAAAGTAATATCTTGTTATTTAGGTGTTGAAACTGAAAAACTACTAACTAATCAATTTTTAAATTTGCTAATCAAATTTGATAAAATTGGACTTTTTGAAAAAATACCGACAGCCCAGTGTATACTACCCCATTAGCATCAAAAACTGATAAATAAATATTACAATTTTTTCAATATCAATGAGTTAATCCCCCCCCCCTCTCCAACTGGTCTATTTAATTTATTTAGACAGCCATCTTAAAAGACTAAGGAGGGGCCACACACGGAACAGCAAATCATTGGCATTACAATAAGGAATTCATTTTACACGAACACATACTGTAACTGTTATTCAAATTGTATGAGCATATCATTTCCAATAGTAGTGTGTCCTTATTTTGTTGAAAAGATTTGTTTTGCATCAATCTTCAGTTGGGGATGATCAAGGGAGATAACTAGGCCTAGGGCTTACACTGGCCAGACCTCATAATTTCTAATGTTTTTGATTAATTTGGAGCATTCTGTAAATATTTACAAGAAAAGAGGTAGGATATGAAGGTAGTCGGTAGTGCTTGGTGCAATAATGGTGAATTGAGTAGCCTAGTTGGCTTGGATAGACTAAAGTCACGAAAGTAAACAAGATTATCGTTTTCTCTTCTAAGTTCTGACTCTGCCGCTGACTAATTGCGACGATTGTCTCATCTATATCATGCGAAACCTAAGATTAACTAAAATAGATGTTTAATATATATCTATATCTAAATCTTTATAGTGTACTTTGTATCAACTGAAAGGCCGTGGTCGACCTAAATTCAATTATTATTGTTTTAAGGTTCTTCAGCGTCGTTCTGGCGGCCATTTTGAATCTAACGGGATGCAAATCGTTCACTTATCAAAACGATTTTAAGCGAATAGAAACACCAAAATCGTCTAAGCGGTTCACAGTAATAGTTGCATATGAAATAAATGAATAAAATAACTAAAGTCAATCTTTTATCTTACCGCTATATTCGATGAATAGTATAAAAGCTATGAATTTTCAATCATCCTATACAATAGCTGGCGGGAAATCTCACCGTCTGTGTAGGTCACGTGACTTTGCTGAGGTGTTTTCCCATTTTCTTGATTATCCAGACTCTTTCAGACCTAGGGGTAGGGTTAGTGCTAAATGATAAGGCCAGCTCAATTTAGGGTTAGTTGTTAGGTTTAGTATTCCCCAAAATACTCATTTAAAGCGGCCACTGTGGACTCCGGAAATTCCAGAACTAGAACCCCCACAACCGACCTACAATTACAGCATCTCCCATAGCGATTCCGTTGGTAAAATTTAAAGTAGCAAGTCTCTCAATGATCAAAAATCTTCGATATTGAAAACACAAATTATTTGTTAATTCAAACTAACATTGGTCTTATGATCTTACAGGGAAAAGATGGGCTTCTGCTATCCAATATTCAAGACAAAATAAACATTTTACCATTGAAACACGAATTGTGTAGGCTACCATAATGCGTTATTCAGCGCCATTTGGAAACAAGGGACTCAAAGAACAAGGCTAGACAAATTACACAAGTCATGTCAAATGGTGACTCTTATCTGGAGACTGGAAAAACCAGACGCTAAAGATTGCCATTCACATGAGACTTCTGCCGTTCTGGCGTATTCGCCGAACATAACTGATAGAAATTACAGTAAAAACAGAAACGATTGAATGTACGGTAAATCAGTTTATATACACTCATATTACATTATTATATGCGTTGCGACTAATATTTGTCAATTTCTAGGTCGCAAATATTAGCGATTTAGCTCCTTTAAATAATCGGATATATCAATATCATCAGAATAGACATGTTAGATCTTTGACAAAGGCAACTTCAAGTATGGTCAATTAGGTCATGAGATGTAAATCCCAACCCTTACCCTGGACATAGCCATAATGCTGACCCTAACCCACATCTCCCCAACAATCACATGTCCTAACCTTATCTTAATATTTAGGCTATCGGTACATCTTAGCAACTTTGACGAAAATTGAGCTGGCCTTAACAAATATAGATTTAGCCCATAACAGACCCACCGTTATACTAGCAGCTAAAAGTGAAAGCTAGACCGTTTAGTTTTCAAACGTTAGTTATACGTAGGCTACACTAGTTCGCCTGTCCGCTTAATTGCTGTTAGTGTTTGCTCGATACTGATCGATCAGGCTCTTGGTTTTGTTGATTGAAATTGAATAACTAGCGGGTCTGAAAACAGTAGGCTACTAGTACCTTAGAGAGAAATGGGGTTTGACATCATTCCGGGACTAACAGAAATGAAATGAGGTTCAACGTCCTACTATTCTGCTCCGAACTGGGCTAATGAAGACGGGCATACGCCATCAGTGTGCTATGAGGGAAATTTTGCCCGGAGAGCGGCACTAGGGCCTATGGCCTACTCTTATATCGATTTCCAACTGTCAAGGGATCTTTTATGTGCATGCCAATGTGTACACAAGTGTTACTTGATCATAAATAACACATTTTAAGTATTTGACATACTTTATCTAGACACAGATATATCAGCATAACATAAAATGGCGGAAAACCAAGTCTTCTCGATAGAGAATGAGAACGAGGCCGTTTCAATTAATCTAGTGGTTAAAGGGAGATAAGTACATTTATCAATGGACAGTATTACTTTATACCTAGCTACATCCCCCCTTTTCTAGAATGAAATTATGGAGATTTCACAAATTATATAATTACTTAAACTTAAATTAACAATTAATGCTTCTTGCATTATTAACTGAATAATCACAAGTAAATATATTCAAAAAGTTAGTTTTGGTATCTTGGAGTCGGTCTAGAAACTCGTCCACTCTTTGTTACATAATACTGGTTTTGAAACTGTGGTGGTTGTATACTCCTCTCCTCGTTATTAGTGAGGTCTGTACCGGGATTGCGCAGCTGTTGATTATTAGGTTCGGTTCGGGGAATGATTACATTTCCCGGTGGAAAACGAACAGGTATCCAGGGTGCTATTTCCTCGTATTGATGGACACACTCTTTTGGGACATGGAGTAAATGACGCCGGTTTCTTCGGAGAGTGCGACCTTGATAGTTGACAAAGTATGACCTAGGCGTATTGGTAATTGACGTGACAGTACCAACTTTGTTGTATCCCTTGTCAGTCTGAATCCGGACGGTATTACCTGGCTGCAATTCTGGAAGAGGTCTACTGTTTTTGTCATAAGTTGACTTTTGTTGAGCGCGTAGATTGGAAAGTCGATTATAGACAATTCGGTGGTCGATGCTGGCTTGAGATAATAACGATGAAGATATTGGCATTGTGGGCTTAGTTCGTCGTCCAAAGATACGCTGTGCCGGAGATCCTAAAATGCTATCTCGATTGGTGTTTCGATAATTCAACAAGGCTATATATGGATCGGATCCGTCATGTTGACACTTGTCAAGTATATTCTTGCAAGTTCTTACCGCGCGTTCAGCAAGACCATTGCTTTGGGGATAACCGGGACTGGATGTTTTGTGTGTAAAGTTCCATTGTTTGGAAAAGATGGCAAAGTCTCGACAGGAATATTGAGGCCCGTTATCACTGTAAAAGATGTCCGGAACACCAAATCTGGCAAAATGCGACTTGAGTTTGTTAATTACAGCCTGCGAAGTGGTTTCTTGAAGATACTGCATCTCAATCCAGCCAGAATACGAGTCAACAAGAACTAAGTAATTGACTCCATTCCATGTAAACAAATCCGATCCGAGAATGCTCCAAGGTCGGTCTGGAATTGGTTGGGAGATCATCGGTTCTTTGCTTTGGTGGGGCTTAAAATGATTACACGTTGAACATTGTGATACATAGGTTTCAATGTCATGGTTCATGTTGTTCCAATAAAATAAATCACGTGCACGAAGTTTTGTAGCTTCAACTCCAATGTGTCCCTTGTGTACTTGTTCAACATAATGGTGTTGTAGAACATGGGGAACTACAACTTTTTCGCCTTTGTAAATAATGTTATCATGAATTGTTAATAGGTCTCTGAAGGCGTAAAATTTTTTAACAGTTGGCTCGACATCCTTCTCGTATTCGGGCCATCCATAGAGAATGTATTGTCGTAGTCTCTGACACGTGTGGTCATTTAACGAAGCGTTTCTTAATTCTTCATACTTTGGAGTTGTAATGGGTATAAGACACATAACATCATAATTCTCTTCTAACAGTGGGGTGTTATCATGTATATAGGCACGGGATAATGTGTCAGCTATGTGAAGTTCGGTTCCCTTTTTGTAGTGAATATTCAAATCGTATCGCTGTAATTGAAGAAGCATTTTTTGCAAACGCATTGGAGTGGCTAATAGAGGACGCTTAAAGATTGTTTCTAGTGGTTTATGGTCAGTTTCTACATCTACAGTTTTGCCAAAGATGTAGTCATGAAATTTCTTGCATGCAAAGACGATTGCAAGGAGCTCTTTTTCAATTTGAGCGTAGCCCTCTTGAGTCGGTGTTAGGGCTCGCGAGGCATATGCAACTGGTAGGCCATTTTGTAAACATGCAGCACCAAGACCGGTTTGTGAGCTATCACACGTGAGAGTTACTGGCTTATTGACATCAAAGTATTTCAGAACAGGCGGACTGCTGATAGCATATTTGAGTTTATCAAATGCAACCTGATGATGCGTATCCCAGTGCCAAGTAACATCTTTTTGAAGGAGGACACGAAGCGGAGCAGCTTGGTCACTAAGATGGGGTATGAACTTTGCTAGGTAGGTAACCATACCAAGAAATCGCTGTAGAGCCTTAATATTGTCTGGTACAGGTATTTCAGTGATACATTTCACTTTATCCGGGTCTGGTTTAACGCCGTCACACGTGAGTCTGTGGCCGATATAACTTATGTTTGACGATTTAAACTGGAACTTTTTGAGTTTTAATTTAAGGTTGATTTCACGGGCTCTCTCAAGAACTTTTATGAGCTTGGTATCATGATCGGTGTTGGACGTACCCCAAATTAGAATATCATCTATGATAATTTCACAGGGATAACCACTAAACAGCTGATCCATTGTTTTCTGAAATACTTCACTTGCGCTCCTTATACCATAGGGCATGCGTAAGAAACGATATCGTCCATATGGACAGATAAACGTGGTTTTAAAGGACGACTGTTCCGTTAGTGGAATCTGCCAGAAAGCATTAGACGCGTCAATAAGCGTAAATATTTTAGCATTAGGTATGCGGGCCACAATTTCTTCTATAGTTCTGAGAGGATAGTGCTGACGCTTAATGGCTTTATTTAAATCACAAGGGTCTATACACAAACGGATATCATTTGTGTTTTTCTTCTTTACTGCAACCAAATTTGATACCCATTCGGTTGGCTGAGTCACTGGTGAAATTACCCCGATAGTAACCATTCTGTCCAATTCGCTCTTAACGGGGTCTTGTAGGGCCACTGGAATACGTCGTGGTGGACGGATTATTGGGCAAACGTTTCTGTCAAGATCCAGGTTATACGAGATTGGAAGACACCCCAGGTCTCCATCAAGTAAATCTTTATACTGTTGTAGTACATACTCTTCAGTTATTTCCCCGATGGGTGGTATCTGCGCTCTTGGGAGTGTGGTATCGTGCTTTACAGTGTCGATATTAATAGAGATTAATCCTAGCGCTAAACAATCTTGTAAACCCAAAACAGGGGTAACTTGCTCGTTGACAACATAGAATGAGATTTCATACAAAGATCCTTTGTGAAAACATGGTAATTGGATACATCCTATTGTTTGAATGGCATCCCCACTATATGATATGAGTCTGACCACATTTGTAGTGTTGATGAGGCGATTGTCCCTTATTGTTTGTACCAATGAAAACGGTAACACATTGCATTTAGCACCGGTGTCTAGTTTTAATCTGGTGTTCTTGTTGTGAATGGTAAATTGTACAAATAATTCAGAGGGATTGTCTGGTGACAGACCGAAAACATCCAATGATTCTATCTTGAATTGGGTAATATCATTTTGAGGAGATTCTGTGTTCGAATAGTCATATTGAAGACTGATGTCATGGACAGGTTGCCTGTAAGTATGATTGTCAAAACGTCTGTTTGCACTGGAT